GGTTTGACTCCGGGCTTCATCAGCCCGCCGTTGGTCGAGGGCAGCGTCTCCGTGGCCGGTCCTGGAGCCCCCCGGAGCGCCCGGAGGCCCGCCCGGCGCCGCACCGTAGCCATTGGCAGCTCCGCCGACGCCGTTGGGCTGTTGTTGTTGCTGCTGCTGCTGCTGCTGTTGTTGCTGTTGCTGCTGCTGCTGCTGCTGCTGGTGCTGGGGCGGCGGCGCTGGCTGGGCGTGCGGGTTGCTGTGCCCCCGCAAGGCCGGGCACTCGAGGAGATGCTGCTTCTGCCGGCTGGTGTTCTTCGCTCGGATCTGCTGGCAGTAGATGCACTGCACGGAGAGACACTACAAGGCGGCGCAAGGGGGAACCGCATCCCCGACGGCTTTTAGTCTTGTTTCTTTTTTGGTTTTTTATATACTCTCTCTCTCTCTCTCTCTCTCAAACAGCAATACATGAAATACGGGGCGAGTTTCACCTTGTCGTCTTCCTTGGCGCGAAACTCGACAAACGCGGCGTGGACTTCCTGGTCGACGGTGCGACCCATCGTAATACCGCAGCGCGAGACGGCGACGGTACGGGGCACCAGCAGCGAGGGGTCGACGGCCGGCGGCTGGACGGCTGCTCGCTGGCCGGGCGCGAGAGGATGCACACTGGGCGGGCTCTCCTCCTGCTCTGCTCTTTGTCGCTCTCGATCGATGTCTCTGTCTCTGTCTCTGTCTCTGTCTCGATGTCTCTCGCTGTTTCGCTGGCAGTCTCGCTGTCTCTTCGTTCTTCGGCTTCAGTCTTCGGTCTGTCGTCTCGTCCTCGTCTTCTCGTCTGCCGTCGCTGTCGCTGTCGCTGACTCGGAAATATCGAGCTGGCGACTCCAAGAGGGAGGAAAAGTCGATGGAGACAGAAAAGGCGAAAAGGAGCGGACGGATAAAAAACAGGAAACGGAAAAACCGTCACCGCGTTCAGGCGTATTTTACGTCACAGCTGCTGACTAACCTCGGAATGGGGCTGTATTGTTCCGTAACGGCCGTATGTTTGGTCTCAGGTTACTGTTTTTCCACCGTATTACAGTACATACCGCCCTGTACTGTTTGTTTCCCTTTTATTACCGTACTCTTACTCTTCCGTATCTTTAATATAGTATTATTATATAGACTCGCCGTCGAGCCAAAGAACAAACGGCGAGGATGATGGGAAAGAAAATGCGACGGTGATCGAGGGGATTGTCTTTTGAGACAGGTCGGCGTCGGACAGGCCGGCTGGCCGTGTTGGCGGTTGGGCGCTGGTTAGACGAGAGCGCTCTTGGCCTGCGTAATGCCCTATAACAACATATCAGAGCCTTCAGGGGATATACATCGACATACACATAGATTCTGTCGAATAAAAGGAGGGCTATGCCAGCTCAAAGGAAGAAGAAGAAGAAGACGGGTGAGAATCCTGATCAGCCCTGCTTTGGAGGTCATCGACACGGCTGACAGTGATAAACGGCCAGGCGAACGGACGTCGCCGGCAGACTTTGCGCTGTCGCTGCAGCCCTCTCCTCTGGCTGCTGCCAAAGGGGACGAGCACTGGGACAGCTGGCTGACGGCGCCCTCGCTCAGCCAGTCGCAGCTCAGCTTCGGTCCGGCCGTCTTTGTCTCGGTCTCAACTCATCTGCTGGCCAATCCGAACCTGATATCCCCCAGCCTGTTCAGGGCGGACATCCTCCATGACAGTGCTGGAGTGCTGGCCACTACCACTGCAGAACACGAACATGATGGTCCTGCAGCAGAAAAAGAAGCTGAGATAGTCTGCCATGCAAAGAACGCTCGCCTGCCTCTTTGCTTCCCTGGATTCGACCTGGATCGGGTCGTCGTCAGGAGGCTGATACCCCGAAACCCGAACCTCGACCCTCCCCATGACCAGACATGCCACCTATACCAGAACACTAAAGAATCAGATATAACATCTCATCTGGCCGTATACTACCCCCACGCGGCCCAGGAGAAAGATATCCCCTTCTACCATCCACTAGTCCGCGGATTTGCCCTCCTATACTCCCACTCCACCTCCACCGGCCAAGGCACACTCTCCCTACACTTCCTCCCCTTCCCACCAGGCATACCAACCACCGTCTCCAACCGTCTGCACCGCACCCTCCTCAACCTCCTGTCCATACACGTCCGTCTTGCCTCTGGCCCTGCGGCAACCTCGCATCCAAGTGGCTCGCAACCGCGGCCGTTCAAGGATAATCTCATCCCCCAGCACACCGTGCAGAACACATATACCAGGCTAAAGTCAAAGTACGCTCCCAGCCTGGTCAGAAACTGGGTGGAAGTCACCGAGCCCTCGAAACATGTATTCGAGGATCTCTCCATCGCCGCATTCCTCATCGAGCTATGGAATGTCATGTATCATCTCCCTTCTTGCTCCTCCGACTCTACCAAGGAACTAGACGAAGGGACCGATGTGATGAAGCGAGATGCACCCGCCATGAAAACCAACTTTCCTGGATTTGTTGACATTGCATGCGGTAATGGAGTGCTGGTCTACATCCTTCTGGCTGAAGGGTACCAGGGCTTCGGGTTCGATGCACGCTCACGCAAGACCTGGTCTATCTTCCCTCCCTGGGTGCAGCAGCAGTTGAAGGAAAGCATATGTGTGCCCCAGCCTTATAAAGACGTACTAGGCCCAGCCCATTCAGACGACTCAACAACATCAAGTATATCCGGCCTCTTCAAGAGCGGCACGTTCATCATTTCTAACCACGCAGATGAACTCACCCTCTGGACTCCGCTGCTTGGAGTCCTGTCCAGCCCGTCCCAACCACTGCCCTTTCTCGCTATACCATGCTGTTCCCATGGCCTATCAGGCGCAAGATACCGCTATCCGCCTCCTAAACATCCAAAAACAAACACAGCACACGAAGAAGAGGCGGAGAATGACCGAGTGGACGAGCACGAACATCAGCCGCAGAGTGGTGATTTGAAAGCCCTTCGAGAGAAAAAGCTTGAATCCCAGCAGAACCCAGCCTCGGCCTCGTCTACCTATGGCTCACTAACGGCTAAACTCGTCTGCATCGCCGAAGAGGTAGGCTATCAGGTCGAGAAGACGTTAATGCGTATACCTAGTACGCGAAACATGGGTGTGATAGGAGGCCTCGAGGCATGGAAGACGGCTTTTAATCTCCGGCCTGAAACGGAGGATACCACAACTCAAATCACCCGGCTGATGGATCAAGGATTGAAGCTTGACGCTGACAAGCGTAGAGAGAAAGTCTACAGTGTCGTAGAGCGCGAGACAAGTAGGGACGGCGGAATCGGTGTTGCTGCTATGGCCTGGGTTGAGCGATCAACGGGTCTGCTCAAGGGCCAGGGACGAGGCAGACTTCATGGCTCCAGAAGCGACCATCATGATTAACTAACCTGCCATTCCAGGTAGTTACGTATATGTTATGCGACATGAAAACCAGTAGAGTCGCGAGACTCTGAAAAAAAAAAAAAAAAAAAAAAGTAACAATGCAAGGTGCTATCTATGTGAAATGGATATCCAAAGTAACCACCCCTCGCCGATATTGAACCGCATACATGCAAATCAAATAACAGGAAAATAAAAGAAAAAGAAAATAACTGGCATAGCTAAATCTTCTTCACCCTACCATCGCCCTCTTACCCCGGGCTTTCTCTGACAGTCCCTGCTGAGCCTTGACTTCCTTCATTCGTAACACGCACCGCTTAAAGTCCAGCTGCGTATAATCCTCGGGCATGAACTCGCCGCTGAAAATACACAGCACTGTCATGCCGGGCTTGTATACCAGTCCACCAAGCAGCTTCGGCGTAATCAGGAAATACTGTCCGCCAGTGGTGCCTGAATCGGCTTGTCCACAGGCAATATCAACCATGCGTTCGTGGACCATACGTTCATTCCGAGGGTCCATGCCCTGGTTGATTTCGTCGACTACCCTGAACGGCGAGGCAGAGAGTGACTGCAGCGCCATGAGGTAGAAGATAGTGCTGACTGCTCGCTCACCACCAGATTGCCGATGCGAGTCAAGAATGGATAGCTCTTCGTGTTCTCGGAACTTGACCTGGATTTTGATGGACCACTGGTCGAAATCACTTCCGGGCCCAGCATCGTTTCCAGTTCCTTCGTTCTTATCAACGGATACCTGTCCTGCACATCCAATACGTGCAAAGTTGTCTGCGAATGCATCACTGATCTTAGACACGATTGCATCTAGTCGTGGTTCCCACTCGCTTCGTATCTCCTTGATAGACTGTTCAATCGCAGCCAGTCTCTCTTCTGACGAGCTGAGCTGTTCTTTCAGCTGGTCGATGCGGAGTTGTCGTTGCTCAAACTCTTGAATGACATTGCCGCTTCCTTCGTGCGTCAGCTCAAGCCTGGCTTTCTCAGAGTCGATGTCAGCTTCTAGCTGCTCGATGGTGTGATCCTTGACCTCTTCGCCGACTTCTCTCAGTCCAGGGGTCGAAGACATCTGGGAAACAACGGCTCGAACTTCTGCTTTTGACGTTCGGAGCTTATCTCGCAATTCATCTAGCTTTCGTACCACTTGCTCGACCGCTGCTGTCTTCTCGTTGAGCTCACCGGTATACTCGGCATTCCTTTCCTCTAACGTGTTCACGTCTGACATGGCTTCGATTGCAAGGATTTCCACACGAGCCACTTCTTCAAGTGTTTTGGCGAGAGATACCACCGCAGCCTTACCGGAATGTTGTTATTAGCTCCTCAACTTTCCTATCAATCAATTATGCCAGAACGGAACTCACAGAGTACTCAAGAGCTACTGCGGCTTTATCGACAGCAAGCTCATCCTGCTTGTCTCGCAATGCTTCAACCCGATCTCTAATACCCTCTACTCGAGTATGGCATACATTCAGTTTTTCTTTTTGCTGAGCTAATTGAGCGTGGTATCAGCATTGGGTCGTAGCACATAAACTTGAGGGCATGGAGGGAACCAACTTACCAAGCTTCGTTGGGAGAGCTTTATAGTTCACCAATGCTGATTGTTTCTCGGCCTTTTCCCTTTCAAGTTCGTCCTTTTCACCAGAAACTGCGTCTCTTTCACCCTTTAGTCGTTGCAGCGTACTCCTTTCTTCCTCGCCAGAGGCAATTATCTCGCTCAGCTCTTGCTTCCACTCCGAAATGCAGTTCATCAGGTCTCGTTCAGTGGAAGAGGAATCGACAAGAGTGTCAGTCCAGATCCGAGCAGGCCATAGTTGCCTTACCCTGGTGGTTGTTGCGCTTGGGCCATATTCACGACGGCGGATGACCTGATAAGCTTGCTTTCCAGCAACCCAGGTGGTTATGGTCCCTCGCTCCAGCTTGCGATATTCCTCGTCTGAAATGTCCCTTAAAGTGACAGCTGTTTGATGGAACCTATTCTCACTACACAGCATCGCCAGAACAGGTTCCGGGCCTTCGAGATAGTCTTTTGCCCAGCCATCAAATCTCAGCGAGCAAAGCTCCTCATCGGTTACCGGAGGTGACATGCTGGACAGCGACACGGTACATGTCTTTATACTTATATCGTGTAGACCCAGCTCCTGGTTTAGAAACCGCTGTAGCTTTCTGAAATCCTCCCGGGATTGTGTCGTAAAAGCAATAAAGTCATTTCTCTGTAGCAGAGACTCGGCAGCACTGGCATACCTTGGGTCCTTGACAGAGCATTCCACAATTGGAGGCCCATACACATGCTTGTCAAACTTGTCTTGATTCTGTTTTATCCATTCCCAGGCTTTGGATGAATGGTCTGAGAGCCGTTTCAACTTCTCCTCTTGCTGGCCAGATTGAGACTTTAAATCGATCAATCGCTGCTCAGCATTGGCAATCTTTTTTTTATGTATTTCCACCTTGCGCACAGTGTCTGACTTTCTAGCTTGGATTTCTCTCGCCTTTTCTTCTACTTCACGTATACGCCGGACACAGTCACGCTGGGGACGATTAGAATCATGGAGATATTGATCGAGGAGGGGTACATTGAACTCACTATTTTCTCGCTATACGCAGCAGAATCAAACTCAACAGCCTCTTCCTCGATTTGACGCTGGAGCCTGTTGATACTTTGTTGGACTCTCTTGCATTCCTCCACCTGCCTACCACCGTTGTTCCTTTCTGCCTCGATCTGATTGCTCAGGTCCTTTATCTTATCATCAATCTTGACCAGTTTCTCCGAGATGGCAGTTGCAGCCTCTTCTCCCTTTTGCGAAAGGACTCTCTTCTGTTTGAGCACAGCTTCTATTTTAGAATAATAGGCCCGTTTCGAATTGACGGCTCTCAGTGCCGGTTCCAATTTTCTTTCCAGCTCTTGTTGTTCCCGTAATAACCTCTGTTTCTGTTCCAATACTTCACTGGTTTCTTTCTTGCATGAGTTAAATCGAGGCAGAGGTCTTGACATTTCTAGGAATTTCAGCCGCTTTTTAATTTCCTCTCGTTGTTTCATTCGTTCCACATCCTCGCGTTGCATTTGTTGCCGCTTTTCCAGGTTCGCCAAATGTTCTCTTTGGCCCTTGCTCTCTTCCAAGATGTCTTTTTGCCCTAACCGTAGCTCTTTCAGGCCTTCATGCCATTTCACCATTTCAGGCCCAGCGGCTGCTCGTTGGGTAGAATGCAACAGATCAATGGGGGATAAGGCGGCGAATTCGCTCACTTTATCCTGTGGAAGAAATTGACAAAGGTTGTCAATTTGGATTGAGAACGACTTTGCAAGCGACAGCACAACGTTTTGCCTAACAGGCTTTCCATTTATCGAGAATGTACTTTTATTGCCTTCACGCTTAATGGTTCTGCAAATTATCGGGTTCTGGTCCATATCTGCTCTGGCTTTAAGCTCAATCTCAATGGTAGCTTCGTCGGCGCCATGTTTCACGAATTCAGCTACGTCTTTAGCTCGACCAAGATACTACAATAAAAAACAATGTCAGTGAATAGCCTCACATATAAATCAGTGTACTAAGTTCGTATATGCTCACCGATGGCCCCCATCCGAGTCCAAGGCATATGGCGCAAACAAAGGTACTTTTTCCAGTTCCATTAGGCCCAATCACCATATTTAGTCTCGGTCCCGGATGGCATTCGGCAGAGGTATAAGTCACGAAATTCGTTAATTTTACTCTCACAATCGACCCAGGGAGGTGCTCAAGACCTTTCCCTGCAGCATTTCCCATGCCCTGATTACGGGAACCCCCATGAAGCCCATTACTCGAAGATGCCGCATTCTCAGAGGTATCTCTCAAAGCTTTTGTTATCAGCGTCTCATCATTACAACTCTCATCACTGTCATCTTCCTCAGACGAAGACTCCTCACTTGCTTCGCTCTCACGGCCATTTCTTCCAGTACTTAGTCTAACGCGTTTGCTGCCGTTAGATGCGTGCGAGAACGGGGTCCCATCTCGCTCCCTACTGGACGCTTCATCGTCGTCAGAGTCGGACTCTGCAGCCCTTTGCCGTCTTCTCGGGGGTGCTAGAGTGTCTGGCATCGTCCCACAAGCCAGTTGCTGTCGCCGTTAGGCTCTTGTTGACATTGAATCCGTTCGCCGTGACAAAATATAATTCGCCCACATCACTAAGTTAAGCCTGGCGCGTCGTGAAGGCGCTAAGCCTATTTGGGATAAATTGGATACCTATGCGCACGCCCCCTTTTCGATTCGGATTTACAGCGATTTACTGAAGTCCAAGTCGTATTCAGTTTTACATGCACATAGCTTGTTCTCATTCATGGAATTATATTTAGTTATCTATATTAGCAACTGAGAATGGCAGAAAACGCTGCTTGTGTTTTTCACCCGGCCAAACTCGTAGAGTGGACGTGAAAAGTGTTATGTTCTGCTGGAAATTGATACAAGTCAAACCCATGGTATCTGATTGCCGTCAGAATATCAAACCGGTCTCATGACCCTGTGCCCCGTGGTATATATGTGGTATATGTGTGGAAAAAGTAATCGTCCCAATCCGATGCGCCATAACTCCTAGCATACATACCCTAAAAGAAAAAAAAAGCCCCCATCCCGCAGATTTTCGTATGACGTCTATAAACATGGCTCAAAATGCCTGCACCCCGATTATAGTTAAGCCGGAAATGATAATGGCGGAGTAAGGTATAGAAGAGGAAGGTAAAGGTAGATATAGGCTGTGGCGCCCAAGAAGAGTCGTAAAAAAATGAGTCGACATAGTGTAAGCCAGAAGTGGACCTTGCACTGCAGTACTAGTCAATAGTAGGGTGGCAAACTTTCACGACTAGAAATAGTTCCCGTTTGGTAAAGTCATGAAAATGCCAACGAGCACACCGGTAATCGCGGTTCCGAGTGTCGTCGAGCGGATGATGGTCATGGTCTGAAGATGGCAAAGGGTTGGATCTTGAATTCGCACTGGTGGATCTAAAACTTTGCTGAAGAAGCCCCTTTTCTTGTTCATCTGTCTCCAAGGTTCGTTATCGTAGGAATTCGTCGACCCGAAAGCATCAAACGCACTCCGATCAAGTCGACAGGAGTTCTTTGAAAGTTCATTTGTTGCGCCGTATATCTCCCAGGGGTGTAGTTGACGCTTGTAAAAACAAAGAAATAACTAAAAATGGACGGAGTAAGCATTGATAATAGTGGTATGGAGTTGAAAAACCACATACCATGCAAGTTCCTTCCATCGCAGCAATCAATGATGCGATGCCGGGAAATAGAAGCAGGGCAGAAAACATCCTCCAGCCGCGATGGACCTTGCTGAATACCAAAACAATGGCCAAGGCGAGCCCGAAGGCAATGATTAGCATGCTAAATACACGAGCACACAGTAACCGGCTGCTATTGCTGTTATTTAGAGACCATCGGAGGAATTGCGGGTGAGATTGTTGGCGTAGATTCCATTCGACTTCTTGGACTACGCCGGCAAAGGCGGATGGATGGGTCGTGGCGGATAGAGCTTGCATAACTATTATGCGCTCTATTGATGTGAGATTCAGCTGCCGGGGTGCATTATCTAAGATGTAGGTGGATATGATACGGTTGATTTCCTTGCGATGTGGTTGAATAGTGACTGAAGATTGTAACTTGTTAGCAATGGTTGGTCGGCACAATAGGTAATTGATAGAACTGGCAGTCATACATGGCTCAAGAGGGTTGATACCGTCGAAGGCGCTTGATTCGTCGATAGACTCCTGGCATTCCGCTGCTTTCGATCCTCCATCCCAGTCAAACCAGTCTCCGCGGGTAATACTGCTGGTTTCAATGTCGACATGGGAGCTGCTTGGGCGGGTTGCAAAAGGAGTCAAATCATCCAGCTCAGTTTCTCCAACAGGTGGAAAGGCGGGAGCGGGTACAAATGCACCAGTAACAGAAGGGGCACGCTTCGCTCTCTCTTTAGATTGATTGTTAAGCCTGATCACTCTCTTCCGTTGCTCTTCCGTCCACGGCGGCGATAATGCCCACTGCGATTCAGAGAGGGCAGCGAAGCGCTGGATGTAGTCCTGGTACCATAGGTAGAATTGAAGATTTTCGGCAGCGCGTTCAACATAAAGGAGGTAATTCATAAAATCGACCAATCCACAGGGCTATAGATTGAATGTTAGATATCCGTGCCGCCCAGAATAAAATATGTGACACTGACCGAACAAGTGCAGCCGTTAACGATCGATTCAAACGACAGGGCCTTTTTCCTGCTGCCAAAAAACAGCTTCTTCCAGGAGAGCCATTTATCGGGATTCGAGGACGGAGACGAGTTACATGGCTGATTGCGGGATGAGCGCAGGCCATACTTGGGTGCCATATCAACAGGATATCATGGCGCTGGGAGTTCCAGAACAACGAAGGATGGTAAACAAAGAAAGAGAGAAGAAATCGAAGAAATCTGGAATGTCGGAAGGAATGGATCAAGGTCAAGTACAACCAGCAGGCGACGACTTGGCGATCTTCAATCTTCGCAAAACCTTCCAACTGGTGAAAAGGGCAGAAGAGTATCCGTCCGCTAGTATTTTAATTGCTACGAGGTGGAGATATAGGCGAAGAGTTTGGAGTTAGGCGAGACGGTTCACCCCCAAGGCTTCCCTTGCAAGGGTATCTGATCCTCTGGTCCAGAAAGCCTCAAGTGGGCAAACGGATCATAAACATTAATTTTTGGCTGCTGAATTATATGGATATCTTCTGCAACCCTTTGTACGGAATAAAAGTGAATGCGACCCTGCTTGATCCAGGTAGGACAGCATCCGATGTGCACGTATATTCAATTGTTGACTAACTCTTTGGTCAGTCTCGGGGGAATGGGAACATTAACCCATAACCCAGGAAAACAGAAAAAAAAAAAAACCCCGCACATCCGTGATAGTTTTGAGTAAACTAAGTAAAGGGTTGAACACCTCACGAAGCAAGGGAACGAGACCCTGAAATCGAACTCGTCTTGCGCCTCGACCAGCTGGCCCTGCTGAAGAAACGATGCTCGAGCGGAAAATGGAAAATTATTTTTTTCTGGAGTGACGGGGGAAAATGCCGTTGAAGCATCCCGGGAAACCGCTCCAGGAAAATAATCGACACCGCTTGCTTCCAGAACCAGGAGCCCCAAGCCGAGGAAGAACGATGGTTCGCCAGCATTCTGCGTGGTGCGCGGCATCGCCTTTCGCATGACTCCTAGCGGCGGCCCCCTAAGTATATTATTATTACTCTCTGCTCCCATACTGTACATCACCCGCCAGGAGCGAGGGATGCCAATGGAAAAGCAGCTTGACTGTTGCTCAAAGCCCGCTGATTCGGTAAGGATAGTCCCTGCAGATGACGGGTTCTTCTGACGAGCCAGTGAGCACTACAGGCTCCTTATCGAATGGTTGGTTTTTCCGAACGCAAGAAATCTCCCTGAAGAATCGTCAACTCGGCGTCCCCTCTGACTCCATGACACCCAGGGCGCGACTTGAATGGCTGGCTGGGCAAATGTGGCTTTTTTGCCCAGATTTGTCGAACTGACACGAGCAACCACCAGTTAACCTCGTATAAACCCAAGACCGGGCCGGCTCGAGAACCAGGGTGGGCTGCACGCTAGGGGAACCCTCCTGTGGGGTTACATCGTAACTCGTCTTCTTTCCTGGCGGATAGAAGCGTCCTTGCGGAGCAGACAGGCGACAGCTCACATGTTAGCTGTTTTCCGTTCCTGCAGGCCCCAAGCATTATTATTTCCTCCACGCTGTACTCCGTACTCTGCTGTGCTCACAACCCACACCCCGTACTCCGTAAAACTAGTGGCTTCGCAAAAGCCGCTCTCTCCTTGGGGCTGTGTTGATGTTGTCGTCGTCGTCGTCGTCGGTGCTGCTGCTGTTGCTGCTGGCGGAGTTGTGGATGGACGTTTCTGCAAACTTCGGGACGTTGCTTTTTTCCCCTTTCAGCTAAATTCAAATTATGTTATGAATTCAAATAGAGTTCTTACATAATATGATTATGTAAAAATGACATGTGAGGAAGGAGCGCCTTCGGCTTGATCATGTGATGTGTGTTAATCGGATTTAAGTGTTATTACATAATCTATCAGCTGTGATCACATGTTACTCCAGTTGCCTAAAGGGGAAATGCCATCTCGTCTCCCTTTCTTTTTAGCCTTTTTCTTCCTTTTGCGCCTGTCACATTCAGCGCCGCGGATGACATCGAACAAACAACCCCGGCTGAATACTGTCGTGATGGCATCTTGTTGAGCGAATGCTGCATGGCGGCTGTTTTATATACCGACAGATACCCCAGTTTCTGCGTTGGCACGACCCCGTGGCGAACGGATCAATGGATCGATCTGTTGATATCGATTATCGACATCGTTTAGCGCACATACTCTCTCTGAGCCATGCCTGGGCATGACCACCCTGACAAGGCATCAGCGACATCAGTGAACAAGTGGAAGAAGCCTCAGGGTGGTCGTCCGTCCAGCAGCACGCTTTTACCGTCCCCCGTTGCGTCCCTGGTCAGCTTGGTGACGCAGTCGACCTCACTCTCCTTGCGGCTGTGGACGTATCTTGGGGGTTTTGTAATAAATAGCGCCAGAGCAACAACTCTTACGGGGCTAGAGCTAAGCAGAGCCGTGGTAGAGGGTATCCTTATACGGGCCGGCCGAGATGTAGTCTCTCGGAGCAGCGACGAGCATGGAAGATCGGAGGCAGAGTCACTCTTGGAGCGTAGTGTGAGCCTTTCCTCCTCTATATGTATTTATATACGTGCTTGGGATAGCTAATATTTGGTTGTAGTTGGCAACTCTGCACACCACCATTACGTCTGCTTCATTCTTCGCCTCTGCTAGCTTCCATCTTTCGACAGTTACGCTCTCCTCTGTGACATCATTTTCTCAGACACTTCTTTCAACGCTAGATGCCATCCTTGGGTCTACCGAATCATCCAGGGCAATCGCCTCGATCATTACCCTCATTCGACGTGAATTTCGCAATCCTGAGGTCATTCCGCTTGGAGAGACTGTTGGTGTTGGAGATTTACTCGTTGGCTCTATAGGGTTTGTTTTATTGCAGCGATGGGGCCGTAGACAGACGGACAAGGAAACCCGGCAGAACGGGAATGAGGAAACTATATGGGACGTTGTTATTCTTGATAATGGGCTTAGAGCCGATGTTGTTGGGACTCACCAAACGGCGTTTGGCGAAGACATTGACGGAGGTGATTCTTCGTCCTTGCGGCCCTCCTCTTTCCTTATACCTGATACTAGCGGAAATGAGAGCCTAGATACCCTTGAGCGAGGAAAACGGCCTTTCAGTCATCTTGTTCCCCACGTATCTCTTCAGGCAGATTGCCAACATGACCTTGGAGATGATGAGATTCGTCGTTATATTGCGGAGCAGCTACCGCGAGGTTGTCACGCAACCATAAAGGTCGATACAGTCACCGCTAGGACAATAACGGTAGACGTTTTTGACTCAGGCCGTGTCAACATTTCTCCCCCGCCTGGAACTACAAAGATTGAAGAAAGGGTGCAGCCAGAATACAATAATGCAATTATTGGTTCAGAACTAGTGGGCGAATCTCTCCCGAAACATACAGTTGTCTTTAAGACAGTGTCAAACTCCTTCCAGGACTCAGAGTTGCGGATGCCTTCCCACGTTACTACACCGGATGCACAATATGGTTTGTCTCAAACAAATGTTAAAGAGGATACCTGCAATGATGATGCGAGATTTACACAGTTGGCTAGTATTGAGACCAGCCCCCGGATGCGGCCAAAACGCACTCATCGACGTCGGAGGACTTCTGCGTCAGATACAAGTGGCTCCGAGACTCCAAGAACGGTTGGAACTAGGTCTTTTGCGCGCATAACCAGCAAAGTGAAGGCTAACGCAGAGGAAAAGCCCAGGAACAATATATCAAAGAGGGTATCAAAGGGAGCTTCAACTGCAGCGCAGTGCAACACCTCTGTGAGCCCTTTTCACGAAACCAGGAGCGGACACAAAAGTGGCCTGAAAAAGGTGCTAAGTTCCAGCAAAGAAAGGGAAAATAACAATACCTCAGCCATAAAAAATAAGACCGTGATGTCAGATTCCACAAATAGAATCCGGCCACTCTCTCCCAAAAAAGAGAAATCTACTCCAAGAAAGGTCGAATGCGAAGCCAGCTCCCACGAGGCTAATCCCGGAAATCAGTTGGCATCCAGCCGCTACTTACTTCGCGAGAAAGGCCCAGAGTCTTTCGCTCACACGGATCCTTACTCTATACGGTCTCCAGAAACACAGCCTAGCTCTCCGTCTTTTCCCAGAGAACATGTCCGCAGCAACTCTTCCTTGTCAAAGGCAAGGTCAGAGAAAGACATGTCTCTCTTCCTCAACTTCACCAGCCGCCCTGGTACCCCGATGATGTCTCGGCGCAACTCGTCCAAATCTGCTGTTCCTAGCCTCTACTCTATTGCCACAGGATCCGAAACCTCGCTCTTGCTAGCACCTCGAACCGGGAAAAGTGCATACGACGATAATTCCGCTCTCTCATCTCTTTCACGTACCGGATATGTCCCAGGACTCTACCCGTCCAATAACCTGGTGCGAAATATACGTCGTTTCTCTCGCTTTTCATCCGCATCATACGGATCAAACTTTTTAAGGATAATGGGCATTTCTAATGCCACTACTCAATTGCGTTATGAGGACCCAGTCGATCACCACGAGCATAATTCATTTTCAGAATACACAGGGCTACCCGCATCAACCATTCTGCTTTCGTCGTTCGTTGACACGGCTGGTGGCACGAATGCTGCAGGATTCAATTCCGAGGGGTTCCCTTTAGTCCATTATTTATCCATAGATCACGAATCTAAAGCTGCTGTCTTAACTTTGAGAGGTACCTGGGGCTTTGAAGATATCCTCACTGATATGACCTGCGACTATGACGATATGATTTGGCTTGGGAGGACTTATCAGGTTCACAAAGGCATGTTAGCCTCTGCGAGACGTCTCCTAGAAGGCGGCGGAGGCAAAGTTATGGCTACGCTTAAATCGGTCCTTGAAGAGTTTCCAGATTATGGTGTTATTTTTTGCGGCCACTCCCTTGGAGGTGGAGTAGCCGCCCTTCTCGCAACGCTTATGTCACAGCCCCAGCATCCTGATCTACCTGGCCCATCCTTTGTCACATCATCATCACAGCAGGCCTTTACTGGATTACTTCCCGCCACCATTCACGAAGCCACTCAGAGCACTCATCAAGAAATGGGCCAGTTTTCATTACCTCCCGGTCGACCTGTCCATGTATACGCATACGGCCCACCTGCCGTGATGAGTCCACCACTCCGTCTCGCCACCCGTGGATTGATCACAACAATTGTTAATGGGCATGATGTGGTCCCGACCCTTTCACTGGGTGTATTGCATGATTTCCACAGCGTAGCCCTGTCCTTTAAGCGCGATGTCGCCGACGCTAAGTCTCAGGTTAAAGCCAGGGTGTGGGATGCAATCACTCGCAGCATTGCTAACAAACTAAATATGGATAACCCTTCTTCGATACATGCCGGTGATGGTCTAGGCGAAGACTCGTGGGCGTGGAATACCCTCAAATCCCTGCGAGAAGGTCTTACAGCTACAAAACTCTTACCTCCCGGCGAAGTTTTCGTTGTTGAAACAATGCGTGTACTCCAGCGCGATGCCTTCGCTGGAGATATGGTTGCTGGGGATGGCTATCCTCGCCTTGGCCGCCCGGCCACCCGGGTTCAACTAAAATACATCCGAGACGTCGAAAAGAGGTTTCGGGAAGTCAAGTTTGGCTCTGGTATGCTATTGGACCACAGTCCAGCAAGGTACGAGTCGAGTCTGGCCATCCTAGCCCGAGGGGTCCTTGAAGATGAGTGACATAGATGTCTACCTCACCACTGATCTTTTAATATTTCACATGAATGATATACACGCATTTCCTATATCATATTCGGGACTTTTCGGTTGAGCATATTGGATCCGGTTTTGGCCACCGTGAGCCTGGAGCATTTGGAGCATTTATATTTGACACCCCCTTGTATTTCGTTGTTCACATCATATAGAAAACCACATAATACCTTGTTGTGGTGCCGGCGTTCCGAGAAATACCCAAATACCATTAGATAGTTAAGTCTAGTATATATCGGCGAGCTCTCAAATCGTATGACTCAGTTTCGTTTCCCAGCGTCCCCAATAAATTTTAATCAGTATACCACTTAAACAACTGGTCCAAGTATCTATCTCTGCGAATGGATCACTAAATAGTAGATCATTCCATCATAACATTGAGAATATTTCCAGGGTATGTTTCAATCCTTCATATTCTGGGATGTTTTCTGGCCAATATATTGGAGACTTTCCCCTGCCAAGCAAGTATCAGAGGATAAGTAAGGGACAAGCATGTGTGCGTTCTATCGTGGTTTCATCCGGAGGATCAAAAGGGCCACATGTAGCCAGATAATGGCTCTCTGTCCTGTCCTTGGTTTTCGAGTACTTCCGTCGAGGTCATGCCACTAATATATCTATAACAACAAGGAGTCGAAAATATATGAGTGGCCAGGTAGTCAACTTGCAAGAGTGGCTCCCAGAGCCGTGGCGTGAGGATGATCCCCATTGCAGGCGGATTTGCTTCCTAATATCGAGTGTCTCTTCATCTTTTCTTGTCATTTAGGGATTGGTATCCTTGTGTAGATTGTTGCTGCTTCTGATATTGCTCTTTTTGTTGTACAAGCTCTGCTTTCTCTGCCTGTCGTGCTTCAATTCCCTTGATCTGCTTTTCAAGCATCTCTCGTTTCGCAACCAAGTTCTCCCTGGCGAGCAGTAAACTGTTTATTTTCTCTTCAGGCGAGGCATCAAGGCTTTTTCGAACTCTCTATATAACGTATCAATGCCGTATTAGCGGCCTGGGATATCAATTGGGCATAAATATAGGGAGTTTGACTTACCTCTTGTTCTTCCTGGCTCATCTTCAAGCTTGCACCCCATACTGCACCCGAAGCTGTGATGACGGCAACTGCTCCAGCCAGTACTTTGTTCTTAGCTTGTGACGACAGCATGATATTCTTTCTAATGGCTCAGGTCACGAATGTGGACTCTGTAGCTTCCATTAATGTGCAAGATGAAGCATTGTATAGAATTCTGTGTTTCTCTTAAGTTCGAAGTTGAAAAGCTTCAAGAACAAAGTTCAAGTCTTGGCGCGTAAATCTTTTGTTTATTACTATTTCGACCACACTCCGTCTCAACCCCAGGAACCACCACCAAAAACAGAACGACCGCCAGCCATATATACCCCCAGACTCCCTGAGAAGGATATCAGAGCCTTATACGGAGAATCTGTTGAAAATGAACCCAAACGATAGACAGTCGAACCTCTCTCCGGCGAAGATGAGGCAATATTCCCACCTTCACGCGCAGCTAGCTCAGCTGAACGCCAACCTCGCCGATACACAGAATCTCATGCGCATGACAAGTGCCCAAGCAAGCGACCTTAGGTTCTTGGGCGGCTATGTAGGGAGCCTGTTCATGGGTGCGGCGAAAGTCTTAGGCGAGGAGGGGATAAATGCGCAAGATGACGGCAGCAAGAAAGACGGAGGCAAAAACAAAGGTGCATCCCAAACGAATGACGAGAGTTATAACTACGAAGACGGCGATGAGGGCCGTGGATAGAGGGAATATGGGGAGTCAGATATGGCATCCGCTTTATCAACCGATGATACAATACGATACCATGGCAGGACGAACGGCTCTCATGAGCTCAACTGATGGACTTCTCACCGGAGAAATGTGCATTGCTGCTCGGAAAATTACCTGGTCACTTCATTGGCGCAAGTGCAACAGCTGGTTTGTTTTGCTGGTACGGAGTATTTTGCCCAAAACAGCCTATTGTGCGGACTACATCAGCAACTGTCCTCCATTTACCCACGCGAGAATTGCGGGAAAACCTATTCTTGGATTATAGCACAAGGGTCTCTGCTTGTTTTTTGGGGGAATTTAGCAACTTCCTTGAATCTGGCTGGAACCATCTACCTTATTAACCGGACGGATATATCTCGAACTCACCTTGACGCGTCTTCCCACGAGATTCATAAGGCGGCGAATAATCCATCCAAGAAACATGTGGATATCCCCGATGTCGCCCCTGTCTGGAATCCCTCATGGAGTATGGAGTATCCGTACGTAGCTGGGATATAAAATTGGGGCATACCGGATAAACTACACAACACTAGCAAAGAACCCGATGTTACAGCTAAGGTGTAGGATACGATCATGAGAAAGCAACACTCTTTGTCTTTCAGAAAGTAACGGGAAGGAATTAAAGCATAAGTGCAAACTGCCCCAAACCAAGCAGGAAAGCAAGAGAAAAGAAAATCAAACAAGCCGCCAAATAGCTCAGAAAAGAAAGCAAGCGAGGATAAGAACACTGCCCTAGCAGATAATTAAAGTAATGCCTTGAAAGAAAAGAAAAGAGAATCCATCAAAAACAATTCCCATAAAAAAAAGGAAAGAAAAACCGACGTTGCTGAATTACTTTTCCTCCCATAATTGATCATTTTGATCCTCTGTGTTCCGCTGAGAGTGTTTTTTCCCCTCCCTTTTCATTGTTCGAGCAGGTTCGTAAAATTTTGCATAATAGCAAAGCAAAGAAACGGAAGAGACATGTAGGTGGACAGGTAGGTAAATAAAGTCGATAAGTAAGAGGACAGGAAGGTGAAAAGGAACATTCCATCAAGCAGGCGATAAAATAAGTAAAAACAAAACATATAGAAAAACGATACCATGTACCCCCTTGATCCCGCTTCGGCCCTTCTGTCCCCCTTTTTTTGGTTGGATATGCGCCAAAGAAATCCCTGATTCTACCGATGGAGCTCGGTCGTTGACATTGCTTTGCTGTCAAAGATGGAAAAGTAGTGATTACTTCAGTATGTAGGCTAGTATAAGAAAAGGAAAGAGAGGAGTAAGTAAAACACAAGTCAATTGAGGGAAGGGAAGGGAAGGGTAGCTTGTGTACACGGAGGGAAATTAAATAGCTTATGAAAAAAAAAAAAAAAAACAGAAACACGCACACAATCTCTCCTTAATGCAACATGAACAAAGGGAACATAATGTGGAAAAGAAAAAGAAAATTTTGTTTGACGTCGACAGGTGGAGAGCGGAGGGAGCCAGGGAGGCTTTGATGTGAGTGCAGCCAGAGAAGCATTATCGTAGTATTAAACGCTGACGGCCAGTCGGCTATCTGTCCAAAAAAGTGAAGACGTTTCCATTGTACATTGAAGGCAGTAGCATGGAAAAGAACACTGCCGGCAGGCTGTCGGGATCGAGAACATAAGCCCAAGAAACGAGACGCTATTTACCGTAAGTATTTTTCCCCCCATCATTCCGAAGTGGCTTCGAGGCAGAACAACGATAGGGAGGATTTCGGTGGAAAAGGATACTAGGAAATGCCGAAAAAATGTAGGCGAAAAGCTAATGCGAATTATGTGTTGAAGGGGTATCGTTAATGGGGACGTCTATAATTCGTGTCGTGAAGAGGTAGATATCCGCTCGACGTAGGAAAAGAAAGAGACGAGGGAGAAGATGGGGAGCGGTGTGGCCGCGCGTATGAAATTACCGAACTGCATGTCCCCGATGCACGGGATCAAGGCTGCTCTGGCTGCTGTATGCAGAATTCTCTGAGTCGATATGTGCACTTGCACCACTATCACCACTCTCCGCGCTGGCACTCGCACTGCCCGTCAGACTTCGAACGTTTGAAGGACCTTTGGGGGGGTACGGATGGTTGCTCACCCCGACATGTTGCTCGACCTGATGCGGCATTATAGCATTACCTTGACCAGGCGGGTGCCTTGGTACTGGAGCTTTCATCATTCCTGGGGGAGACGGCCTCCCACTATGTCCCATTCCATTCGGTAGGGGCATCTGGCCACCCTCAGGTCCTGTACCTGGTCTACCCATCCGGCCGTTTGGGAGAGAAGGATTGCCGGGAGACTGGCTAGTCCTTCTACTCGGTGGGAAAGTTCCATGCCCCATCTCACCCATTCTCGAGGCAGTCAAGGAGTTCGCTCTTGATTCGTTGTGCATTTCTCTTCTGTCAACATTACCATATCGATTGGATGAGTAGCTCATCATAGGGTTGTCTAGTAGCGAATCGTGCATTCCTGGTATCTCCTCCATTATCCTTGCGCTGGCACGATGTCTACCAGCACCAAAATGTCTGCTGAAGACAGATGGAGGACGAGAACTGTTCATTTCAGGGTTTTTGCGGAATTCCTTTGCGGGAGTAGTTGGAGTTTTCCTATTTCTCCGAGAAGTTACGCTCATCATGTCAAAGTTATCCGGATCAATTTGAGGGATGGCCGGGCTGCGGTGGTCTGGGAGGTCGTAGCCATCTTCGTCGTCATCGTCAAAACCGCCTCTAATCGATGGAGCTCTCGCAACGCCGGCTCCACGGCGCCTCATTTGTATCTCCTGCTCTCGCAGGGCAATCTCTCGCTGGCGAAGCATGAGTTCACGCTCCTTTAGTGCCAGTTCACTAGGAGATGGCCCCCCGTTCATATGGCCATTGTATCCACCATGCTGAGACTGGGCGTCATCTTGACCGTCTTCATAAAGTACAAGATGGCTGAATTCGTCGAGAGATGGGTCCTCATACGACAGATCGCGCGGCATGCCTTGCTTGGGAGCACGAGGACCATGGCCATTTGCCTGGGGAGGAAGAGGTCTCGGATTGTTAGCCATGGAGGAGGGACCTCGACGTGGAGGTGGTGGTTGGCCACGGAAGTTCCCACCACCTCGAGGGGCACCATTCATCGGCGGTCTTGAAGGAGCAGAGGATATTCGAGGAGGCAGTGTAACGACGGGTGAGGATGGTTCCGTTGGGGGCTGACGGTTTTGATTGGTAATATTAATATGATGTAGCATGGCGTACAATGTTTCTATTCGGGGAATCTTTACGCCGTTTTCAGTGGCCATCTTGACGGGAGCTCCAAGGTAGGTTTCGATTTCCATGGGCCGCCTGGCCTGGAAGTCCTGGTACATGATGCTCGGATTCTCAGTTGGGGCCGTCATTGCCTGGATTGTCTTTTCTTTGAAGTCATCGGCAAATGTGCATCCCTGGGACTTTGCAAGTGTGATCAACTCATCGAGGACGTCTGAGACCATTTGACGCACCCCAACCTTTTCTAGGAGCTGACTGTGGTTTGGGGTCTCGAAAAGGACACTGATAGGGTAAAAAGCAATGGGGCTAGACAGGATTAGCATGGCAAAAGCGAGAGGGCAAAAAGGCATGTCACATACCCTATCATACGATCATACTGCTGCTGGAGTATATTTTCTGATACTTTGCAATTCACCTGAGCGGTGCCGAGAGTTATTGCCAGAGCAGCAGCCATGTCGTTCTGGATGGCTGTTGGGATCATGGCGTTCTTCGAAGCTGGACCAACCCACAAGTCGGTTGAAGAGGTGTGTTCAAACTCGCTGGCACCGGTCTGGACAATATCTACTGCAGATACCAGAGAAAGGACAACATTCTTTGGGAATCTCTGCTCCAAATGGGCCTCGATACCTATTGTGCTCGTAGTATTGACCAGGATGCATGTGTGTTGGGGGGTAACGACTGATTCGATCACGCCGGCGAGATCGTAGATATCTGGCAGAGCTTTCACGCAGAGAATCACATAATCGTATGACGACGATATGGAAGCACCTTCTTCTGGCGTACGGACAACTATATTGTTGTTAGCAGGTTCTACCTTCTTAGGTAGAAACAAAAGAGAACGGATAGTATTTACCGTGTCGAGGTTTAAAGCGTTCGTTGCCGAACACCTTCGACCTAAATTTGACAATAAGTGTGAGCCAACCAAGGTACCACAAGGAGAGATATAAGGGTAGAGAGAGAGTAGCCATACTTAAAGGATATGCCGTACTGCTGGACGGACTCGAAGCTGGCCTTCCACACCAGCGTCACATCACAGGAATGCGTGGCCTGGAGTCTCCAGGAAAGAAAAGCAGACACCGCATTACCACCAACTATAAAATAGGATGTCAGCCGGCCCATCACAGAAACACAGTCATCAAATGTAACTAGGAAAGCAGGGCGAGGTGTGATTCCAGGACTGGTTCCAAGGTCGAGATATTCCCAGTTTCCTTGCTGCCTTTATTTATTTTTGCTTCTTCCCCCTCTCGGTTTTGTGATATTTCCCTTTCCTTTCTCTCTCTCTTTTTTTTTTTTCTCTTGTCACGGAGGTGAAGGATCGAGTGAAGGCTTCAGTGTGTCGACAGATAGATAATATACTGAAGACTTGAGAACTGGGGGGTGGGCAAGGTTGGCTGGTTGGGGAAACGGGGCGGGAACTGAGAGGGCAGAGAGAAGCAAAAGGAACAAGAGGACAAAAGAACAAGGAGAATGAGGTGTTGTACCTGATAGAATGCGAAGTCTCGGCGGCGACGGGGCCATTGGGAAGGCAGAGCGTAGGAGGTATGCAGCCGAGCAGACGTCGGGCGGGAAAGAAGCAGCCCAGTTGTTTGTGCCGCCGGAACGCACAGCACGTTACACACTGCTGGCTGCTAGCGAGCGAGCTGGTGTGCTTGCTTGCCTCCTTGCTGCTGGCTCGCCTGCTTAGTGCTCGATGATATATGTTTGACGCTGCTCTGGCCGGACGGAAGCAGCACGATGGAGTCGCAGTATGGATATGCACTCTATCGGAAGAAGAAGCAAAGTGGAACGGCCGGCCCCTTTGTTCGATAGCTTGTCGGCAGGGAATCGTCTTGTTTTAATTCTTCTTCTACCGCTGATTTTATTTATGGTTTTTCTTCTACAGCTGCTCGTGGAGTGCTGGGCTGGCTGGCTGTCGTTGTATAGTAATATGGGGGATATCGGCCCTCTATCTCATCGCTTCTCTCGACTTCCCGCGCGCGCAGGGACTATCAACCCGATCGATGGCTGGACGCTGAACAGGCACTAGGGCCGTCGAGGGCTCTGCGAGACAAGATTGGTCCGCTCGATCCGTCAGCCTGATGGATTTCTTTGATCGAGGGTTCGGGTAGCCGTCGGTCGTCAGACCAAAGGGACGAGGGAGAACGCGGACGCAGACAGACAGGCAGCGAGGATTAAGGGAAAAAAAAGAAACAAAAAACGAAAGCCAAACGAAGGGAAGACCAATGCCTGTCGGATCGAGAGAGAGAGAGAGAGAAGAAGAACGAACACCGACTGTAAGAGAGAGAGAGAGGGAGAGGGAGATGCAGGCAAGCGGTTGAGGTTTTCTGTTTTCGACGGAGAGGAGAAAACGCAGCGAGCGCTGGACGACGAAAACCTGCGGTGGTCGGAGCGGGCGCAGGTTGAAGTTTTGGCGGGAACCTCGAACAAGGTCGCGATAGTTTGTATTACGGTTACAGGACAGCCACGTTACAGGACAGCTGCCGAGGGGGCTTGCACGCGCCAAAGGCAAAGTTACAGCGGTAATGTTCCGGTAATTACGCGATCGAGCGGGCTATGGCTACCTCTGCTCAGATCGCAGTGCTAAACAGATAAGCAGGGAATCTTGCCAAGTGGTGTTTTAGTTGGCAAGACCCGTGGGAAAAAGAAAGCATCGATAGACAAGGCGTCGGTGTTGCTTTTTCCACCTGCTTTCCCCCTTCTGGCGCAAAAGATTTTCAGGGTGAAGGGAGCTAGTCTGCTTGGTGACGATTGATATCTGAAGGGATAAGTGCCAGAATTGGGGGTGACAGCTCTGGAGTAATTGATAGGATGCAGGATGCAGAGCTGCCACCACGTTGTTGCATTCTCACTCGGATGTACCTCTGCCTGCTGCTGCCGGTGCCAACTTCCCCGATCCTGTGCCGTGCGCCAGTCAGCAAGATAGTCAACTAAGATATCAAGGGGGAAAAGGAATGCAGAGAAGAGGCCGAAAAGGGATAACCATGGCCCTCGACTTGATGTTCTTCTTAGCCCAGCCTTATCATCCATCGTGGTCATGTCTACGTTTCAGCAGGTATATTAAGTACCTAAACATACTTACTTAGTTCCCCTTGAGTCCCCCCAGTATATGTGAGTAGTTATGTATCAAAACATACTCCGTACATAGGGAGTAGGTTCGGAGTTCGATCACACAGCCCCCGACGGAGTCGACGGATGCTAAACTGGCCCAATCTGTGCCTTATGCCTCATCTCGACCTCAACTTTTTTTTTTTTTGCTCCTTCTTTCAACGGTTTCCCCCTTTTTTCAACGCAGGTCGTATCATAGAACTGTCAGGCAGAAGAATCAACCTCGTATCTGATGAGTAGTCCAAAGAGACAGGTAGGATCATTTTTCATGGTCACAATTATTCGTTCATATTTTTAGCTCGGCCATCCAGAATGCATGTATTTTGTGTCGAACAGCTTTGATCCCAGTGGGTGATTTGCATATCGAGCTTCCAGCTTGCCGCTTGTTTGGTTGCTTTGCATCTCCCGTCCGAATACTCCATTGCTTTTCCCTTCCCAGACAAGCACCTCGACGCAGTGGCATTATCGTGCAGAAGCAAAGTTCTTCGTACAATACTTTCTCCATTTCCAACCTTTTTTCTTTCCTTTTCTTTCATTTCGCGTGCTTTTCGTGGCAAGATAAGTCGAGCAGGTTGGTTGAATTATTGACGACAGGCTCAAGCAACCAGTGTATGTACCAGCTTCTTCTTCCTTCCCGTGTGGTGGAGCAAAGGGCCCAGCCAGAAAGGCTCACCATCAACATCAACAAAACAACGTATACAGAGTAAATCCTCCCCGATATTCTTATATTTGTTTTTCGTTCCTCTCCATCGCTTCAATCAGTAGTGACTCCGTTCTGCCACACATGTGCACTACAATGCACCTAAACGAGTGCTCTGTCTCGAGAAAAAGGAAACGAAATCGAGGAGCTCCGTACGACAACACCGCGACAGGGAATGCAATCGATTTCAACTGAAAGAATTTCTTTCCCTTTCGACCATGCTAGGGATTGTTTCGTCTTCGCCACTGGCGGACCCTAAGTTAGGCACACGGGATGGAGATGTGCTGGCGCCGAATTGACTCGTCATCGCCGCCGCTAAGTCGACCTTCGCTGCGATGGCTCCGGTAATTTTTAGCACCACATCACCTCCATCGTCGTAATTTACTGCTGCGAGTGCCGTAATTATAGTTTCTTTTTCGCTTTCCTCTCCCTTCTGCTTCTTTGCCCTTGTGAACGTAAGTACTCCGTAGATGGCACGGAGTTTGCGTCAGTCGGTTCCTGAATATCAGTGACTCTGTATCTCTCGATCATCCCGCCCTCCGCCTGCATATGCATATCCATATATTAGATATTAATGTCCCCTTTCTTCCTTTCCCTCTGTGTCGCTCTATTTCTCTTCGCGTTAGAGGAGTTGATGATGTAAAAATAAAGAGCCGGGCGTTATTTCAAGCTTCCAATGACTAAGCTTTGCGGCTTTACACTTTATCCGATGACTAAGCAACTCTAAAGTTGGTGACGTTATCGCAATTCAATCATTTGCATCTCTTTTCGCCTGAGGAGGCGTCATAAAAAGGGTGTGCTGGTACCCCCTAATGCAAGACGAGCAGGAAGAAGCAAATATGAGCATCCATCTTCCATCCGCTTTTAGCGACGTTACTATTTATGCACCTCCCAGTGAAATCGAATACCTTGTGAGCTACGGAGCACATACCTTGCATATCCCCAGCTTGGACGTCGATCGCAGGTATAACAAAGGAGGCTAGCCAATCATGGCCAGATTCAAAGACTTGCCAGAAGAAATCATCCTTTCTATCCTTGAATATACGTGGGAGGCCTGGAGGGAAGAGGTAGAGAACCATGCTCATCTTGAGTCTTATATGGGGAGTCCACATCTTAGCTTTCAAAGCAACCTACTGCCCGTTAGCAGTATGTATTTTCTTCCCCATCCATTTTCTCCTTCATTTAAGCTAGATTCTCTTTCCCTGTCAAACAGTGCATGTCGTTGGGATCCTTTTTGAGCTAATAATCCACCTTTTTTATTTCCTTGAAGAACAGTTCGAAAGGCTTATGGTATACTGGGTGGCCAAACAGGTTAGGCATCCCAGAGTTGACGATAATGAAAAGGAGGAATGGCTAGAGTCAATGCTCCCTCGACCAGCGACGCAGTTTTTCCTCGAAATGATAGGTAAGGAAATGAGTATGACTCGTTTGGAATGGGAAAGCCAAGAGAGTGTCCGCTGTCCGGAACTTGTAGGCTCCATTAACCAAGTCACTGAGTATCTCCTGTGCGAAACTCAACAGCAGAGCGACCATGAGCGCACGGCCCTGAAAAGCAAGTATCAATATACCCTGTGCGCACTGGCTGCAATAAAGCTCTACAGTGGAAACCAAGACCCATTCTTTGAAGACTTTTTTGAGGACTACGCTGAGGCGGACAGTAAGACTCCCGAAAGAGTGACCATGGATATCTGCAGCGTTGCGGGGATGGTAGCCATATTTGAGGATGACGCTACCCTATTGACTCGGGTATTGAATAGGGGACCATTCTGTGTCAATACTGCTCATGAATTTTTTGGCAACCCAATCCTGGTGGCCGCGCAGAAAGGGAGCCTTGAGTGTATGGAAATTCTTCTTAAACAGCCTAGAAGGAGATTTGTCACAGATGGCGCAGGGCTAAATGCGTTACACATTGCTGCCATAGCGGGAGATGTGTCAATGATCAAACTATTGCTTGAGAATATCGATGGAACACTTTATCAAGAAAGACAGAGAGGGCTACCGTTGACTCTTGCCGCAGAAAAGGGACATGAAACTGCTGTAGATGTCCTACTCCACGGCCTAGATCCTCGGCCTATCGCTGAAGATGTCGATGAGGCCATTGCAGCCGCCGCGGGCGCTGGTCGTGAAGGGATCGTAAGATATCTCTGGAACTATAGTAGTTTGCCTGCTAATGCTAGAACAGTGCGTGACATCGCACGATTGGATTTGAATGACGAGGAAGCCGTTAACTCTGCTGATAGAGCAGCGGACAACGGGGATGTTGATGAGGTAGATGCTAATGAGGCGGATGCAGATGATAATGAGGCAGATGATAATGAGGCAGGTGCTAATGAGATGGGTGCTGGTGATAATGATGATCTAGATTTATGGTTTTCAGAACCAGGAAAAGACGCTCCCATAACAAGCTGTGGAGTCGATGATATGTTTGGCATGAGCTTAGAGATGGACATGCTACTCGCTGCTGCCATAAAGGACCATGAGAATATCGTCAGTCTTATTATTGACTCTGATGTGATACGGCCCCGGATCCAGAGGGGAGTAGCTGCTGCGTGTTTCCAAGCTGCCTTGCAACATGACTGCACAAAGGTCGCAAAGATGCTGCTCAATCGCTTTGAAGGCCTAGCCAATGAGAAATATGGCATGAGTGCTACAGAGCCCTTAGCTTTCGCGGCAGCGTGTACAGCCACAAATGTCATGAAACTCCTTCTCGAACGAGACGACATTGATGTCAATAGTCGTGACACAAGCCGTGCTACTGCAATCTGCTACGCAATGAGACCCCCCATGGAAACGGTCGATAGAGTGACGGATGAATTTGAAGCGCTTAGGCTTCTGGTCGCCCAGGACGAAGTTGACGTCAACTGTGCAGACAGTTTCGGCGACAATGCACTGATGGGAGCAGCTATAGCTGGAGATCGGCGAATGGTAGATCTGTTGATGAGCCGTGAGGAGCTAGATATCAATGCCAGTAATCGCTTTGGCGAAACTGCGCTCTCACGCGCTGTTGTGCTAGGAAACATTGATGTTATCAAAATTCTACTGGCTCGAAATGACCTTAAGGCTGATGAACGAAACAAGCTTGGCCTGACTCCGTTCCTGATAACGGCAGTCACAGGCCGTGTTGATATCATGGAGCAGTTCACGAGCCGCACCGATGTCGATATCGAGGCGAAGGATCCCAAGGGACGAACCGCCCTCTGGTTAGCCGCTCATCGAGGAAATGCTGACGCCGTCACGTATCTGATTCGCCACAGCGCCAATATTAACGTGGATCTCAACGTGCGAGATGATGAGGGTGTATCTCCATTGGAAGTTGCAGAGGGAAAACCCTCGGCAAAATACAAAGGGACGGTGCTGGCTCTGACCGGGAAATGCGAGACAAATGAGACAGCCGAGCGTCCATCCTATGTCGACGACGACCCAGCATCCTTCCTATTCCCATTTGATTGTTGTGTGGCTTGTGAATTAATTCACCCAAAGGCTCACGGAATCTACTTCGGCCAATTTCCTGGCTTTTCTGACCCGTCCTGTAATGGCCTCGATCTCAACGAAGAGGACCTATCCTACCCGAACGACGACAACCGCTCTTTCTCAGACTTCTCTGTCTCAGATTACAGTCCCTCAGACGATGGGAAAATCCGCTACTATCACCCACAATGTTACAATTGAGATTGAGAGAAGCTGAAGGTTTCCCGTTCGGGACAAAAGACGATGCCGCGGCAAAGCTGAGTCATCTGTATTATAAAAGTGTATTTTTAGTTAGTTAGTTTACCAAAAGTTAATTACCAAGTTGTAAATTATTTATTTTTAACTACCTTAATTAAGTCCATCTGATTTAACAGAATTGATGACCACCTATATTAAGGTCAACAAATATCGAAATCAGCTAACCCGCAAGCACCGGGATTAGGCTGTCCATCAGACCTATGGCGTAGTCCGTACCCTGGTAGATGACTGGTCGTCTTTTAGCCTACCTATTAGATACCAAGCGCTTGATACCTAGCAAGCCCGTCCACCTCATGTCTCCAATGAGAGACAGCAATGTCGACTACCTTGACCCCAGCTACTGGATCTATCAGATAAGATGTTCGGCTCGAGCATGGATTCAGTTGAGATTTCATTCCCATTGCCGGGTCTACTTACTTCAGCCGCAGAACCAAGGCAGAGCTTGTCGTCTGCTTGGTACATACCCCTGTAGCCAGGACCATTATTGAACTTCGATCTTCGGCTCTTGTCGAGATTGTCCATCCATAATCTACTTAACATGGAACTCCCGTTGAATGGCTCGAAAAAATACCCGCTCAAGTTCTCTTGCCGCGGTTGCTTGTGTATGAGACCCTTCTCGAGGCCGTCTGACACCGAAAATCCATCATTGTAACATCTTAGGCCTTGCTGTCAGACTAGAGTTAGATGTGTTATCGTGACACTTGTGAGACGCGGACAAGGTGAAACAAAGCGTCCTGGGCACAGGCCATCCTGTCTGAATGATTAACATTGCGTTTGTGCGAGGAGTAGAACATGGCATGTCAAGCAGATTCGGGATCTCATGGCTCATTCAGGTGAAAAATATGACCTTCTAGAATGAATGGCCTTAGACGATCGCCCATGTAATTGCCAGGGTGTGGGGATTACATGTATCTCATCATTAATTTGGTTGCCAACTTCAGACCTACATACTTGGAGCGGCATAAATGCCTGGAACGACTCTTGTGTCAGTCCTGAGATAGAAGATTATAAAAAGCCAGAATATTCATCCGAAGATTTCCTTTTCCCTTGTTTTGAAGCTAAAGAGCAGTACAAAAATTACATCATAAAAGTTGGAGAACACTGCAAACCTTTCCTCTGCGTTTTGACTTGGTGTAAGGGGTTCTGTTCCACCAGCGATTGCACAGCAAGAGGTTTACTCAGAGGGAAGTTCAATAAAAAAAGTGTCAGGGGTCGAAGAGATCGATGAATGGCCAATTTAAGAACACAAATAAGAGAAAAAGGAAATCACTGAGTTCTCAGGAAAGTGAATACCTAACGCGCCAGATACGAGACCCCGGATCATTTTGAGAACAAATATACCTCAGGACTGGATCGTTCGATGAACGCCTTTTTAGAAGCATAAATAAACTACGCCATGTAGGTACTGGCATCGACGCCTTCCTCAGGATATTCCCTAGATATATGTGTGAGAAGGGATGTAATAAACTTTCTGATGATTGAGTTAGACTTACGGAAGTGCGACCTCGAAGCGCTTCTCAATATCCTTCAGTACCTGCATGTTCTCTTCGTCACTGACGAAGGAGATGGACAGGCCCTTGGTACCGAATCGACCAGCACGGCCAACTCGGTGAAGGTATGAATCGGCGTCAATTGGCATGTCGTAATTAATGGCCAAGTTGATTCGCTCAATATCGATACCACGACCGAAAACGTCAGTTGCCACGCAAATACGCTTGTTGAACTCTTTGAACTCGCGGTATCGTTTAATACTGAGTGGATCGTTAGTTATATAATTCTTTCATAGAAGTGAAGAAAGAGACTTCATCATACCGCTCTTCCTGGGAAACACCGGAGTGAACAGCAATACTTGGGAAGTTACACTCCCTCAGGAGCTTGTCAAGCTCTGTCGCACGAACAGTACTCTTAACAAAGATGATGACTTGGTTAAACTCAAGGTTGTCAAGGAGCTCGTTGAGCTTGCGGTTCTTCTCTGCTTCGCTGAGTTTGATGTAGTATTGTTGAAGACCATGCAAGGTGAGTTTAGTATCATCATCGACATACACTTCGAGAGGGTTTCGCATGAACTTCTTGCAAATAGGACGGATCTCCTGGGCAAGAGTGGCACTGAACATCATCACCTGCTTATCAGCAGGAGTAGAGCGGAAAATTTCTTGAACATCGGCGCGCATGTCTGAAGTAAATGCGTTAGTTTCGTATAGCCAAGTATATAGTACTGATATAAGATAGAACTAACCCTTCTGGTCGAGCATTTTGTCACACTCGTCCAAGACAAATGATTTGATATTGCGGAGGGATAGCTTCTTGTCCCGCAAAAGGGCATTCAATCGGCCTGGAGTACCAACAATGATGTTGGGATGGGTATCCTTGGAAGAAAGGATTTCAATGTCCTTCTGGATCGGGGTGCCGCCGTAAAACACCGCAGTCTTTACGTCTGGCATATATTTGCTGAATCTAGCATATTCGTCCTTGATTTGATAAGCCAACTCTCGAGTAGGGCACATGACGAGGATAGAGCAAGTTCCAGGAACTGGCTCAAGCTGGTGTAGAGTGGTCAAGGCAAAAACAGCTGTCTTTCCAAGACCGGACTTGGCTTGACAGAGAACGTCGACATTAAGGATAGCTGTTGGGATGCAGACTTGCTGGACTGTATGGGGTACGTGGCAGACATGTTAGATTGGTTCGATCCAGTTTCAAGAAAACGCAGGATGAAAAAGATATCCGCCCATTCCAGCTGTTTCCAGAGCGACAACAGAAGAGAATAACCCTTTTCTCCGCGCGAAAAGGAGGGAAATCTAGCAGCTGATATATGTAATACTTGGAAGAGCGCAAAATGCATGCAACATATAGGCTCATCTGCAGGGCGGCACGAGGAGGTATCTTCAGGGTGGAGAACATCTCGATGAATTCAAGGTTCCCACGCTTGCTGGTGTCGCGACAGGTCAATGTTACGTTCCCCTTGCGCCAGTAAAGGCCTAGGAGGACCAGAAGCGGCGAAAGTGGCACTAGTTCGATCCTACTCTGGGGTCGAACACCGCAAAATGAGGCCCACAGGCCTGTGTCTCTTGCGCGAAAAGAAATGTGTTTCCACAGATGGTTTTCTTTTCTTCTTGAAATAATGTGTCCTCATGGATTGCTTTTCCCTCGTGCCGCCTGCAAGCTCGTATCGGCCATATTCTCTTGATTCCAAAGCGGGAATGGGCGGATATTTGGCTGGGTTTCAACAGGAAGGACGTGGGAGAAATGTGTTAACTAACCCTCCGATGGATGTTCGAAGCCGCAATCGGTGATCGCGCGTAGAAGTTCTGCCTTGAGGTAGAAATCACGGAAACCGGTCGAATGGATGCCGACATAACTGCCCTTCTTGTCGGCGCCCGCTCCGCCTACAGTCAGATCGCCCTTCTTAGACGCATCACCGTTGGCAGCTGGCGCAGCTGGTGCAGCGGCAGCATCAGTGGTCTGGAGTTCCTCATCGGAGTAGTCGATAAGATCTTCTTCGGTGGCCATGGTGCGAGAGTCTGGTGATTTCTGAGTCAAGAGGAAGAGACTATAATGGACAAGGCTTCTCCCAGAAATATACTAAGCAAGGAATGAGCACTAGATTTCAAACTGGGCTACTCGATGAATATGAGCTATTCTTGTATTCGAGAGAGCCCCTTTAAGGTGGTTGTTGATGATGATGGTGATAGAACAAAAAGCTTGAAGTTTCGTTAGAAGTTGAAAGCGCGAAAGTTGAAAATGGGCGTTTCCTCTTTGGGATTCCCGGAAAATCATTGCCCCGATCATGTGAATAGACTTGCTTAGTCATTCATTTACGCCTCGCCTCACCTTTTTTTTCTTTTTGCTTGAAGAGAAAATGCAAGGAACGTCTAGACATCAACCAGTCAATAATATATTTTGATATCAAGTGAACGTCCGCAAGCAGCATGGCTAAGAAGGCCCAAAAGGCCCAGAAAGGGTCAGGCAGTCGGGCGCAAACTCACCTCCATGCAAGAGTAGCTTATCTATGCAAGGCTGCTGACTATTTACAAAGTGCTACCTCACCCAAATCTAGCAAGGATGGCAACAAGAGCCAGGTAGACTATGATACCACATGCATCTTCGAGCAAGAGATTTCAAAGGAGAACCGGACTTCCGGAGTGGGCTGTGGAAAGAAACCATTTTCATCTATCTCTCGACAATACGGAAACCAACTCCGTGCGGTATCTCAGAAATCACAAATAAGACTAAACCGCGAAACAAAGCGATCCATATGCAAGAGATGTGATTCATTGTTGAGACCAGGGGTGACGTGTTCAGATACAATAGAGAACAAAAGTCGAGGAATGAAGAAACCATGGGCTGACACTCGGGTCATTACATGTGGATTCTGCGGTACACAGAAGCGCTTCCCCCAGGATGTCCAGAAGAGTGTCAAACTCGCCGATCGACCAAAGCCTCGTTTACCCAGGGAAATCGTGCCATCACCGCCAGATATACAGCCAGGATAAAAAATGCCGCCTTGATTTTACTTTTGACCATTGTTTTACTGGCCAGTTAAGCAACATGCATGGCTACTTGTGCGATCCTCCAGACCATAATAGTCTCTCTGTCCATGATCACGCCTACTAGTTGTCCACTAATTCTCCGGATGAAACTCGAGCTGAGAGTTTCTGTTTGCTAATTGCAAAGGCAAATATTCCACCGGAATAGCCATGCAGGCCAAGATATTCTGCTTCGAGGTACGGGAAGAAAAGCAAGCCTAGAGTTTTGGCTGATACACATCGCCGGTGTATACATTTGCCAGTCTAGCAGACCTGGAACATCGGCAACTATTTCCTCTCATAAACGTTATTCAGAGGAATACGAAAGTTTTGATCAGAACATAGTTTTTACAAATTTGAATATGCGGGCGAAATAAACTGTGTATAATATTTGATACACACGAATACGGAGAACATAAAGGAATTCTACATCATTATCATTTTTGTAACATCCAAGTGAGTCAGAAGTATTTGATCATGATTTCATGTAGAAAAAGTGAGATAATAGGTGTTGTTAGTTCACGTTTAAGCGCAACCAGCTTGAATTGTTTGTTTGGGGCCAGATAGTTTTTTCATTTATCCTTCAAGGTATATTATCATTTATTCAACTTTGCTGTCAAAGTTCTCACCCTCAACTAGATCTGGGATATCATCATCATCCTCATCATCCTTCTTGCCCTCCTCCTTCTTTTGCATGCTCTGGTAGCTCTCGGCAAGCTTGCGAAGGGAGGCAAGGGAATCAGGTCCAAGCTGGTTCAGGATACCAGGAACCAATTCAGTGAGTTCCTTCTCCTCGCCGTTACCGTAGATGGCAAAGGTGTTGCTGGGAACAGAAGCGTGAACTATTGTTGTGTTTCATCGGTGGTTAGCATGTCTATAGAAGGAAGATGCAAAAATAGTTAGTGAGTTTACCTTTGGGAGCAGCAAAGTGGATAACGTTGCCATCCTCCTTGAACATGTTGACCTCCTCAATCGCCTGGATTGGCTGGACGTTCATCTTCTTCAAAGCAGTCTGCAGCTTCTTGTCATCGGTTCCGGAGGACTTGTGGACTTTCTTCATCTTGCGGCGGGGAGTTCCCTTTCCACTGCACGTATCGTATATGTCGTCAGTCATACCAATTCATATTGTCGCAAGTTTTCAATCCGCTGATGTATGCCAGAAAATAAATAGATAATATGTTCTCCTCGCCACTTCAAGTTCTAGCCGGCAGAGGAAGTTTGATAGTGGGGGTGTCGAATAGGTCCGATAACTGAAAAAGAAAGGTGTAAACATACCCTAAAAGCAATTGGCAGTCATGTTAGCGAGGAAACACTGGAACCTTGTATATTAAACCATGATCTAAATAGCAGGACAAGATATAGGCTTGCCAGCCTCCCAGCACCGACCAAAAAAGCTCCATTGTTGGTACTTGGCACTAAGAAACAGCAAAGCAGCGGGCTAGTAAAAAGGACAAAAAGGTCATACCGATTCGCACACTCTGCTGCATCTTCTGTAACTTTGCGAGATCCATGATGAATATTGTCTCCTGTCCCTTCTGTTTCCTATAGTCTGTTCCTTTAAAATTTTTAAGGCCGGGAATTCCACCGAGGTATACGAATGCGGAAAAGGCGTAAGCGAGACGATTGAAAACGTCTGGGAGAGACGAACAGGTTGACAGGGTGAAAGATCTAGAGTAGAATAAAAGAATCGCAAAAGGACGAGGACGTCCAGTTTGATATTCAATAATTAGCTTCACTTGCACACATCCAATCAGGGTTATTTGTGGGGGGAACGGAAAAATCGGGGAGCTCGATTTGCCTGCTGTTTGCAGTCCGCGAGGCGCCCCCTGGGTTGTCTCTTTGCGCACGTATTAAGGGACTCGGTATTGCGAGCAGCAACTTACCGTGTGGAATGGTAGATATCTGCGTCCTGCAGGCGTCTGGTCGAAACGTCGGCTACAAAAGTCAAGCTCGCTTTTGCTCTTTTCGATGGTTGAGCAATAAACGCCAAGCCAGGATTCGGTTGGTGGGTTTATCCGGGTGATTAGCCCTAACTTAATTCCAAATACGGAAATCAGCTTTCCATCTCTCTCTATATACTTAAGTGTTTCTATCTGGGTGCTGCGGCTGAGGATATATATATATATATATATATATACATATAGATGGTGGTGTTATATACGGCTGAGGATATATATGTATATATATACATATAGATGGTGGTGTTATATGCGGCTGAGACCTAGTTGTTCGTGACATGCTGTTCCGACCACTCCCACAGACGCCGTGCAGTGTCCTTGTCGTGAACAAGGTCGTTCTTCCAGTCCGGGATTCCCACGGGAGAGTAGTACTCGCCATTGCGCAGTTGGCTCCTAGCACACCCGGCGGCCCATAGATGGTTCTTCGCCCCATTCTTTTCACTGGAAGCGAATGGAACAAGTAAAGCAAGGCCATATTTAAGTGCAATACTGGATGCCCTTCCCTGTTCGTACAAGGCTGTCAAAATAACACCGGGATGAATCGAGACGCTCGTAATTTCCGGGTACCGTCTGGCTAGCTCCGATGCGAGCAGGATATTTCCAGCCTTTGAAATCCCGTATCTAGTCCATCTGTTACATGCCAGCAGGTCATCGGTAGAAGTCATGAGTGAGAGCAGCCTCGATGGCGAGGAAGGGGCCATCTGCCAAGCTGCAGACGAGATGGACAGAACTCGAACATCAGAACCAGGTTGGGATGCTGTTTTCCGGAGCGTAGGTAGCAATAGTGACGTCAGGAGGAAATGGCCCAAGTAGTTTGTACCGAACTGCACCTCATATCCGTCCTTGGTGCGGTAGGGTTCCAAGCCCATCACTCCAGCATTGAGGATGAGAGTATCAAGGCGCTCAGATTCTCCGGTAAATAATTTGGCTGCTTCCCGGATAGACTCAAACGACGACAGATCAAGGGGTAGATATCGGATGTCCACAGTCTGTTTTAGCCGTGACTGGATATCCTCCATTGCTTTACGGGCCTTTTGCTCATTTCGAGCACCTATATATATCCTTGCGGGTTGGTGTTTCGCTAGCTCCAGGACCGTTTCTTTTCCAAGGCCTGTGTTTCCTACAACGCCATAAGCATAAGCGACCGTGTAACTCAAGAGCGGTATTAACTCTCACTCACCTCCTGTAATCAAAATGACTCTATCGGACTGGTCTGTTATATCGCGATCCGGCCGAAATGCCGATCCGTAGACCTGCTGTGCAAACTGATGGATGAGCAAGAAAACCAATCGAGCCGTCTCCAAAGGGCGAGCCAAAACAACCCTGGTCAAAGTCAGCAGGGCAACGAGCTCCTTGAACGCATGACTGCTACCGTTCTTCGGCTGTGGCCGTCCTTGGGCTGCGCTTGTCTTGTGGCCTTGGGCGGTTGAACCGCCTGCCCCCCCTGTGCGTCTTTGAGTGATTTCTGACATGTTTAAAGCTATTTTGCAAAATGGTATCTTCCGTGGTAACAAAAATGGTAATAAAATACGTTCTAAATGTTACAACTTAAGAATACATATCCAACGTGGAAAACTGCATGATGTGTTGGAAAGCTGTTTGCTGGCCCAGGGTATCTTGTCTGGAGGTCGTTTGGTCTCGAGGATCATCCGAGGTTGGTTTTGAACTACTGGCCCAAAAGGTACCTAAAGTTTTGAGTGTTGCCCAATGTTAGCGCGAGGCGGCGATGACTAAACAATACAATTACAACTGTCCCTTGTACTGCGAGCCAAATTTGAAGATGGCTGTGCTGGAGCAAACGGATGCATGGTGATTACAATTGATAGCTGAGTGTCACACAGAAGGACCCAGGCACAAGATACGTAATGGTCTTCCTTGCCACTTGCCATATCCTAGTTATGATTGAGATAGGTTACAAAAGGATCGATCAGGATGCGTCGAAGATAACAAAAGAGATTGTCATATCATTCATCAGTCTTTATTTGTTTCTATGATACAATTCATATCGCCTCTTGCCTTTCGCTCAGCAATTTTTAACCCCGAAAACTTCTCGTCGGCGACCTTTATCGTCACCAGATGATGCAATGCTCTATCACGGGCCTTGTCGATGATATCGACTTCACCTGCCATGGCTGACCTTGGCCATGTGCGATATATGCACGGCCGGTCTAGCTTTAGGCGGATAGTGCAGATGGAAATGGGATGCCCGACATGAGTTGTAGTTCATGGTTCGGCTTAGCTTTTCCCGTGTGAGGAAGTCAATTGATTGGATGTCCAACCCTACCAGAGGGAGTATGATCTCAACCAAAAGCGTAATGTGTGCGATCTTCACCAGTATATGGAAGATCTACTTAAATGTTGTTTTTACCTGTTTTCCCACCCCTAGACAGGCGCTTCAACCGACGTGGGGGCCACGCTGGGCAGCACGGCCACTGTGGCAACCTCTCTCGTGGCGCTTCATATTACTGCGTACACTGAAGGCCTTGCCACAGCCTGGACGAGGGCAACGGAATGGCTTTTCACCGGTGTGGCTGTGAGAGTGAATGCGGAGGCTGGAAGGTCGGGAGAAGGCCTTATTGCAGGTGCGGCAGATATACCTGTCATGGTTGAGTGGGTAGGCTGCAGTGTTTGATGGAGGGAAATAGTGATGGTGTTGCCAGGTGGTAGTTCCAGTCATCTCTCCCATGTTGACCAATTGATGGTGATGGTGCTGAGCAGGTTGCTGTGACTGTGGCTGTGCAGCTGGGACTGGCTTGAAGGTTGGGACGCTGGAAGGATAGAACTCCGGCGAAGAGACTTTTTGCTCGGGGGAGGCAAAGCGAGCCACATTTGAGTTGGCTGGTGAAGGATAGCGAGCCTCGCGAGCCTCTGAGAAGGATGAGCGGTTGGAATAAGCTGTTCTGGAAGCTGGACGCTCAATGGAAGCATCTGAAGCTGGACTGTTGAGGGTGGAAGACCCAACCAAAGTTGGGGTGCTGGAAGTAGATGGCGAGCGTCGAGACTCCTCGAAGCTGGACCCTGGTCGCTGTGGAGGAGTTGGAGGAAGTATCATTCTATACTTTCTCTCTGACTTTTCCTCTTCCCAGTCATCAAACTTTGGTCGTTCTATATTTCTATATTAGCGACCATGGTTCTGCAACACAGACATAACAGATAGGCTACTTACTGGCTGACTGGGGAGGAGATATGCTTTCGATGTCCTGGAAGAGAGTTGAGATAGGCGGTAGCGAGTATCTAACAACGGGCTCGGCCTCTGGAGAAGGGGGTAGCTCCATGACGGTCGTGTATGGAGAAGGGGTTGCTTTGATGTTTGACGAGGTAGTAGCTCCCCACGGCCGCCGTGACTGTTGAGTAGAGTATGAAGAGCGTCGAGGTGACGGAGGGGCATAGTTGGTGACTAGCTGTGCGAGATCCATGGCTGCCAGTGTAGGGTATAGGAGAGAGTGAGAGTTGGTAGCGGCTGCTTGTTTATGTTTGGTGTATGTCCAAGTAGTAAGTGTATAGATATATCGAGGGAAGGAAAAGTCCAGGGGGGTGCGGAGGAAGGTGTTATATATAAGAAGAGGAAGAGAGAAGGGGGATGGGCTAGAAGGAATAAAAGTAGTCTTTAAACCAGGCGGCTTTTAAAAAAAACGTGTTCGGGGCGAAAAGGCATGGTGGGCAAGGGTGGGTGTTTAAACCAAGACTTTAAGGCTTAAAGGTTCCAGTACAAGGGATCAAGGACGAGCTGACCGAGAAAAAGGAATGATAAGTCCTCATTCTCTCTGCCTTCTCTTCGTCTCCTCCATGGGGTCAGGGATAAACTCGATAACACGCCGGCGGAAACCTTGTCATCGCCCCCGTATTGCAATTACTGGCTCGCCGGGGGTTTAAAATAAAGTGGAAAAAAAGGAACGGCGTTTATTCTTAGCAATTTTGCAAACCCTTTTTCGCTTTCGTTTCTTTTCCGTTCTGTATTCTTTGCTTTTTTTCCGTCTCCAAGGGGAATCCACTCGTGGTACAAGTGCATTACGACGCAGGTTGATCAACCGGACGGACATGCACACTTCCTTATGGCCGGGGGCTCCCTCGAGGGAGAACAAAAGAAAAAAAAAAAGAAAGAAAAAGAAAAAAGAGGGTCGAGGTGCTTGCCAGCGAGTGAGAGCTCATACTAGTGATTTCAATCACATCCAGGCGATCTTCGACGGACGCCATCTTTTCTTGTCATGTACCCGATGGGGGAGGGATTCCAAGCAGGGTCCATTAGGTCGGAGTAGTATGGAGAACGACAGCTGTAACCTTCACAATATGGAAGATATCTCCGCAGTTCCATTTTGTATATAATGTACTAGGTACCTGTGTCATCAATGTCGTAGTGATATGATGAATGAACAAAAGATGGAATTTTGCTGCTACCGTTGAAAGGGTCCTTGTCCATCTTTTTCAGCCGAGAGTGTGATCTACACACGAGTACAGCCCTCGGACTCTGCTTTTCTCGGTTCAAACGGATGATAGTCGAAAGTCGAGACAGATGTGTGAGGACTTGTCTTGTGCCGAAAAAGCCCATCTTCAGCATCATGTTCTCTTTTTGGCGCTCGGCAGCGTACATCCAAGGCATATTCACACAACCGATATCGGGAAAAAGATCATAACTTTCAAGATGATCAACCGTGTGTATGGAGAGCGTGAGATATAAAAAAAGAAAAGAAAAAAGTCATCATCCAAAAACGAACAGTTGGTTGACGCTTCGACTTGTTGTCTTTGGTTTAGTGCTTGGGGAAACGCGGCATAATTCACCACTCAGAGCTCGCCAGAGACATCCTGATATGTGCCTCGAGGAATGGCGGCTGGTGGGAATATGATCCGTGCCATTCACATTTCTTTCTTTTCATCATCTTTCTTTTTTCCCCTCTTCTCCTGTGGCACCTGTCCCTGTTTCGATCATGATTGGGATGTGTTTAGTATGCCTAATCTGTGGAGGTGGACTGACGTTTAAACGAGCAGCAGAGACGGCGACACAGAGCATCCCGTACTCGGTCACATCACATCACATCGCATGGCCATCCCCATGGTCAGGATAAAGAGTACGGCGCAGTTGAACAAGTCAGTAGCAGTGGTGATACTGACGGGCAACAAGCGAGGCAGACCAGCATAGTGTTTTTTTGAGTTCATCACAAGCGAAAGACACCACAGGAGCCACGTTAAACAGGTCGCTGTGGCTGTCACTTTTTCTTGACCTTGTTTCCTCACCCTGCTTGCCTCCCCCGATCAGGATGCTGCAGGCGGGTTTGGCCTCGTGGGAAAAGGCTTGCTAGTCCTGTCCCGGTTTAAGGCTCTCTCGCATCTTCTTTTCTTGTCTTCTCATGCAAGGGAAAAAAGAAACCACACAACGGGCTACCAGATTTGGCCGAAAGCCAAATACGAGGCAAATGTAATTTAATTTTGGTTGCAGAAGTTGACTCTTCTCGAAAAGAAAAAAAAAAAAAAGGAAGAGGAGGATGTACTCCGTCCACTCAGGTCGATACGACAGATTCGTTCGTATGGGGAAGATACGCCCTTTTGTGTTTTTTTGACTTTCTTTCTCTTCAAACGTCAAGCACAGATCGTTTGATAGATTGCCTCAAAGAGGATGTATACATACTTAGATCGATCTGTACTTATGTACATGCTTTACCTGTTCCATGGAGAGTTCGATAGAGGGGTTGGGGATATGTCCGGCCGGCTGCTGTGAGTGGTTGGCTTCTAGCGAACCACGATAGCCCTCTTTTACCTCGCTGGCTGCATCAACCCATTCCATGCCATGCCACGCCTTGTCCTTGATGCCTTCGTCAACCTGAGGAAGTGTGTATGGGTGAGTGAGCGTGGATTGGTGGGTTGATCTTCTGCTGGAGGATGCAGATCTACGCGATGGCCACACATCGGACGGCACGCACGAGGAAGCAAAGAAAAGAAAAGAAGTGTGTGAAAAAGCCAAAAAGGTATGCCAGAAAAGAAAGACTTTTGGCTGTTTTTTCCTTTGTTTTTCCATGCCCTCCCTGGGATCCGTACTCAAACAATGAGCTCTGAGCAAGCTAACCAGCTAAGCTAAGCTAACTACCCCGTGAGGCGTCCCGTTTTCTCAGACGGAACATTTTTGCCGCTCTTCTCGCTCTCGATTCCCATCTCTCTCGCCTATGTTCTAAATATATCTTGCAAGGAGATAGAGGCTAAATTCTCAGGGGGTGGAGGAGACACAGACGAGCATTTGTATTTGAGCATTTCGCCTTTCTCGACCAAGGCAGATGGGCATCGAGTAGGTTAGTTAGCCGATCATGACCAATAGACGGGCAGATCTTGATAGTATTAACATGCCCTGATATAAGGGGGTCGGTCGGAGTGTGTGGGAGATGGAGGGTACTTCGTACAGGAGAAGAAACATTATTCTCTCGGGCGTAAGATCGAGATCGAATCACAGTCTATCCATCCTCTCTGGATGTTTACCCGAGGCGAGATGAGATGGGTATGAAACATCTCCCTTGTTTGTTTTCTTGCTGTGGCTGGTTTGTGGGCGGTGGGCAGGAAAGGACAGGTTGACGTGAAGTTAGACAAGACCAACCTTCTTGTTATTCCAACGAAAGGACGCCACGGACGGGCATCTTAAACTCTTTTCCGTCAAGATCAGCGGCCAGCACGTTTAGAAGGGCTCAAACGACGTCGCACAAGGGCTGTTCCGTCGCCTTGGAGGTTTGAGGTTGTGAGGTTGGAAGCTGAAGCTGTTGTTGTGGGCGTCGTCGATGTTGGCAGCAGAACCACGAGAAAGCCTTGGGGGACAGTGGGTCACCTGATCGACATACTTAAGAGTAAACGTCCTGGCCCATCCACCGCCCACTGACCTTGGAAGTCGTTACCTAGTAGTAAGTGTTTTACACGGAGCGTACGGGGGCATGGAGCATCATCGTTAAACTGCATACCATAAAAAGTGGTTTGCCGTATACGTACTTTATGGGACCGCCGCCGCCCTGACGCCTCGGCAGTACGAAGCCGGACTGGATATTTCAAATTGGAACGAGAGAGCAGAGCCAGCCTCATCTCCCTGACCGCCCCTCACACAATCATGTACGTAATTAATTAAACATCGTCGCATACCACACGTGAGACCAGCCACTGCCCCTCACGAGAAACGGAGACAAACGGTGTGTTGCCTGCTGGTTGGGAAAGACGGCTGAGTGACCAATAAGAGTTAGAGGCTATTGATCGGGAATTAAATACTAAAATCGTCTTTTTCCTGCAGCAGACGGAGTACTTGCCCGGGAGAGATGTGTCAGGTATGAAAGAGATGTCCAGAATATACACCCAGGAGGCAAACAAGAAGAAGCATGGTCAGTGCCCACTGTGATCGACTTGCAGGAGGGACCAGCCGACGTTTCATGGCGCTTTGCCCTCCACGTGAAAAGTGGGAAGATCACCGCGCATTACGTATGAAGGTTGATGTGTAAGACGATTGCTTTTTCCTTCCCTGTATCAGGTGAAAGAGGAGTGGGCATGGCGAAAAACCAACATCTTCCACAAGACTACTCCGTATGGTCAGCTTCCTTGTTTGAACAGGACAGACCAACGATTATCAGTATTGACCTTCTGACTGCAGCATCGTGCTCCGACGCAACGGCGCTTGGTTCCCTGGTTCGCCATGCGCTTGGTCCAGCGGTTCAGGGCTCTTGGAAGGGCGTGTGCCCGATCCGGCAGGTCGAAGCAGGGATGCAAGAAGGCGCGCGGTACTTCCGCCGCAGTAGCATTTTAGCCGAGCTCGGAAGTACCTCTCGGGCAGAGGCGCGCGGGGCGGCCAGATCGGGGTCTGAGGGTCCAAGCGTGGCCTTGGCAGGAAAGCTTGTCTTGCAGGGGGTTCCACACCTGTCCAGCCAATGACATAAAAAAAGCAGTTTCCTTTTCCCGTAATTGGTGGAGCGATGCCGCGTGTATCAAGGGGGCCGCTGTGGCCAATCAGCACGCGAGTAATTCTCCTTTTTCGTGCCGACGCTTTGATCGGCGGGGGAAGTCGGGATCTCGCTGATCGTAAACAGCGTGTTTCATCTTTGCTGATCTCCCACTCGTCATGAGATAGCTCACATGTATGTATGTACAGGCAGGAACAAGGCAGCGGAGAAATAAGATATGCACGTTTGGCTGAAGCCACGAGAAAGGGGGGAAGATTCAATAAAAGAAAAAGAAGGTTGGGCAGAGACAGAATCAGGTCAACGGAAGCGCAGGCAAGGCACAGTCTCTTACTTGTTGCTTCTTGAGCTAATAATGAGCGATGGAACAGGCTCTGTCAAGCACATGATTTAACCCGACCTCCGAGTACTCCGTACCTGTCAAGGAATACTTCTTAAGTAACTAGGGACAATCCTCCGTGCTGGGGTGTTCGATAATAAATGGGGTCTAAGGAGCATGGAGTATAAAATACGACTACCGGAGGGCACAATTTGAAGCAGTGAGAATGGGTGATGCTATTTTAAAACCACCTCGCCCAACTCCTTGGCCAGGATTTCAACGGTGAAGGATGGAGACTAACTAAACAAGCATGTTGCTCTCGCTCTGCCTATCGAGATGGACTAAGAAGTGTTGGGTTAGAGTGAGGATCAGTGGGTATTCAGACTTGCGACTCCGAGGCCCCTTGGAGGTCTGTATTGTGTGCAAAAAAGGGGGGTACCGATGTAAGGAACCAGACCCAAAAGGGGGCAGAGTCGTCTCATGTCGCCCGATGCGGCCATCCCAGGTAACATTACCCTTCCTCTGTTTGGGCAAAAGCAAAGGCCCCTTGTATCAGCCCGTACACGCAAACAAAAGGGATCCCAGGTTTTCCCTAATACGGCTAGAATGAGTTCTAAAAATGACATACTTTTGCCGGTCGCTCAAATAAGTGTATATACGATTAATACACACGGGCTGCAACAACTTACACGGGCGTAATACGATGTAATTTATATTTGACTGGCTTGGGTTCGTCGCAAGTGAAAATAAAAATAAAAATATAAAACAAAATAAAAACGACCCAAAGGAAACGAGGCCAACCAACTGGCGGGACCCCGTCCTGATTGCCGGGAAAAGAAAAAGATCAAGAGGAAGAATTTGCGGTAATTCGTAACGTGATGATCCAGGAGGTGACAAGAAAAGCAGCGGAGGAAAAAAGCCGCCCGCCGGGGAAGCCGATGGTGCTTGCCCCGATCGGCGTGATCCATGAGCATCCATAGTAATAACGAGGGAGGGCCTGAGGCACGAGTAGTGTAAGAAAGTAGGGCACTCTATATTTCTTACATGATGCTTACCTGACCGGTGTTCCCCATCCTTGACCCTGAGCCATCTCCATATTCATCTCCATCTCCTTAACCATAACCATAACCGTCCATCCACAAGACAGGACGAACCCGGACGAACATCCTGTTGAAACGCGCGCGCACCTTGGTGGCCGTTGCATCGAACATCTGCTCGCTGCAACTGCTACCCTCGACGGGGATACTGGCTTATCGGCACATCGATCCCGCATACCACGTTAACAGGGTTCGGGCTCCCGTCTCATCAGATCTGCTTCATGATGATGTAACTGCTCCAGGGGCTCCAGCGACTCTTTTCCCATCATATGTAGGTAAGGAAAACCATCCATCGATGAAGAACCCATCTGTCCGTGTCATTTCCACGTGTAAATATTAATACCTCTCCACACGGATGGCCCGGTGAGATGTCGTGAACACGTTATACTTACATATCTACCCATGTAAACACCTATCATCGTGAGAACCAACTGTGGTCCCCTTCTCACCCGTAACTAGTGGGTTAAATAAGGGTTAGATTATATATCATGGGGTTAGGGCGTCAATGGAGTATATTCCCTTAGAATAAGGGCAAAGACCCTCTCTTGTACCTATTATTAAAATATTAAGACGAAAGACTATGAAGGAGGTGGCACTGTGTATAATGAGAAAGAGTAGAAAGATAAAGAAACAAGCGTAATCATCTCGTTTACCTCCAGTAAAATTCTGCGCAAGGGCTTGACCACGAGTATATGTCAAACCAAGACCTCTACATGACACACCTTTGTCTGATGTGTTCTGGGTTCTTATCCTCGCCTTGCTGCAAAATAGAGTTGTTTTGATCCGCACCAACGGGCGAAACGTGGCTGACAAGGTGGAAATTGCTTCTCGGCGATGGCGTGATGGACACAGATATATCACTCGTCCCCTCAGGTTATCGCAGGAGTTGCGTGGTGTTCCTAATAATTGGTAGTGCGGATGTTTTGTCAAAGTTCGTTACTTTGTTGGTTGTGATGCGGCTGTTCGCAGATCGCCGGTCCTTGGACTAGAAGTAACAAGTGTTAACGCTGTCCGCATCCACTCTGATTCTTCTCGACCTTCCTTCGGGGTCCATTCATTATTCCACTTTTTAGTGTCAGTCCAGCCTAATGATGAGTTTATCCTGGGCAGTCGCCAGATTGAGGGCCGACTTAACTGGATCTCCGTACTCTAACTTGCTTAGGCAGGTTGCGCTGTTCATCTCCGTCTTAGCCGTTCTCATCCTCAACGCAGAGGACGGTCTGTGCTGGGCTCCCCAAGACGGACGGATGGAGATAAGGCGTCTTCTAGTCCGTCTTCTGCTCCAATCTTCATAGATAGTTTTTCTTGGATCGAGCGAGTGAATTATGTCTAATCTCCAGCCTTCTAGGCTGCTCAACCTTCCACGAGAAGACAAGTTTTCTGAGCTCTGAGCTATCAACTTCGAGCTTCGACCTTCCAAGCTGATAGTCCGTCTGATCATTTGCATCGTATTAAGGGTTGGTCGACAATGCTCCTTAACCGACCTCTTCCTATTAATAACATCCCCCTTTTGCCTTGTAGCCTCATCCTCAGGCTCATCCTCATCCTTTCACTAGCTCTCTCGCTTGACGTCTCGCCTGCTGAGTTTGCAGAGGTACCGCCAGTCAGGTAAACCGCGCGGACGGGCAAGGGAAGATTGGACCAGCCAAAGTCTCTTTCTTCTTCTTTTTTCTTCTTCATCTCCTTTTTAGGCTGATTCCCACGTGGAAAAGGGCGTGTGCAGGCCAATCATCCGCTTTCTGTGACATATTCTCGTATTTTCGTCCCCGTTTGCTCGTTTTTTTTCGCTCTAGTCTTTTTTTCATTTCCACTTTTTTTTTTCCTTTTGACAAATGATTTGAATATACTCTCTTCATGAATATTTGCTTTTTCTGTATTGCAATTACGAATGGTAGTGGCGTATCATCAGGTTCTCGGTACGGTCCATGTTTAGTTTTGGAGATGAAAGAGCACAGAAGAAGAAAAAAAAAAAAGGAAGAAAAGGTCCATCCGTTACTTAATGAGAGCACTGTTAACGCTGGGCCAGCAGATCGACCAAGAACGACGATGTATTCAGTTTAAGTGATCCAACTTCTTTCTCCCTGGCGTCCCATTGTCTGTGTATCTCGAACTCAATCAGCATGTGTCAGAGTGTTGTATGGCGAATGCTGGCCACGGAGCCGCCGCTGCCACATCCACGACTCGTCACATATTTGTATGATGCAGGAGATTGGCCGAAGGATGAAAGACCTGGCATCTCCATCCATCCCATGTACTCCGTAGACATATAGTGTATACATAAGTACGAATATAAGAGTGTATGGGAGGGACTGACATCACCACAGAAGTACTCACGCCCAGTCCACACGTGGAATTCGCCCTGGTTGGATCCTTTGGGAAAAGAAAAAACCATTATCCATCTGCATGCATGCATCACATCTCTGCACTAGCTCTGTATTTGATTTCGATATTCATGTACGATAACCATTTTCTTCGTTTCTGAGATGGATGACTTGTTTTTTGACCCTGTCTGTCCCCTGTCTTTCACGTGGATTCCCCCCCATGTCAATGGACGGAGTCGACAGATGTGTATATACTCCGTCAACAAATATAGATGGGCTGATGGGTCAAAGAGATGGACAAGACGCTGTCTCATAGGCTGCCTGGCGCATGCATATTGTGACCCGGCTTCGGTCTTCCTGCTATCATGAAAATCAATCCTTCTCCTCCAAGGGTACAGGTATGTCCGGCCAAGGAGGTTGGATGGATGTGCCGGCTGATTTACCCAACAGTTTAATTCCCTGATCATGTTTGATAGAGAAGCTATTATCACATTATTCCAGGTTATGTGTGTTAGTCACTCCGTACGTACGGACTACATTCAAGCCTTCTGAAGGATCCGTACCGGTTGATTAGGCTTGGATTTTTGGTCTCGCTTCCTTTAGACGTACATGGCCATGCCAGGTGACAAAGGGACAACCCCATGCGGTTGCCATGCGCCTCTCCATCCTCGCCCGGTTGGTTCATATATTCGTTAGCTGTACTCTGTACCACGCCACACCATGTCTATGCCATGCCTCGTACTCACACTCACATCCTCTCCGTATCCGTGAAGCACGCTCTTGTGTGACCTTCTTTCTCTGTCTTGCTGTCTCGTTTATTTATTTCTGGCTGGTTTTTTTTTTTTTTTTCAGTTTTCAAATACCGAAATCAGTTTCCAAGGCCGCAGACATGTTCGAACTGCCAACTCCGGTCTCGCAGTTTCCACTTCCTGGGCTCCTTCTCCGGATTGCGGGAGGGGATAGGGGATAGTTGGCGCTCCCGATAATGTTACAATTCCCAACCTTGATCCAGTCTCTTGATACATCCACATTTTACAGAGTATGTAACTTCCAGATCCATCAGTCAGCAGATCTTGGTCCATTCGGAGTTGAACAACGTCAAGTCCGGATGGAGCACCTTGGAGACGTTGATGGAATCATCATTTTTCGGACTCCAGTTTTTCGCTTGTCAGGGTAGATCTTCTGTTTCGATCGTTTAACGGAGATTCCGAAGACAGAACGAGGATCGAGATAACGTACTCCGTATATCCGTCTGGTCTCATCTCTGTCAGCCTACCTCAATTTTATCACTGGTTCGGAGCGCAAATTCATACGAGGGACTCGGTTTCAACCAGGTTTGTACGTGGAAGATTTCGGTGAAAAGATTGTGGCAAATCCTGGAGAAATAATAATGACTGTGCTGTGTATGGACAGAGTGATTTTATCAATAGTCGCTTCTTCAGCCTCTGTCATGCAACTGTTAGTTCGCTCATTCATTATCATTGAAATACGAATAGGAATCATTAAAATCCCACATTAGTGAGTTACCTCGGCCAATAAGGTAATCCGGCATGATTTCCTTTTCAGCTTCAGTCTCGTTCATCCTCTCATTATCCTGGTCCTTCATGGAGCTGTTTTATTTTATGCTTTCCCTGGGGTAATCACCATGGAAGATGCCTGTTATAGGATCGCCTCCGGGGGGGAAAGTGTGTTTGGGTAAGAGGGCGGCCTTTCATCTTCAGCTTTTGCCTCCTATTGGCTTTTCGCGTCCCTCTCTCCAAACCATCAGAGATCTATACTTAGTTAGCTGATCTATTAATTTCACTCTAAATGGCCATTGGTGAGATAGGGCCGGTGCTGAAGGACCGTCATTCCGTGAAACTTTCCTTAGAGCTATATTTATAAAACCCTTATATAATAGCCATTCCAGTAGCCTTCTGAAAGAACTTGCTCCGTCTCAGAAACTGTTTTGGAGACCCTCCCCGAGCACGGCGTATAAAATGGTGATGAATACCGGCATTACCCTTTCATTATTCGGACTTCCCGCCAGTCTCGCCTGATGATGACGATGACTATGACAGCGTTCCATCGCTGGAGTGAATCTGCCCACTTCACATGTTATGATACTCAAACTTCAGTGCCTCCCTTCATCTCACGCTGTTCTCTGCCAGTTCCATCTTTAGTTGATGCCCTTTCTTACTCCATGCTGGGCCCTCCGGTCAAGAGCACGGCTCGTTCAAATTTCACTTGTTATAATCTGGTAAGAAACTTTAGTATCTCTAATATCTTCGGGTATGCGGAGATCAGATGAAAATACACGGGCCGGCCCAACTAGTTCCTTACCTGTAACCATTACACTGGTGAGGATCAAGATGCGCAGATATATTTCTCGGCAAACGTCTTAGAACATGTCCTCTATTTCTCCATTCATACTCTGTAAGTGTAATTATATCAGTCAGAATATTGTCAGCACGGAACAACCGACGATAGACCACTCATTTCCTTATCGGGCGTTCCCCTTCGTCGTAAATGTGCTGTTTTGCTTCTTCACGGCGAGAGTAACTCACCCTTGTTCGTCTATTCCTTTTGATTTCCAGCACATGGGCCTCCGTAGCTCAGGCCATCAGCGTAGCTTACCTCCAGACCTCCAAATGCTGCATGACCTTCTGCCCTCCTTCAACTTCTGCGTAGCTTGCCATTATCCAATCGACTGCTTGGAATAGACAATTCTTCAGGCTTCATATGCAGATCGATATCGTCGTCTACACGCAGCACAAGAGGCTTTCGTACTTTCCTTCCGACGTAGACGTGGCATAAGATTTGACAGCTTGTCATCGTCTTGATTCGCTGGCCTGCTTGTCCATCACCTTCCCGTCGCTTGGCTTCTTCCCATGTGCTGAAGCCGACGCTGGTACCTGTGACTTGTCTGACGTCAAGTCCCTGCCATGAGGACGTTGTAATGTATTCGGACTTTCCGTCTTTCATTCGGCCTTTCAATTGTTTTGTCCATAGATACGTTATTGTGTTTGAATGAGTACTCTGTCGTGGGACAAGATTTTTCGTAAGGACGTTTCAAAAATTTTCCCTTCACCCAATGTCGATCCGTCAGCTCGATGCGGACCAGACGGGGAAGAGCAATTTCTTATTTCTTCCTTTGGAACTGGATTGCTTACCCTTATTGATTCTTAAAATAGCCCTTGCTCTGATCACGACATGCTGTCCGTTAGCAAGAATATCCTCCTGACCCTAGTTGATTCTGTGACGCCAATGTTTATTTCTTCTGTAACACCTGACGTCGTATATTTGAGCCGTAAAACTTTTTCACCTTCCTCTTTCCAGAGGAGGATATTGGATGATTGCGTTTCTCCTCATCTTTTCTCTTCCTTTTTTCTGCTCTCTGAGATTCGGTAACTAGTTGGATATTGAATTTAGGATTTGTTAATATGTTTGGAACGGAGAGACAGGCATCCGCCTCAGGCTGAGTGTCGCCCGCATATAGCCTCCTCATATAGAACCTATCACGCTTTTTTTGTTTCTTATTTCATCCTTGTTCAATTTGAGGGTGTTGTATGGAATGGGGGTTGCTTCCGACCCCAATGGCGTTTTTGTCGTCAATTGGCCAAGTCGCCGGCCTCCTACCAGGTAGACTCAACCACTCTCTTTCCAGGGTGCCTTGACAACCATGTCCTTATTTCGCGATGACGCGATCATGAAATCTCCCTTAATGAGTGTGATCTTCACATGTGGTCATCTCAGCCATGCAAATGCAAGTTGCATCTCATTTTTATCTCATCTCTTCCCTTCGCGTTCCCGGTTCACAGTTGCAGATATGTCACTTCCCCTCTCCTGCTGTCATCACCGTCTCTCCGCATGAAAATGTCATCATTCTCGTTTCACCACGTGGACGAGGGTCCATGATGTGCTTCCACAAGGCTTAGTGTCATTAAAGTCGTCTGAAACTGGGATCTTGGTCTTATATAAATAAGACGATACATCCATGTTCAGCCGCCCAACCAAGCATGATATCATAGTAACTTGCTATCCCACACTGATCTAGAACAGCTGAGATGTCTTTATCTTTTCATCCTGTGATATAAAGCGTCATGTGTTGCCTCTAGGGTTGGATAACTGCCTTGAAGCGATGTGTATCTATATTTCTTGAAATCGATGCTCTGAAATTCCTCGTCCTGGTTGGGGTGGTCACGTGCACACATCCTATCGGAATGGATGGAGCTGAAGCCCTCGAGCTTTTTTGCCTGGAAATTGGAATATCTTCAACATCTAACTCGGCTCTTTAACCGCCAGATGGGGAGATTTTTTGTTGATGCGGCTCTAGCACAAGCTACAGTGGGCCGTGGTAGCTAACCATTCCAGGTCGGCTTGCCTTCGAGAAGTACTCCGTATAGTTGTATGTATTTCACTGCAGGAGCTGGAATATCAGAGTCAAGTAGTTACTGAAATAACCACGAGGTACCTAAACCACCTTCTCGCCTGGCTAACTACTCAATACCTTGTACGGTATTGAATTTGCGTTGACAGTCTAAATCGTTCAAACGCCGCAGCGACGGTGAACCAGAAATTGTGAACCTGATAGTCGCCGACGATATACCAGTCCAGGCTTTATTTAATGACTCATATACCACGGCACGTTTAACATTATAACCTGGAATAAAGCATACTGCCTTTTCCCTCGCCTTACTCTTGCTTAGCGGAAGATGGCCCTCTTAAAGAAATGGATAATACTTTTGGTAAGCCTCTTGCTACATGCGAGCGCCTAGGCTTGTCTTCCGGGAATAATTTGTGGCCATATCAACCGCCTGGCATATACTTCCTATATACCGTCTCTCCATGCCATAAGGAGATGTTGGCGGCTCGAATGGTCGGCGGTGATTTCCTAATTGTTAATCTGAGTGAAAGACACCTGAGAAAACCGAAAAGTCCGGACGAACTGGTTGAATACTGTCAATTTCGTGTCTTAGCAGACGAGGCACATGCAGAATATGCAATGTGTATGCGATCTACGTACTTGCTGAGCTCTTCGGTGCTACGCTGCGGGCATATATGTGCGGATAGTTCGTGGTCCGAGGCTGCACTGGGGTGGTTACATGATATCGAATTAGCAGAGCTGTATAAGATCGAGCCGAATATGCGACCACCAGTAGTGAATGCTGCTCTCAGGGCCTCACTTGCACCCAAAAAGCACTGGTTGGACCGTGCGAAGGCTTTCGTCACTAGATAATGGGAGAAACCAGATACATGTAATTATGCTGACCACCTAATTCCCGAGTTGTATAAGAGATGGAAGCAACCTCACCGGATTGAGGAGGCCAACAGCTAGAAATTTCCCAGGAGTACATACGACCATGATGAAGTGCTGCAGGTATTTTGGTGATTTTGAATTCAAGCGATAGCTACGTCTTAGAAATCTCATTGTTAAGGCCGGTAAGGAAGGCTTACTGTGATGACCCTTGGATAAAAGACATTCAAATTGACGGAGAGTAAATAGCCACCTCTCTCTAAACATGGTATACTACCATATATAATTCTAATTAACTAGTATGTTATGCCAAATTGAACCGAGATAGTGCTTTGATAGTGAAATTTGTACTCCAGATTAAGAGTCGATCTTCTAGTTTTCTACGTAGATAGCTTAAGTCTGTTGTTTAGGAAGCGATCCGGTATGTAAGATAAAAATTTTACATACAAGCAAAGCTATTTGTACTATGTCAAGGTCATTACGTCGTCCCCGGCGGCACAGCAGTGGATGCATTGAAAGTAACTAGTTAGATCTACACAGTAATCGTATGCTGGACCCGTTATGTCGATGTCTTCATCTTCTAAGGTCGGCCTGCTATGATTGCTGACCTACGTTATCCAGGTAGAAAGTCTGCATTCATTATGTATCTTCCTAGTAACTATTTTAGAAGTGGTCTGTCTTTCTCCGGGTGTTTCCGAATGACGCTCTAAGTAGAGTCTGGAGAGGAGAAAGACCAGTTTCTCAGGTTCACCGGCCTGGTTTCCGAAAGTGAGGGACAACCCTTATGCGTTTATCCAAAATATTGAATGATAAGGCCTCCTAATTTGGAGGAAGACATGAGTAGTCAGATGGGGAGAAAGATTTTGTTTGATGAGGAATAGGGGTTGAACCAAGAAATTGATTTCATTGGTTTATTTTAGGGGTTGAGGACGGTCAGCCAATCATAATGCAGACTGCCCATAATTAACTTGTTTATTTAGGTTCACTAGTCGTCACTCTGTTGATTTGCTTAAATTGCCAATATCAACAACATCCTCTCCTTGAAGACCTTGCATATAATGAAAGACAAGGTGACACAAAGTAGTTACGGAGTATAAGCCTCGGATTAGGCGCATAATTCCATCTATGCGTGAGCGGTGCAGTTACCTGATTGTTCAGGAGGGGTGTCAAACCATGTTGCAAGGCTCCATGATTTATTCTACTCTTGGAATGCCATAGGGGTTCCGTGAGAATTAATGTCTACCAGGCTTAAGTAAGAAATATCTTCATTCTATACACAGCTCTCTAGCCTTCTCTTTTGTTTCAAAGGTCGTTTTGAAAGCATAAAACGGCGATGGAGTCCATTCCACCTTCCTCATCTTTAACCGAGGAAGGAAAGGCTGTTTGTTTCTATCCTCAACCTTTGATACCCAGATTTGCCGCCATGATGCCCTTGACACCCTGTGTGACATATCACCGGAGAGCTCAGAAAGCCACCCACGGAGGTCATCTTGAACAATTTATGAAGTGCTCGGCCTGATACTCGTCTATTACCGTGGATCCCTATCCTCGAGGGCTTTCTGTCGGCATTCTTCTCTCGACCAACTTCCTCCTTTCTTTGCGGCTATACGGCTATACCATCAAAGATGAAGATTCTTTTGCTATGCATACCATGGAAAACGATAACCCTACTCTATTTACTTCTTTCATGCTCCTGGGCTGCTTCGCAGGTAATTGACAACAATGGGCAGCTGCAGAACCAGTGGTCACGGCTGAGAACTGCGCGTATCGCCGGTAAAAGGGTACCGCCACTCTATACGGAAGACTTCGGAGATTGTATGGCCAAATCAATGGTGAAATTAACTCAATTTCATGCTGCTTACTATCATGATGATCTGATGGTGGGTTTTCACTTGGATGGCCATACATCTCTCAAAAATGAATCCATTATGGGTATGACTTGTCCCTATAATTAAATTATACAGGTATTTGGAGCACAGTATCTAATTTCTCCAGTATACATCGGCTTTTTTGCGTATGGAAAAAGAAGATTTGATCTAATATTTGATCCTTGTGAAGCAAATATTCGGAAGTAAGCATATAACTATTCCCCTCTGAGCCCATCACACATTTACTTATCATGACTACTGGTTGAATAGTCTCTGTCCCATGGATGCTTCGCGTCAAATAGGAGATGGCGGCCTGCTGCAAGTTGCTCCGACCGACATTTCAGGAATCTCACAGACGACCTTACGATTACCAGACTTGGAGGGTCGAGCAGTATTACGGGTTTTCTCCAACTCCACACGATCTCAAATAGCCTGCTACGCTTCAACGGTGACCAACGGCGTTACAATGTCACATCCACAAGCAGTGGTATCTCTCCTGGCTCTGATAATCTTTATCACATTCATCCTCAGCCTTGCAACCATTATCTATGGCGAAGATATCCTGACTATGCAACTCCATTATTCCCACTCTTCGTCTTTACTCCTGGCTTTTACTGTTCTGCACCACATTTATTTCACTGGTGCTATTTCCGCAAATTGGCCTCGAGTGTTGGTCGAATTTTGGTCGAATTTTGCACCCTTTGCCGGGATGATTTACTCCAAGTCGATGCAGAGCTCAATAGATAGATTGGTTGGAGCAGATAAAGGGGATGTTCGTATTCTTGGAGCAAACCCTGTTGGAAACGTTTTCCCCCACCTCGGCGGTTACAATATTACAAATATATACAACACATCACCATCCAATCGGACTTTTGGACCCTTGAGAACTAGCTTATGGGCCCCCATGGATGAACAAGATTATCATGCTTCTGCCTCCTCAGCTTCCTTGTCATCGACATTCCAATGGCAAGGCCAGCTTGTCGATGATGGGTTTCCAATGCCAGGAAACTATTCTGGCTTCGCTGGAACTCTCTCTATGCAGAAAATTCCAGCTGTGAATGCTCTAACTACTGGACTACTCTGGGTCTTAGTCCTAATCGCTGCCCTGACCGCAGTGATACCTGTGGTCAAAATGATAATTGAGTTACTTATCCATTGGAAGGTCATTAAAGGAAGACAGGCGCAAAACTTGGCATATTTTCGAATACATTGGCCAGAGTTTGTCCTGGCAATGCTACTTCGGTCCTTGTTTATCGGATTTGGGATGTTAAGTTTCTTAGCACTGTTCCAATTCGGCTTTGGGGGCGCAGCTTCAGTTAAAGCATTGGCAGCAATTACGTTCCTTGTACTCATTCTTGGATCAGTTTCAATTACGGCATATGCTATATCTTATCGCCACTCTCATTTTACATCCATGCCAGAGAGAAGGCCACTCGTTTTCGAAAGGAGGAACTTGTTAAACATCATCCCCTGGTTTGTACTTACAACAAAGGGCAGTACAGTATCAAAAGAGTCCTCTACAACAGCTCTACAAAATTATCCGTGGTGGAAGTCCTGTGTTCATGATACTGGTTCAAATGAATCTAAATTCCTATTGCGATTTGGCTGGTTACTGGCTCGCTTCAAGGACGATAGGTGGCACTTTTGTGTGATATGGTTGATGCATGAATTTCTTCGTGCATGCTTCCTTGGAGGAGCAGTCGCAAATCCGATATCTCAGACCGTTGGTTTGTTAATTCTCGAGATTACTTTTATGATTTGCGTTATAACCATGAATCCCTTCGAGGCTAAACGGCTGAGCATTGTTCTATACACGCTATCGTTTAGCAACATCTCATCGGCCCTGCTGTCCATACCATTATTGGCTCAACATAATCTGAACAGAATGGCTGCTTTTGCTATTGGGATGGCGATAGCCATAATTCATAGCATTCTTGTTCTCCTCCTAGTGATTTCGATGCTGAGTGGCATTATAACCAGTTATATTTCCCTCACCAGGAATCGAAGGATCCCAGCCGATCAACTTGGCTCCCACCCAATACGAATGAGATACTTGGGGCATGTGAATAGAGGAGTCGGTTACAACCCAGGAGCATTCTATTCCACTCCTGGATCAATGTCACCAACTCCAAGACAAGCAAGTTTCAAAGTTCACTCTGTCCGGAGATGTCCAAAAATTATAGATGAGAGCCCAACACCCTATCATCGAAACCCATCCACGCCCACTTCTTCACTACGAGTGTCTCGTCGTACATATGCACCACCTTTTCCTCTGGATCCGTCTACGCCTCCTACTACTGCGGATGCTGCTATCTTGGGCTTTAGAGACACCGATTCCTCTGATCCATTCACCACCCCCTCGACTATGGATTTGGGCGTTTCAGGCCTTAAAAGAGCAGACTCCCTTGGACAAAATGGTACGGTTTCTGAACGGCTCCAAGGTAGACTCTGCAGAATTACATCATTGGAAACCGTTCTTTCTCGATCAGCAAGCAGGCAAGAACACAGCCAAGGTGACAGCTTGTGCCTCACCGATACCTTTGAGACTGCAAGGTCTGATATGGAACCTCTTACGGAGTTTATAACCCCTCTAGAGGACAGGGAAGAGGAGGGTGCATCTTATTCTAACCTTTAGATTCTTATTTAACCCGACTAGGACAAGATCATTCACTTCTGTGTGCTTATCATTATTAATAATGCCCCTACTCATAGAAATACATGGTAATATTTTTGAACTCCTATCAGATGCTGGCTTAATTGAACATCAGGCAATAGCCACTGTTACTTGGACCCATTTGCATTCGTAAATCATATTGTCAGAAAGATGTATCCAATATTTAGGTGCATATATATAAGCAGGCTTGCCAAAAAATGTAAGTATATATATGAGGCTGGATGATTAGGCATCCAAGCCTAGTCTTTCAAGTAGCTGGTCCAATTTGTTCAGGAGAAGCTCATAATCAATAGCGTCTCTAGAAAATTCATCTCCAGCTTCCCGGCCATCTAAAGTCCGAATGACGCCGCTTGCATCAATTTGCTCACTCTTTCCATTTGCCTGGGGCCTTGGAGGCCCCGCATCGACGACTTTGTTTGAGTCCCCTTGCTGTTCCCTAGTAGAGTCGGCATCACTAGGCTCTCTGTTAAACGACGAAGGTGGAGGCGACAAAGGGGTAGGCGATATGATATTTCCGTTACCATTTGTTTCGGGGTAAGAGTTTGAAGGAGTGTTGGTGTTTTCAGCCGGATCGCCTTCGTTTGGATTGTCCTCGGAGTTCAAGATGTCTATACCAGAATCCTCAAAACGTAGCCTGAATCGTTCAGAGAGATAGTAGCGGATGTCATCTACTAACTCGATAGAATCCGTTTCTTGTCGTTTTTGGATACGCTCGGCTGACTCCTTCACTAGCTGTGCGAACTCAGGGTTGTCGATATGCGCTTCTAACCTGTAAGCAAAGTATCGGGCGGCGAACTCCTCAAGTCGTTGGATGCGCATCAGCCAAGCTGCACGGAGGATTTCATAGGCATCGATTATTTCGTCGCTTCCTTCTGCTTCTTTCCCTTCTTTCGTTGAAGATGACTGTTTTGTATCCGCTGATGGCTTTGAACCCAAAGATGTGATATTTCCGCTTCCCAATGTGCTAATGAGGACGGCTGCCTTTGTTTTTAGCCGTTCGATCAGTAGCAGATCCGCAGCGAACAGAACATCAACTGCGACTTCAAGAGGGAAGTCTGCTTTTTCTGTATATAAGAAAGTGAGAACTATCTCCAACACGTCTGGTGAACAGTCGATTGGTATTATTTGCAAATAGTCTGTAACTTGAGCCTCACGAAAGCTGGAAGAAAACATGAGCGAGAAAAACTCAGAGCGTAGGAGCATCGCTCGATGGGCTGGAAAAAGAACCGATTTCCTTTTTGGTTTCTTAATGGAGGTATCCAGGGATAGCCGTGAGAAGCCTCCAATGGGTATACCACTACCGGCGTCCTCAAGTCTTCCATTTTCGCACTCTTTGTTCTCTTGCGACTCTTCACTTTCGCTATCATCTTCGTCGGCTCGAAGGAGAACATCAGCGAAGATACTGTTATCCCGCGACCATTTAACCTCATTTGCTCTATCCGTATCAATCACCACTTTGTGTTTGATGATATTTTCCCGAAACCATGCTTCCATCTGATTTCGACCCTTGCTAACTTCGTCTGATCTCCTTTGCCTAGTTAATCTCCTATCACCACTGTCCAGTATAGTATCAACTAGGCCACGAAGTTCTAGGTGGTTGGCGATTCTGTCTATTCCTTCAAATACTTCTGCCTCTGAATAGAGACCGGCACCTGGCCCAGATCTCAAATCTCGTGGAGCATCGCCCAGATACAAGTATCTGATCCCTGCGCTAAATGCTGGAGGTGGTATTGTACTTGGCAATTTCCATGAAGTCGCTTCTGGAGCGGTGGAAAGTTTCTTATGGAAATATGGTGATCGTGCTGACAATATGAACTTGTGGAGGTGAAAAGTCTCATCTCCTGCTGTGACTGCGATATCCGACGTTTGAGGATGGTCTCTGTTTAGCAACAACGTTATATGAGATGCGAAAGGTTGGAGAGGATCCGTTGACTTTGAATAATCATATTCAAGCAGCAGGTTTCGTATCTTCGAGTTTAATGCGTTGTAGAGGCATCTACCAACAAAGGTCAAAGAGTTGTGAGTATGAAAGTTGCACCTTTCATGTCATCTTTCTCCTAGAGGGTGGAGATAGCAGGGAAGAGAATAAGGGGATAGGCACACCTTTCGCCTTGGAAAGTGTCTCGTTCGCATAAAGCACCAGAATCAAGGAGAAGTTGTACAACTTCGTAGTGGCCACAAAGACTAGCCTTTTCAAGGGAAGAAAGAAACAGAAGTAATTGTCACTCTTTCAGTTCTCATTATAAAAGCAAATCATATTTGACGTGACCAGGGAGCAAATGTGAAGGAAATTATTCCACTCTCCAGTCTGGCTGAAAGCATTGACAAGGAAGATACGCTGCCACTTGTCGAGGACCTCCGACAGGCTGGAAGGATGAAGGGAGGAGCTTCACTCACAAGTATCAAGGGAGTGCAGTCAAATAAATCTCTACCGTTAATATTCACTCCCTCAGTTATCTTCTCCTGACATGCCTTAAGATCGCCTCTCCGGCATGCTTCGCAGAGCTCTCGAAATGGTTCACTTAGGTCCAACGGGTTGTCTTCCTTGAGCTCTCCTGCACCGATCAACTTTCGCTCGTTGAACAGGCTGGTTTCCAACTGGTCCTTCCTCAAAACTTGTGACTCCGACATCGTTCCGCGCTTCGCAAGCAAGACAAGAAAAGAGAGAAAGCCGTCTGCCCGCCGCTGCCAGTGGCTTCTGCTATGGACAAGATCTCGCCGTCGAAGCTATCTCCGTGTTGAACACCGAAAAAGAAAGCTGAGGTCGAAGAGTGGCAGAAAGCTTATCGATAACGGGCGGCTCTAAGGTATCTCCGATCGACCAATAAGAGTGGATTCCTGCCCACACCGCTTTACCCGCAGGCCGCTAGTCCTCTTCAGGCGCTAGCTTTGATTTCCCGTGACCAACTCTATTATTCATCATCTGACTAATCCTTCTACTAAGCAATTATCGCCCTGGTTGCTGCGCAACGAGATCGCAACCAAAACATTTGAAAAAGGTGCGAGGGAGAAAGATAACTTCTTCTTCTCCTATTGCACACCAACTGTCCAGCTTGCAGGCCGTCGCCAATTCTCGAGGCTCCAGACGCCGTTACTAACATAAATAGGTTGTCATTTCGTTCATCTTTTACTCTCTATGTGCGGCTACACCTCGTCTCCTTGACTTTAATATCTATACCTCCAGGTTAATCATGGCTATCGCTTTGGCAGAAGCAGACAAATATGAGCTCCTTGAGAGAATAGGTGGGGGACAGCCCTAATGGTACCAATATGCATGGCTGTCTGGACTAATATTTCGTCTATAGGAAGCGGTTCTTTTGGTGTGATTCGGAAGGTTAGGAGAAAGGCAGATGGATTCGTATGTCACCTCCTTGTCGGCAAACTACAAGGATTCAGTTATGCTAACGGTTTCTATAGATCCTCTGCCGAAAGGAGATTAACTATCTCAAGATGTCCCATAAGGAGCGTGAACAGCTTACCACTGAGTTCAACGTTCTGAGTTCACTCCGACATCCCAACATCGTAGCGTACTACCACCGCGAACACCTCAAGGCGACCCAGGACCTATACCTATACATGGAATACTGCGGAGGAGGAGATCTTAGCCGTGTGATCAAGAACCATAAGCTGGCTGGTACCTTTGCTGAGGAGGAATACGTCTGGCGTGTGTTCTCCCAGCTGGCAACCGCTCTGTACCGTTGCCATTATGGAGTTGACCCCCCTGAAGCTGGTTCCAATGTTCTGGGGCCAACACCAAAATCGTCAGGACTCAAAGGAAAACAGGCCCAGGTCATGATCCTTCACCGAGACCTCAAGCCAGAAAACAGTGCGTTATGCGTGGAATGTACAAACATGATATGGTATACATGGTATGTTTGCTAACTTCTATCTAGTCTTTTTGGGAGAGGATAAATCTGTCAAGCTGGGCGACTTTGGCCTGTCCAAGCAAATGGGGTCTCATGACTTTGCTTCGACGTACGTGGGAACACCGTTTTACATGTCTCCCGAGATCTCCGCAGGCGAGAGATACACCCTGTACTCCGACATCTGGTCCGTTGGCTGCATTATGTACGAACTATGCAAGAAAGAGCCACCGTTCAATGCCCGTACGCATGTTCAGCTAGTTCAGAAAATCCGTGATGGGAAATTTGCCCCTCTGCCAGACGTCTATTCCAGCGAGCTGAGAAGCGTCATTGCCAGCTGTCTGAGGGTTAACCCTGACCACCGTCCAGATACAGCAGCCTTGCTCAAACTGCCCGTGATACGCCTGATGAGAAAGGAACAGGAGGTAGTCGAGATAAGCAAATCTCTCACAAGCAAGGAGGAGGCTGCTGCACAGAAGCTGAAGGACTTAGAATTACGTTACGCAAAAATGGAGAAGGAAAAGGCAGCCATGAAAGCAGCTATTGAAAGCTCTGTCCGTCGAGAGTGGGAGGTCAAGGCACGACTGGAGATCGACCGTCAAGTGCAGATGGAACTTGAGAAGCTTCGTAGGACTTTTGAAGTGGAGGTTGAGCAACGAGTTGCTTCTGAAATGCAAAAGTACAAGGAAGAAATGGCACAGAAGCATAACGTGAATCTCTCCCAGCTCGAGTCAGCTCATCATTCTTCCATGGGATCAAGTGATGATACTGATTTCCCTTCGTCCACCGATCTGAGCGAGCTGTCGCTTGATCCTCCTACCCCTGAACAGAAGAATGCAGGGAAAAAAGGCAACCGTACTCCATTCAGCCGTTCCAAAACCACGGTTGAATCCCCAATGGATGTCCAGATGGCAGAGCCATCGCCGGTTTGCATTGCCTCCTTGTCGTTATCCCCGCGCCGGACCGCGGGGACATCAGCGAAGAATCTTTTCGCAGATGGAGGACGTACAAAGCTTAGGTGGGATGATGCCATTGCTATGTACTCCGATGATGAGGACGATATCCCTGACCTTCCATCGCCCACCCGCGCAAAGATTCAGGCTGAACCCAGCAAGCTAGCACATCGCCCCATGATGCGCCAAAACACCACCGCCATGATGCAGAAGCTCACCACTCAACCAGATCTTTTCCCGGTTACCAAGGCAACAACAGTTCGACCTGCTCAAGCTGCCAACTCGGCTGCACCCCAATCTACTGATGGCCGCCATTCTTCGGCTGACACTAGGAACAAATCGCCTCAGCGCCGCATTTCCAAAATTCCTTCCTACAACAACCTTGCCCTTGAAGGCTCACCATCGCGAAAGACAGCCATGATGCCTCCACCAGCAAAAGCAGGCACTAACCCTGGCGGAGAAGAGATGTTCAAGGCCATAATGCAACGCAACATGGGCGGAAGATCTCTCGTTGAGCTAGCCCAAGCCCGTGCTGGTGGCCGCTCCCTTGACGAGCTCAAGCGCCCCGGGGATAGCAAAATCCCAGCTACTACTTCATCTGCACCTGTAGCTGCAACCACCACCGTCGCCCAGCTTGATCCTCCAGCAACCTGGGACCCAGAGAGAGACGAAATGCCCAGCCCCTTTTTGGTTAGAAACAAGAAGGTTATCCGCAACTTCCGATGAGTCTCTGGCATGAAAGAGACAAACTAAAGAAGATTAAAAAAGACAATAACATGAACTAAACGAATGCATGTTTTCTTTCACGTCAGGAATAGACTCGTTATAGGAGACCCTGACAGGCTGGTTTGATCATGGGGATGAGGCAAAGTGATAATAATACCCTTTTTCCCTTTTCTTTTCTTTTCTTTTGCTTCGGGTTTGAGATATCGTGCTCGGCATGAGCGATGTCATATCACCGGAGACACCCCTCCGCTCCCTCCCTTTCCTTTACCCTTTTCATTTATTGATATCATTGTCGGCCATATGTCGTATTGTGTCATTCCTTATTAGAGTCTCCTTTGTTTTTTTTTTTTTTTTATTTCTTTTCCTTTGTTGATATCCTATATTTCGGCCTTGGGTTGGAGTAGCATCTGCATGGCGTTTTCTTGGACTAGTGGGAGTTTTGTATCAGTTTCATAGTTTCTATGCTGTTTACTTTGATTTGAATAACCATCGCTGGCAATAGAACAGTGTATTTATGTTATTTTCGCTCGTTCATACCTGACGTTCAAATGTCGGTTGCTGCAAATGGCTGCTGTCGCTATCATTTGAACGGGGTTTATGCCGAGGCTCATCCGCAACATGGTTTTTCCCTCGTATTTTGGCGGCAACCTACCTACTCCTACGTTCATCATATAAATCACGACATTGAAAGACAAGGGCACAGACTTGCGCTTAACATCAAGACAGCCTTGATAAACTGATATATTAAGACATCATGGTAGGCATATATGGCGGTACCCCCGGGCATATTGCTTCAAACTAACCATTGCTTCGTACGCAGGCCTCCACACCAGCAACTATCGGGCTTACCCAGCCAAGTATAATCAAATACCTCTACGCCTCTGCTGTTCTCCTCCATGCTGCAGATACGTATATCTTCTACACCGGCTCCACGATCCTTTTTCCGAACCGCGTGCCGTTCCTCGAAAGCGCATTGGCACGATACTTCTGCCGAAACAGCGGCAACCTCGTTCTTCCCTTTGCGCTAAATGCATGGTTCCTGCGAGACTATCATATCCGTAAAACACATGTTGGGCGCGTTGTTGGGTCTTGCTTCTTGCTGTATCACATAGCCACTCTAGGGCTCATTAGCTGGAGTTCTTTCTTCTCCGGCGGTGCCGAGTATGATTTTGCTAATGTCTGGGGAATTCTGGGCCTGCACGCTGGCTGGGCAGGTGTTGCGGCGTGGGGATTGCTGTTTGCGTGATTGATAGTTCTCCGGTCATACTCTTTTGAATTTACAAGGTTAGCTTGTTTGTAGATGTTAAGTGGATGGTCTGAAGAATAGCTGGACTTACATGTATTCTCAAGTGGAAGTGCGCCAGGGTGCGACTCCTTTTCATATATTGGGGTTTCCCTTCTTAGATAGAAAATTTTTCAAGAGCCCCCTCAATTGCCTTCATCCTCGACTTCTTCAATTTGGACGGACTTGAGCTCACGATTGAACCGCTCTTCCTCTTCTTCGAGAGATGACGCCGCCGCCTTTGCGCTTGGAGTATCTGTCAACTGCCCAGCCTCAGGGCCACTACCACTGACCACATACCCAGCCTTCTCCAACTTATCCATTTCTTCAGGTTCAACGAGTTGACCTTCGCCTTTAACAGCAGCCTGTTTCATCCTTACTGTTGTCGGCACAAACTTGTTGATAGCTTCTTTCTGTAGATTCCTGAGAACGGGCGCAGATTCGTAGACTGCCTTTGCTTCTGGTATCGGAGGTTTAGGAGGTAGCTGATGCACACTTCTCTCACCACCAGCTGCCACACCTTCGCCTTCTTCGGTATTGTTGGGTCCTCCTCGCCGTCTTTGGTGGTGTTGACGCGGGATCGGGGGAGGTGTGTCTCTGGGCATAGGTATCCTTCGAACACTCTCGTCTGTCTCGCTGCCACTGCTTTCTTGCTTTCTCCAATTGCGTCCTTCACGATGTCCATCCCTTCTCCGCTTCCCTAGCACATTATGGCCTTGATCTCCGTCTCTGTCCCTGTCTCGACGCGGTCCGCCATCTCCACACCCGAAGACCGGCGCCTTATCTCCAAGAGCTTCCCTCGCCTTGTTAACAGCTCGCAAATCTCTCTCAAGGGCTTCAAGGATCTCCTTTTGCTGGGGCTTCAGCTGTTTCCCAGCCTCCTCGGTTGCTTTGAGGTCGTCTATTTGTCGTTGGATGCGGTATGGATTTCGCCGTGCTAGCTTTTCATTGCGCCTGTTCAGCGCCTCCGCCTTGCCCTTTTTGAGTGCCTTTTGCTTCTCAAGCTTCCGTTGAGCCTGCGCAGGGTTGACAGTGCGTTCTTTGTCTTTGGCCATGGTGCAGTTTGTCGACTAGATGGTGGCCAAGTTGGGTGTGGTTGGTGTAGACGATGAATTTGTCGCATTTGGTTGAAATACTTCTTGGACGTTGCTTTTTGGCGGCTTCAACTACACACACGCCAACTACAACATTCAGCAAAAGGGCGACAACATCCCATCGGAATCCCCGCCGTTCCATTCTATGTGGATGGGCTGGCGTGCTACACACTGAGATGGCTAGAGCCAACATTTATACCCTGCCTCAGCTGGGCTTAGTGGACAGGCGACGCGGATGGGCGTGGTGAATGCAACCAACAAATAGGCATCGCGATGGGCTGTATCCAGGAGTACCCAAAGGTATATAGGTACGCCTATTTTAGCTCGGTCTCGGTTGCTTCAGTCCCTGAGTTGGACAGATAGATTCAGCCGTGGCTTCTTGACCGTCGCGAGCCAGCACCGAGAGCTTGCTCTTGAGCGCTTGTTAGATGACAAAATGAACGTCGGCCCCCCTACCGTAAGTTGCTACTATCAGTTGAGAATCCTTCAAGCTGACATCAAATGACAGAAACAATGATTCCATAGGCCACGATGATGGCAGCCATAATATCTCAAAATTATCTCTTTTCTCTCGTCCTCAATTTTACACCTGGGCATTCATGGCAATGTTTGTGCTTTCTCTAGCAACGGTTCACTACATAACTCGCAATATTGTGCTTAAAAGGGAACATGATTTGTCAAGTATGGATTCCCTAGAAGCAGAGCCAGTGTGGTGATACTGGTACCTTGCATTGAAGAATCTTGCGGGAGACAGTGTATTCGTATTCAACTACATGTTGGGTGACAAAGATGGACATGCCAACTTACGATACCTGCTTATACATGAATGCAGAGATGGAAATAAACTCGCATTTGACAGGCCACGAGTTCTAACGAGGTCTATAAGTATACAACATGCTGCGGAGTCTCAGAGTCAAGGTCTTGGAGCATGTCGTCTGGCAAGCTTATATGACCCCTTATTGACAGCGGAAGTAGACTTCCGCTACTATAAGCGTTTCTATCTGCGACATGATATCTCGCGGCCAGTGTCTTGATATTCCCCTTTTCCTGTTACTGGATACCTGAACACATTTCTCACAAATTACCTCCAGGCCAGCACACTTCTCCACTCAATCGCACAAGCCCATGCAATCGAAGCCTTGCAGTTGATGTTGTACCATCCAACCCCCCAAACACAACTTCCACATGGAAGGACAAGATCTTCGTCTTGGGGTCGGCCCCTCTGGCCTTACCCGCGGTGCTATTAATCATATGAGCTGCCGACAAGCGCTGTTCTGGATATCATATATCGGTTTTGACGATGCTGGTCAGAAGTGCTGTGCTGGATGGAGATATCCTCGTTTAGGGCCGACTGCTGAAGAAACGCGTGCTCGGCGTCAGTATCCTGGTAAACCTGGAGGTCGAGGATCCAACTAGTGCGACGCTCTCCGCTCGATACCGGGTTTTGTAGGCGACTCTCGAATGCCGGATGAGATCGGCCACAAAAAGTCTGGTAGAGAAAGGTAACATGGCCTGCAAGGAAAGCTGTACGTTTAACCGCCTGCGGATTGATCAACTAGCTGTTTAGTTTTTCGTCCTCATCAGCTTCCAAGCAGGAAAGATCAGCTATACGAGACTCCTATTCGCGGCAGGCCGCCAATGCAGGAGACCTGCAGCTCACAACGTCTACGAGGCACATTAAAGACCAGCGGGAAGCCCGCTGGGGCTAGGATTGGACGGCTATAACGTCGTCGTACATATCAACTGCCGCCTGCCATTGGGCCTGCGTCTCTCGAGAGAATACGCTTGAACGTCTGGGGTAGAAGGGCGAGAGAAAAGCAACGGGAATCAGGCGTTTATACGTTTATTTCATGCGCGCAGAGAGACCGCCGTTGCCTCACCTTGGGCAGCCGTACGGAGCATATATCTGACCTCTCCAGCTGTTGGCCATTTTGCGGCTCTTTCAATAGCCTGTTTTTCTAGTTGGTTGGTTATAGCTATAGACAGGTATCAAAATCGAAATATCAAAGTATCAAACCGGCGGCCCACAACGAGATATTTGAACACAGGTCATGCAGCCAGATTAGCCGCCCACACACACACCCCGTCCGTAGACAGACAGATGCCATATAAATAACAAACAGCCAGCCTGTCCAGCCCGCCCGGCCGTCGGCGTTGCAGCCTGTGGTCGCATCCTCGGCCGCTCTCCCTTGCCCCCTAAGAAGAAGAAGAAGCAGCAGCAGCAGCAGCAGCAGACCTGAACTGCCAGCTTGTTTCTTTTTTCCTCCTCGTTTTTCCTTTCTTTTTCTGCTTCTACTTTGCGTCCTTGAGATCATCTGTGGTGGTGGTGGAAGAAGAAGCGCCCGCTCGCTGGGGATTTTTCTCTCTTCCTCACTCTGCGTCTCTACTTCCTGTGCCTCTTGCGATCCGTGGTTGAGAGTTATTCCCTTGCCGGCGTCCAGATAACCCGCCAGCTAGTTAGTATCCTCCGGGCCGTGTCTGCATCTTCGCCGCCTCTGCCTCTTGCAGTCTCCGCCTCGAGCCCAGATATCTCAAGAGACAGAGAGAGACCAGCGGGCAACAGCGTGAAAAAACAACCCTCGTGAAGCCGAAAAACCCGACTCCTATCGCCGGCTGGAGTCGAGAGTCGACGGTGCTGTCTGCGGCGGCCGCTTATCCCCTCGCAACGCTTCTCGCCCTTCCTTCTTCCCATCCACCATGAACGGCGTCCTCTGCCACATATCAGTCTTGATCCAGCTCCCTGACGGCGTCTCTATGTTTTGAGGAGCATGTCTCTGATATACCAGGCCCATCCCCAATGTCCGTATCAACGTCTATTCCCGATGCCCGTCTTGGCCTCACGTCGTCTGAGTGGCAGATGGTTGTCCACCAGCAGCAGATCGCATTGCAAGGGAGCCATAATGGCAGCATCGCAAGGGGAAGGGGGATGGCGAGGAATAGCAACGCCAGTTCGAGGGCTGCCAGCGCCGCCAGTACGCAGGGGAGACTGCTCCTGGATCCAGACAGCCTGCAGGCCCTCTACTACCAGCTCGACCACCTCATGAGGGACATCCAGCGGAGGATTGACTACGTATGTTCTCCTTGTACTATGGAATATTATCTATATGGCTGCATAGAATTTCTAGAGATAGGTGGCTAACAGGTACCAGTTGAACGAGCAATCTGAGATATCGATACAAAACACTTATGACCAGGCCGGCAACGTCGTTGCAGACGCCGATAAGGAGATCGCACGAGTCAGACAGATAATCCTCTCCATCGACGAGCTAGAGACGGAATTCGACAAGATCCGGCGCATCAGAGATATAGTAAAGTCGTTTCGCTCACGGGTTGAATCTCTCGATAATCGGCTCGACAGCGCTCAGCGAAGGAGACGCTGATAGTTTACCATCCGACCCTATGACTACGACCAAATTTTGAACGTCCAATCTACACCAGCAAACATACCACCACATCCTCACATCTCGGCCTACTTACTCCAATTTTTTTTTTTTTTTTTTTTTTTTTTTTTTTCTTTTCACTCGCACTTTTTGCTTTATTCTTTCTGAGCTTCTTGATATGTGACCTGACGAGAAAGACGCAGTTACGACTCCCCAGGGCGCGGTGCCTTATACAAATTGCGCCCTTTTTTTTAATCCATCTTCAATCTTCTGTACGATGACTACGACGGAACGGCTACTACCAAGTTTATATTCATTTATTTACCATCCATCCCCCTTTGGCTATGTTTTGGCTCATCGACTTTACTCTTTCACTTCCCGCGACCCGACTCGCATCGATATCGAATGCGCATCCTCGTTCTCATCATGTTTCTCCGACTGCTGGATGGTCATCCGCACTCCGTTCTTCTTTTTTCCCTTCCATTCCGACATGCCAGACCTAGCGCTAATTCTTCGCTTCACGTCGATACGACTCTTCATTTTCTTTCTTTCTTTTTCCTATCATCCGTTTTTTCTTTCTTTTTCTCCAACTGGCTTTTCCCACTCATTTCTGCCTTGCGTGCAGTTTTCCCCCCTGACCTTCGCTTCTCTGCCATCCCGTGGTCATTGTATCTTCCCTTTTATTTTTTGCTCGCCTTCTTCTCATTCCCTTCTAGCATCTATACCGATATCCTGATCCTCGCGGATCCAATCACATCCCAGCACTCAACGGTGTTTCTACGGAGTACACCAGATGGACTGACAGGACATGAACTCCATCGTACCTTATCGCATAGTATGACATGTGGTTTTTCTTCTCAGCCTTGTAGATAGCTCATTTTTTTCATCTTTTTTGCATGTTTAGTCCTCGTTTTTCTTCTTACCTCTCCCCGCCGGTCCTCATTATCTGCGTACGGAGTACTCCGTACTCGCTGCTTGTTTTTTTCGATCTATTTGATGCCGACTTTTATTTTCTTGTCTTATTTACTTTTCTTCCTTTTTTTTTTTTTTTTTTTTTTTTTTTTTTTGGAGTTATTCCTTTTTATTTTTTCTTTATCTTCCTTACTCGGTTACTCGGCTTGCTTTTTCCTGTCGTCGCCCGTTTTGCGTCTTAAAGATTGGTTACATGCCTCACGGCAGCACATATGCCTCTTCTCTCACCCACTACCTCTTTGCCGAACTAATCACACTGTCTCGTCTAGTCTGTCTGGTTGCTTACAATTATCCGTCAGTTAGGGCTGGGGATGTCACTCTGATTGCACTGCCTCTTCAGTGACTTGATAGCAGTTAGTTATGTTGATAAAGTAGCAAAATACCAGTGATTACTTGCAATCTATGGCTACATGTTCCAGAATATATCTTGCACTTGGTCCCTTTAGAAAGGTGTGAATGGTTAGGGAACACTCCAGTTTGAAGGCATTCACGGCATATCCAAATGTAAAACGAGGCTCAATTGCATCTTTTCCAAATGACCGGAGAAAGGTAGCCTTGATATCAAGGCGACCAAGACTAGTACCAATTGCTTCAGCCACCTTGCCCAAAACTCGATGTCTGACGCTGCATTAAAAACTCTTGAAAACTTATCTATGGTTGGTATGGGGACATCAATGAAGTCAGATGGACCTAGAAATGAATATGGTAGGGGAAGAGAAGCCCTTGAATCTGACCACTCATCTCTATTCACAGATATTGAAAAGTGGCCGAAGCAGACGAGTCAGATAGTGTACGAATAGATATCGGGTATGATATCACCATAACGGACTCAGATGAAGTGGACAAGCACTTTTGAGGGCATATATGACCTGTCTTCCAGCTCTGATAGCAGCGGCATGGGGTTATAGACTTTGGAATCAACACCACTAGATGACGTTGGAGAAGGCGGATTGTGATCTGTAACCGCAACTGTGCTATGTTATCCTTTATTTTCACTCACCAGGTGTGGCATATAATGTTGGAAATCATATCCACTAGTCGACGGGTCTATTATTTCAGCCTTGGGGGTTTATCCAATACGCCTGGTAAGCTAGCTATTGACCCACGTGGCTTTTTTGATGCATGTTTTCCAAGATAAACTGACTCCTTTCAATTCTTCAGGATGGCACTCAATACCGGTATGAGAAGTGGATTGAACATCTAGTTTGGCATTTCTAGTTTGTCTGTCATGCTGCTGGCCCAGATGGGTCATGTTGATTCCATCTTACATTGAATATGGGGGGTGATTGAACTGGCAAACAATGGTATCCCGTTTGTAGCACGTAGTATCCAGTGAAAGTCTTCTCTCTTTAGTGTACCGAGCCATCCATCGACGCCGACAGTCTTCAGCTCAGCACCCGGCTGGAAAATCGAGAAAAGTAATGCTCTACCAGCTGTAGTACGATATATCACTGCTCTGGTTATCATTCTGGTATCATTTTGTTGGAGCCGCCTGGTCGCAGCGTAAGTTCAGGTGAGCGGAGCGGTTGAACAAGTTTCTATTGGTCAGCTGCGTTGAAATCGAGGATAAGGTTCGATTAGAGTGTGAACATGGTAGAGCAGAGTGTTAGATATTTGCTGATCTCGACAGGCCGGAGAAGGCGAGTGTTTGATCTCTAGGATAATGGCAAAGGGTGTCCGTTGATTCAGTATTTGAAGTCACAAGCAGAAGCAGGGAAAAGGTACGAGAAAGTGATAGAAAGTGCGAAAAAGTAGGGAAAAGTCAAACCCGGCGCAATGACTAACAAACAAATGACTAATTTATTACTAATAGAATGTTACTAATCACGTCACGTGCGAGGCTCCCGAAAATAAATATTCAATAAGAGCATTAGAGCTTTCGACAGCTTCAACACCGCAACGCAACAGCTTTGCTTCTATTGCTTGGTAGGCATTGCCGGCAGTGAGCCTCCAAAGCATCGCATAGTCTGGGTCTCTTGGTCATTTGATCAAGCGCCATGGAATACCACTCGGTACCGCTCGAGGAGCGCGCGAAGGATGAGAAGGGGAACACACTGCCATGGGGATATGTTTACAAGGAGTAAGCCATCTCTACCACTCCATAACACGGCTTGAATATGCCGAATGAGCCACTTTGGCCTGTCGTTTTGCGACTTGAAACCAGGCTATGCCCCCTGGAAATGGCATAATGGCTAACGCTAGCAAACAGTGAATCCCGTAACCCTCGACGACCGCCGGAAGAGACAGGCCCGTTTGGCAAAAGGAGGAATACACGATACGGCTCGACTAGATCAGCTACACGAACGGGGACTCCAGCAAAGCGAGAAAACCCGAATGTTGCAGAGTTCGGCAGACTGTTTAGCCTGCAGCAAGAGGAAGAAGCGCAGCAGAAATTACTCGCAGCCAACAACACAACTTCGAATGATGCAGCGACTAGCAGGACACCGGGAGATGCTGTTGCGACAGAATGTATACTCTATGGGTACAAAGATAAGGGTGTTGAGTGGAAGGTTATCGACAAGTTTGAACGCATCTCACTCGGCTATATATGCGAAGACTATTCCCGGACCGATCCCGAGATCAACCCCAAGTACCCTCAGTTGCTTAGCGGAGGTGACGTCGTTATCCGTCCGAAACTTTCAGCCGATGCCAATAGGAAATCAAAAAGATATGCTGGAGGAGCACACTGGATCAAAGTGACCTTTGACTCCTTCACAGCTGCTGATAGAGCCTGTCACTTCTCACCTCAGGAAATTGACGGCTGTCTTGTACACTGTGAGATGTACAGTGGCCACGGACCGCAGGAAGACGCCCCTATACTCAAAGCAACCCTTGAGCAGCAGTCGCGGCTCAATTCGATCTATCCATCTCTCAAGCCATCCACATCCGCATCGCTACTGCAGTCAAACGAATATGATCGTTCATCTCTTCCCCGCTCATTTTCATATACTCCAAGTAATAGCTTCGAGGCCCCTGCGTCCGTTCAATCTACAGCAACGGCTAGCTCTGCCACAGTCATGGGACAGAACAATCTAGACGCGGACACTCTTCGCCAGCGACCAGGCCGGTCTCAACCGGAACCCGAACCCGAAGCGAAGCCAGCCAAATCTGAATTTATGACCCATATACCCACGGTTCGACGGGCAGTTGTCCGTCCAGCTTCGGAAGCACTTCCTCCCCAGCCCTCGATGACGGAACGAGTGCTCCGGTCAATACCAATTTTGAGCTGGTTCACGGGAGATATTGTCGGCGACGGGCCTGCTCTACGAGAAGATGGCTCCTTTGACGATCAAAAGTCGAACCTCTACTGGCGATTCTGGCACATGGTCGACATGGTACTGGGAACCGATCTCTGCGGCCTCAAAGAAGAAATATAACCAACTCTTGCTCGATATCCCTTCCACGAACCCTTCTTCGACGTACACCATACTGCACGCTCTAATCAGCCATCTTGCTACGACCCCCTAGCCCATCTGGATTTCAACCCTCACTGGCCCACAGGATCTTTTTGTATCTTCGACGAAATGCGTATGATAGCTCGCGCTTGTGTTATCGTTTGTTTTCTTTTTTCGTTTATTCTCCCTCCATATGACCTGCCTCCTATGTACTCTTTTTCTCCCTTCTCCCTTCTACTCCCACCACGCTTGCCAGGGAGTTTGCTATGTTAATCCATGTTGCACTGACTCGGCGTAGACTGAGTCAAGGATCACTGTTATATGAGAGGCAGCAGGGATCCAGTATGAGGCTGGCTGATGCAGGCCACTACCGTTACCACCTACTACTATGTACTTGTTCCATTTTGTTGAGGAGGCCGAGATAGACCTACGACTAGACTTATGTGTTAATTTATGATTGATACCATCCCGGAGCAGCTATCTATCCATACGTAGATAGCTTGAGGCGACGCTGCGTATATTTGTCTATGCCCTCGTAGACATCTACAACCGCCCGCCTCCCTGCACGGAACGGACCCTTGGTCATTCTTTGTCTTCTCTCTTCTCTTGTCTCTTCTATATTGTCTTATGAGAAAAGAATGTGGCGGTCCTTGCCCTTCTGCAGGTCCCCATCCACTGGCTGCATGAACACCCCTGGGCTGCATGCATCGTCCAACCAGCTCCTGTATTATGTAGGGCTCCAGTACCAACATCCACCGGCATTCATGTCACCGCATATAATAACAAGCAGTCATACCGAGAAATCGGTTATGTCTCAAACCACATAGCACTGATCGTCAAGTCAGCCAGCTAGAAATCCGCTTCTATTCGAGCATGGGGCCTCTAATGCAGGATATTTGTGAACAATGGTACAAGGCGATGCAGGGCGTGCACATCCGTCGCACCACTTGTGCTGGTGACCGTCGGGGATGCATCGGAATTCGCGTCTTTTGATGTTACGCCAGTTTAAATATAGCTGATTGTATGGCTATATATAAACGTGAGGATTTCGTGCGGAGGCCTTTCAAATACTTGCGTTTCGGCGCACAACCCGCGACTATATCAGGACAGCCTAGACTGGAATACAGCCAACACCAGAACGAGAGTTAGGAAAAGGACTACAACTGGCAAGATGGGTAGTATTGGCTATCAGGATACTGGCCATCTGCACCATGATCCTAATGTGATGCCTTCTCTTGCTCCCCCGCTACCGAGATACGCGCCTGAACACGTCGCTGAGGAGGATAGATATGAAGTTATGATCGCAGGGGTAAGTCTGGGGCATGATCTTTATGACAGTTTATGGCAGATAATGCTTGGAGAGACAAGAAGAAGAATGGCTGACTGGTTATGGAGTATAGGCTGGCCCAGCTGGAATGCTGCTTAAGCTGCTTCTCTCGCGATTTGGACTTGGAGACAAGTCGGTTCTGTGCATTGAGTCAAGAGATACTATCTTGAGAGCAGGCCAGGCAGATGGAATACAGCCACGGACAATGGAAGTACTTAAAAGCCTCGGGTTGATGCATGAGATATCTACAGACGGCTGTCCAGTGTGGGAGGTTGCGTTTTGGAACCCTGTTCAGCAGAAAGGGGGAGAGGGGGAACCGAATACTGGACCAAGGGGCATCGAGCGGACTGCCATCGTCGACGATGTTGCTCTCGCAGCTAGATATCCTCATGAAGCCACTACACATCAGGGGAAAGTGGAACGTATCCTCGAAGACGACCTTCTCCGGTACTCAGGAGGCATTCGACGATCCACGACCCTGCTTAAGGTGCAAATTGACGAGAAAGGAGACCCGGCTTTCCCGGTCGTTGCTGAAATTGAATCTCCAACAAGCCGAAGACGGACTATTCGCTCCAAGTACCTTGTCGGTGCAGATGGGGCACACTCAACTGTTCGTCGATGCATGGGGTTGAAGCTAGAAGGGGAGATGACAGACCATATATGGGGTGTCATTGATCTGGTAGTTGATACGGATTTCCCAGATGTTCGAAGACGAACTGCTGTTCATTCCGATGCTGGCGCCATCATGATCATCCCTCGCGAGCGGTCCATGACAGGAGATTTCATTACGCGTCTTTACGTGCAGGTTCCCGGTGATGTCAAGGTTGATGAAGCTGATATTGCAGGAACAACGAAACTTCAGGAGTTTAAAAAAGGGTATGATGATGCGAGAGCTCGACGAGAACAAGTTACCGTGGAAAGTATCATGAAGCAGGCTCAGGAGGCTATCAGGCCATACTACATTAAGCAGAGGGAGGGCACGAAGGTCGAATGGTGGACTGCATACCAGATTGGACAGCGAGTAAGTGACCGCTTCTTAGTGAGGGACGCCCACGGAAAGCATAGAGTGTTTATTGTTGGAGATGGTACGTTCCAACGGCCCTTTCGAACGGAGAATGTGCTAACTGACAGTACATAGCATGCCATACGCATAGCCCCAAGGTAAGTAGCGGATAGAAGCACTTTTCCAAATGGTATACAGAGGTTGTAGCCTAACAAGTTACAGGCTGGTCAAGGGATGAATGTCTCAATGATGGACTCTTTCAACCTCGCATGGAAACTGGCTTACTCTGTTAACGGACTGTCTCCCGTCTCACACAAAAACACCAGCTCCCCGGATACAATTCTCGACACCTACGAGACAGAACGCCGCACGATTGCACAACAACTAATCGAATTCGACCGATCATTCTCCTCCATGTTCTCGGGGAAAATCGGCACTGCAGGTGCAGCTGGCTCCAAACTGACACATGACCAGTTCCTGGAAGTATTCAGGACCGGCAACGGGTTCACTAGTGGATGTGGAATTGAGTATCCCGAGAGCACCTTGGTTGATAAATCCATGGATTACAATGTGATCAGGGGGACGGATTATCTGGCTGGTGTCTTGAGGCCGGGTAGGCGGCTGTTGAACGTCAAGCTGAAGAGACATGCAGACGGCTGCCATGTGGACTTACACGATGGTTCGTTGTTCTTTACCATGCCGAACTGCAGGGGTATTACCAGATCCAATGGGTTAACTTGTATATTTTTTTTGCAACAGAAATACCAACCACCGGTGCATTTCGGATTCTATGCCTTACATCGGGTGACTTACTTGATCCGAACGGAATGTCAAGTCAGACTCTAACTGGACTCTGTGACATGGTCAAACGTGTATCCTCCATGTATTCATCCCATAATGTCTTGCAGCTTCTCACCATCTACCCACGCGCATTAGTAGGGTTAACGCCGACCTCACCACCAAAGGCTCCACTGCCTACTTCATCCTTTGTTTGGAGTGATGTGCCTAGCTCCCTGCATGAGGTTGCAGAAATGAACGTTTATTGTTCTGCCGTTGCTAGTGAGGATGCATACCGGCTGTATGGCGTAAGTGAGGATGAAGGCGCTATTGCTGTGATTAGACCAGATGGGTATGTTAGTGGAGTAGCATGTCTGGGCGAGGCAGGGGTTGATAAAATAGGACGCTTTCTAGAGGGCTGTATTTGGATGGGACAGGAGCATAAGTAGATGCGGAATATAAATGCGCGAGATGAAGGAAAAAAAAAAAAGGATCTCATTTATATACTCATAACATCGCTGACTATGTACTTGAAGAAAAGGGCGGAAAAAAGGGGCGTTAGAAACCGAATTCTTCGACATGTAGATATATACCCTGGGCCCCTGTACCCTTATGTACTGCTCGTTCGTCAGATAAAGAGACGACGTTGCGTCGTACATCTGTGCTGAGCCCACTAGGACCGCATACGACGACAGCGCTCTCGCCCTCTGCCGCCTCAAGAGTCGAGAGGATGATGTTGTCAATATTCGGTCTACCCGTCCTGAGACAGATTGGAGACTTGGAAGATAGACCCTTCTCCCAGGAAACAAGGGGGGAAAGGGATGTCGTCTGAGACGAATCGGAAGTTGTCGACGGGGTACGTTGTACATGCAGACCGGTACCGTGAGCCGAAGGGCTAGTAGCAGACATATGAGGATCGGAAGTGAGGTATATGCTTATTTCGAATGTTGGCTCGAACTTGGAGTTTGTTGCTCGGCAGTCTTCCACGTCCCGCATGAGAGACTCCAGTTCATCCTGGAACCATGAAATGTGTGAATGGGAACGAATGGCCCAGACAAAATGGACATGTTTGGTAATGGGGATGGAGCCGCCGTTGCTTTCTGCCCTCCAGCACTCTACAATGTCCCGTAGTAAGGGCATGGTGAAAGTTACTCCCATGCTGCCTGCGAAGAAGACGACACTGTCGAACTGGCGAAGGGGCCTGATAGTGCCGTATGGTCCGTCGAGAGCAACAAGACGAGTTGAGTCTGAGTCGACGGTGGTATTCCATTTCTCTGCGTGGTTGAGGATGGCTCTAGTAGCACCTGACTCGGCACGGATGAGGAATTCTATCTTCTTGTCTGAAGGGAGGGAAGAGATGGTGAATGGATGGCTTTGGAAGGGGGCAAGAGAAGGGACGGAGAGGAAGACGTGCTGGCCCGGTTTCCAGGAGATGACTGGGTTGCGGATGGTGACTCGGGTAATATTCCCAACCAATGGGGCGAATGTAGCATAGTTCGCCCATAAGGAGGAGGAGGAAGAGGGGGAGTAGTTATGGGAAAACGACCTGGAGAAGATAGCGAGATTCGACCAAACCATCATCACCCACCGAGCTACTCGATCAAAGACAACGAGAGCAATTGACACCCAAACCCACATCTTAACCTCGGGCTCGGCATGCAGCCATGCAGCAGCAATGAATCCTGCATAAGTAACAACGTGGGAGATGAAGAAAAGCTCATAGCTCCAGCGTCTCACGGGCGAAAGAGTGGCAAAGAGAATGAAAGTAAGGATAGACCATGCTGCTATCCCTCGCTGCGTCAGGGGATCCGTTCTGACTTTGGTAGCAATGTAGTTGAAGCGTCCCCAGCTGCGGAACCAAAACCCCATATGGATGGTAGCGGACATCCAGAGCGTCCTGGCGGTCCATCGGTGCAGCCAGTTGAGCCGCTCGTGGCTGGAACCCGTCAGGAAGCCGATGATGTTCCTCTTGCCGGCCAGCAGCAAGATGAGCGGCAACTGGGCGACGGTCATGAAGCCAGTCCGGTACCCGACTGTCTCCCACGACCACTTGTCCAAGGTGTTGAGCTTGTAGAAGCAGAACACCATGACGGCGGTGAAGTTGGCCAGGACAACGCTGACCCTGCCCAGCGGCGACGGCTGAAACTCCCACCGGCCCATCTTCAGCGGGCTGAGGGTTGCTGACGAGTATTCTCTCGTCATGGCTGTGAGCGTCGCATAGGTGTTGAAGAAGAGCGACTTGGGCTTGGCCGGCGTCCTCGTTGTATCGGTCGATCTACCCCTTTGTCAGTCAAGTCCTCCTCCTATATGAACAATGCGGACACTGTTTCCCTACATACCTCTGCGCGGCGACTATCTTGTTGAGGATGTTGCAAGCCGTAGCGACGCCGATTGCCGTCCCGACGACCGCCCAGTACGTCCGCTGCATCTCAAAGTACGTCGGCACGCCATCTCCCGTGGGCGTCGCGCCTCCGCCATGGTTGTGAGCCATCTTCTATCAATCACTGCCCGCGGTAACGACAGTGACGGCGACAGTGATAGCGACAATATCTAATCGAGATAGCCGGAGTAGTCGAGGGCGGCGGCGGCAGAGCAGGAGTTGAAATATCAATGAAGATAATAATAGCAGCAGCGGCAGTGGAGGGTGAGCATATTACATAAGCCAGCCCCCCCCAAGCCCACCCAAGCAAGACAAGGACAAGGTTAAGGTTAGCAAAAAGCACAAGCTTATGCCTAATAATCTGCTCATCCTTTTTCGTCTCCCTATTTCAACATCAAGGCATCGCAGCCTCAAAAGTCGAGCAGACAGCAACATCCTGCATTGTCCAGCACTTATCGCCAAAGCGCCATCGTCTTCGAGGCTCGACAGGATGGCTCACTCGCATGGCTCGTCGGACCCCAACATGGCGATGGCCATGGTCTTCCAGAACATACCCGCAACGCCCCTGTACACGCTGAACTGGACGCCGCGGACCAGTGGTGCATACGCCGGAACATGCATCTTCCTCATTGTCCTCGGAGTCATCGCCAGAGTGCTGCTCACGGCCAAAGCTATCATGGACCGGCGCTTCCTCGCCGCAGCCAGAGCACGACGATATGTCATTGTCCAGGGCCGGAGGACATCAATATCACCGCCTGGATCACCGACGTCGCCAACAGAGCCCGAGTCGGAACGCAGCAGCGAGGACGCAGACGAGAAGAAGATGGGCCGGCTGATAAGCGCCCACGGCGTCGAGGAGAATGTTCGAGTGGTCAACGCAACCGCTGGGCCGCCGGTGATGCCGTGGAGGTTCAGCGTTGACCTGCCGCGGGCGGCCATGGTGACTCTCAACGCTGGTGTTGGCTATCTCCTGTACGCAATTCCCTAATTTCTTTCTTTCTTTCTTTCTTTCTTGTTTTTTGTGATATGTCTTGTACTGACAACGAAATAGCATGTTGGCTGTGATGACCATGAACGTCGGCTACTTCATGTGTATCCTGGTGGGCATCTTCGTCGGCGATCTGGCAGTAGGGCGTTACGCCCACCGTTTCGAGGAGCATTAGCGTCTATCGCCTATCGTCCTTCGTCTTTCGTTGTCTTTTGTTGTCGTCCTTATCTTGCCGCCGTCTTCATGTTTATACCATCGGGCATCTGTATATATCTTCGTCTCCATCTCCGTTTTTCATCATATCATATATATCCAGCAGCACCTAAACAGTCCCTAATAGTCCATACCGAGTAGTCACGACTTCAAACATGCAACTTTGTTTGCTTTTTCCCCTTGAGTGGGATTGAGCATATTACCTAAGCGCAAAGCGGCTTCTTTGCGCCTAAAAAGCTGCGGAGAGTGACTTTGCGCTCCACCAAGCTTTGGGGGAGACGCGAAGTCACTCGCCATTAGCCGGCGTGTCATTGGCTGGAAGATGCTCGGGTATCGGCAGAAGCAAAAAAAGGCGAAGGCAACATCCGCGGAGGGACAAGAGACAAAGTAAGGGACGCTGGCAGGAGTACAGGAGAAGGTTGGTATAAAGGGGCAAAAAGCCCTCCTTCTTCTGCTTCTGCTCTCGTTTCTGCTTCTGCTTGGTCGCAATCTCATTATCTCACGCTCAATTGTTGAAATTCCCGCTTGTGATAGTGACATTTACGAGTTCAAGACAGTCAAGATGAAGCTGCTCGCGATCCTCCCCGCCCTGCTGCCGCTCGTCGCTGCGCACTTCAACGTCGAGGCGCCTCCAACTCGCGGCGGCAGCGAAGACACCCAGCCGATGTTCCCATGCGGCGGCCCAACAGAGCCGTCCCGGGAAAGAGTCAGGATTCCCCTCGACGACCCGAAACTCGCCATTGCCATGGAGATGGGCCACGACCAGGCGGCCGTCCAGGTGCTGCTCGGCCTAGGATCTAACCCGGGATCCAACTTCAACATCACCGTGCTCAAGACCTTCAGACAGGTCGGTCTCGGGGCCTTCTGTCTCCCAGAAGTGTCCTTCTCAGAGCAAGTCGTCGGGTTCAAGCCAAAGGATGGCATGGAGGCCACCATCCAGGTTCTCAGCAACGGTGATCCTAAAGGCGGTCTTTTCCACGTATGAACTGGCCTTCTGTCCTCATCTTTGTTGTTTTAGAGCCAATATGCTAACCAGCTATTCACAGTGCATCGATGCCGTGTACTCCAGGTCTGCACGATATGTCAAGCCAGAGAGCTGCAAGAACGGCACCGGCGTCGAGGCCATGCCCTTCAGCGGCGAGGCTGCTAACCGAAACGCCAACGAGTCCACACCGAATGGCCAGCCACAAGGTGGTTCCGGTGGTTCTGGTGGACATAGTCCCAGCCCTACTGGCAACGCGGCACCGCTTCAGACAGCCGCTGTTTGGGGCGTTCTCGGTGCTGCCGTCGCTGGAGGCGTTGCTCTCTTGTAAATATAGTAGATGATACCCCCAACATCATTTTATGGATAACTTAGTGCGGATATAACGAAGTATGACGCGATTATCTAACTCCTCCTCCTTCTTCCTCTGTCTCTCCTAAGTGTTTTTTCTTCTCCTTGATATCTCCATCCTTCGCGCTACACGTGACTAAAGCGCCCGGCCCGGGAAAATTTTTTATGATTAGTAATATATTAGTAATAAAGATAAGGCTTATCGCGAGCCGAGGAAAGTTTGTTCCTTTTTCTTCCATCGTTCAAGGTCAGATCAAGGGCAAGCAACTCACCCATAACCAACTCCATATACTGACAACGCCATCACCATGGCCACGAAAGCACCATTTGTTGTCCCGGCCCTTAAGAGGCACACTGCTACCGTCATCATGGCCCATGGTCTGGGTGACACGTGAGTTATCCTTCGCGCAACAGCTGCTGAGTCTACCACTTCTAACCGAACCCTACAGCGGAGCAGGCTGGTATGATACGATGCGCCCTATATTTACATGTAACTGAACACTCGTTAATAATATGCCTTGACTGAAGGATGATGATGGCCCAAAACTGGCGCCGACGCGAGATGTACGATGAAGTTTCCTTTATCTTCCCCAATGCACCCTCCATCCCGATCACCGTGGTATGTCTGTCCTCATCTCCCCTGTCCCTGTCCTCTCTCCACTCTTCCCTCTGCTGACTGTCAATCATCTGCTTTAGAACTTCGGCATGTCCATGCCGGGATGGTATGATATCAAGAACCTCTCTCCTACAGTACGACCCCCTCCGGCCCTCCTTCCCTCACGCGCGCCCTCAACCCACGATGAACACTTGAACACTGACAGCCAGTAGCAAACCATGGAAGAGTTCTTTGCCCAGCGCGACGAGGAAGGCATCCTAAAGTCCCGCGATTACTTCAACACTCTCATCAAAGAAGAGATAGACAAGGGGATCAAACCTTCTCGCATCGTATTCGGTGGGTTCTCTCAGGGCGGAGCTATGGCGCTGGTCACCGGCTTCGCATCCCCTGTAAAGCTAGGTGGTATCTTTGGCTTGTCATGCTACCTTCCTCTGTCTCCTGAACAGCTCAAGAAGCATATCCCAGAGGGTTGGCCGAATCAGAAGACACCCCTTTTCATGGGCCATGGAGACATCGATCAGGTGGTTAAGCATCAGTATGGAGAGAAAACTGCCTCCATCTTGAAGGATATGGGCGTCGACGTCGACTTTAAAACTTATCAGTGCGTCAAAAATATCTTTGAAGTGGCTCACTACGTGGTGTCTGTACTAATGTTTTCTTTTCATAGCGGACTGGGCCATTCCGGCGATCCAGATGAGATTCAGGACCTCGAGAAGTTCCTTGACCGCATCATCCCCGCCGAGGGAACTGCGCCCTCCTCTGAGTTATGACTCCGTGTGGGCAAGCGCAGCAACGACCGTCAATGGATATTCTCTTCAGCTTTCGGCCTTCTTCTCTTTGTCTTCCTCGCTCTATGGCTGGCAAGATATATAGGTCGTCGTTCGTCCACTACATTACACCGATGATGTAGCATTCAGGTAGCGTGCCAGTGCCCTTCGTATAGAGCCTCAGACCTAATATACAATAATACAGCGATGTTTCTCCAACGACTAACGTACTCGTTTCATACATGTTTTAAAATATAAAACCGTAAGAGTGGGGAAGAAGTCTTCATGATCACTAGCGTCTTCAGGTCTCTTCCGAGAGCAACTTCAATATCGCCGACTCACTTGTAGCAAGCACTGTGAAACGATCCCAATTAGCACAAATAATTTACAAGGCACCTCCCATATCTGAAAACGGGACATACCTGCTTTCCCATTATTCCAGTCCACAACCTACATTCGCGGATCAACCCAGTCAGTTCCCCATTCCACATCTAACCCAGTGACTCAGAACTTACCACCGGCCTTATAAAACTGTCACCATTCTCCTTCAGCCGCTTAACAGCATCAGATCGGTCCGTAGCCCCAGATACCAAATCACCTGGCTTTCCCACCCCGATACCCCCACTTGCAAGAGGAGAGGACGTCATGTAATCCATAATAAGCTTGAGTTGGTCTGTGGTTGGCGGCTCTTCCGTAACGTTTAGTTCGAAGTCGGAATTTCGTAGTAGAGAGCCGGAAGGAGATGTTGCTGTTCCTTCTTTGATGGCTGTTGAGGCCCTCTGCAGGACAGATAGCGCTTTGGTGGATGATGCGAGGGTGGGCTTGTGGAAGAGCGTGATGATGTCTAAGGTTTTATGCTAGACGGAGTAAAGGTGCTTTGTTAGTCGATGTTGGCTACTTAGAGGGTCGGATTGAAAGAGCTTACAAAGCGAAACATGGTGAAGGGATAACCGAGCGATATTTATCCGGTTTGCTTCGTGGTTGTTGAGCTCGTTGGGATGTGAGGCTTGTATGTATTAAGAGGTAAGGTTGGAAGAAGCTCTGGTCTGTGATTGAAGGTTTAAATCCTCGTGCGGCTCTAAATCACGGGCTAGTTACGTCATCCCGCCCAGGCGCCTCCACGCTTAAACCAGCCAGTTCCTTTGTTTACATTCAACTAAAATAGACGTTTTGCAAGTTTTGTGGTTCAAGACGTTTACAGAAGAGAGATAGAACCATCAGTCAACTATACTCGTAATGTTATAATAAGGCTACGATACCAAAACACAAGGGAAACGTTTACCCGCCCTAAAGAAACCACGAACAGATGATGAGAGTGTATGCAACAAAGAAATGCACAAAAAAAAAGGATTCACACAGTCAAAGGAAAAGGAGAAAAGATCGACCAGAGTATGGGGGTTTAGAACATATCTGTAGTACGTTTGGCAAGGTCTGAAAGTCAAGGGGGTGGGATAAAAATGAGAGTGGAAATGAATGCCTGCACCATGCCATGTAAAACAGCTACAGATATTACAATAATAAGTTTATTTGCCGAGTGGTTGAAGGAAAAGTGAATGGGTAAAATCAACGGAGCCAGCTCTGGAAGGGGGTGAGGAAGGCGGGATATACTGGAGATAGTTGGCGGCGAACACACAACGTCGGTGAAAACAGCGACTTCGTCGAGGCAAATTTCTTTAGAACATGGTTCCAAAGGACCCATCGGTCGGGATGCCCTTCCGAGGGCTGCTGCGTCCGTCGCTATCAATGACCGGCTTTCGATGTCTGTTCATTTCACTGTCAGCAAAACAATCGCGTGGAAAGATCCCTAGAGTAAGATCCCATACCTAAACGTGAATCCAACGAAGACGCTCTTGTTCATCTTTTCGTCACGATCAGCCATATCCTCAAGTGCCTTCTGTTTATCATGTACCTCCTTATATTTAGCCATGTCAGCCTCGTTTCCGAAGTCGTCGAAGTAGCCAGCATCCGTTTCAGAATCAAGATCAGGAACAAACGGAGCTTTCTGTTCTTCTCTCAAGGTATTGAAGTTCACTTCAGCGAAATAGTCATGGTTGTGAATTTCAGTAACGTTCTTGAACCGATGTTCCTTCGAAGCAACAAGTCGAGTGATAAAGTCCCAAGTACGTCGGGAGAGATAGTAGTTTGGATCTTCGTATTGTGGCTTGCGCAACACATCTTTCCAATTCTTGAGATTCTGCCATGTCTCATCCACGGTCGCTCCGGCGAAAGGAGGGTAGCCCGTCAGAGCTTCGAAGAGCATACACCCCAGACTCCAGTAGTCAACAGTGAAGTCGTATTCCTCGCCGCTCAACACCTCTGGAGCCATATAATCAGGCGATCCAACAATTGATTTGGCATAATTGACATCGAGCTTTCGGAGTGAGCGGTAACCCTCGCGTCTTTCAGCAGCAGAACGTTGCTCCATCGGCCGACCAAATGGAACGGCCGTCTTTCCGACCTCCTCTAGTTTCAACCGCATAGACTCAATCTTGGTAGGATTAAGCATGCCCGCTGCCAATCCAAAGTCGGTTAACTTAACGTGTCCGGAAGAGTCAATAAGGAAGTTCTCGGGTTTCAAGTCTCGATGTATATACCCAAGAACATGGAGAGCATCCACGCAGGCTACCATCTCAGCGATATAGAATCGAGCGTGTCGGTTGTGGAGGACCCCCGTGTTGTTGAGTAGAGTACGGAAATCACCTCCAGGGACGTATTCCATGGCAAGGTATATTTGATTATCATCCTGAAAAGCATAAAGTAGTTTCACCAGCCATTCGCTCTTTGCCGTCGTTAGGATGTCACGTTCTGTCAAGATGTGCCTGATCTCGTCCATCTTGAAGAGCAGCTTCTTGCTCATGACCTTTAACGCGCACACTTCACGAGTGTCCTTCTTTTGTGCGAGATAGACTTGCCCATAGCCTCCTTGACCAACCTGGGTAAGAATCTGGAAGTCGCCATGTCGCAGACGGGTTCTCCGTTTCCGAAGGTTGGCACGTTCTCGGCCTAAATATTTATGGCGTGCGACCTCGTACTCTGCTTCATCTGTCTCAGGTGGAGGGGGATAGGCGGCAGCAAATTGGGCGCTGCGTATCTGTCGGTTCTGAACATAGCTGAGAAGGTTGAAGTAGTGGTCAAGGAAATCTTCACTAGGTTAGCGCATATCCAGTAACCAAGGGGATGTCAAAAGTATAACTAACAGAGCTGCGTGACATTGGCAAGACGCTTAACTTTCGGCTGCTGTAACTTCTCCAGTTCCTCTGCGGTCAAGCCCCTGATTTGAGCTTGTGGTTTTCGAAGGCCAGCCTCCATCCGATCACCTGTCTGATACTGCTCTCGACGCGACATAGCAGCATGGCTTAAAGTATTCGCTTCCTTTCCTAACCGCAGCCCAGGGATTGGGGCATTCTCCTTATTTGACAACCGAGTAGGGCTCCCCGGCCTCACAGACTCTTCCCTTCCTTCATTGTATGCAGTCAAATCATCAACCTGGCCTCGTCCTGGTGACAGTGGCGATTTACCAAAACCTGACTTGGACGGCGAAGACGGGGTGAGCCTCATGGCATTGTCAAACACATTGACTAGCCCTGTAGCACCAGGCGGTACTTTGTTTTTGCTCGGGCTGCCTTGCGGGGTGTTGATGGGACTGATAAAGCCGGCATGAGTCTGAGGGGGGGTCAACGGCCGCTCATAGGGCTCGTTGCCTGACCGCGTATTGAGCATCGGTGGGAGATGGGGGGTTGTCTGCTTTCCAAGGGAGTACGATGGTATATTATTCGCATCCATCGCAGGGTCGATAAGTAGACAGGATGGGCGTTGCTGTTGATGTTGATGTGGAATTCAGTGAATGTTGATGTTTATCGCCTCTGCCCCGCGAAGGAGGATTGGACTCGCAAGCTTCTGGCTCGCCCACTCGATCGCGCTGCAGTCCGTTGCGTGTGTGGCTGCCACGAAAACAGTTGCACGCAGCTTAGATCGATAAGTTAGCTAGCTCAGGTCACTAATCTTTGCCGGCTGTATTAGCGACAGCGATCTGGCTAGGGTCAGGTTATCATTCGTGCACTAAAAGTTGGCTTTGAGATCGCAAGCTGCAAGTCGATGGGCGGAGTTGCCAGGGCAACTTGCTTAGTCATAATATTAGTCATCGCATATAAAACCGCACAGACGAAGTGGTGAAGAGATGCAGATGACGGCAATGTAAGGGAGGGGGGTAATATGACAAGACTGAGGCAGAATTAGGAGATTGGGCAGTGAATATACATAGTTGGAATCATGCTGTCCAATGCTCTTACAAGGCTGACTACTCTTGCATAATCTATGTGGCTGCCGAGATTAATACTTATACTCAATGCAGCCACTAACCGATGCAGCGGTAAAGAACTGGAGTTGGGCGAGACAGTGAAGATAATAATAACCGGTAATTGATTCCATTAACAGGCTTATCATATCAGCTAAGTCCTTGTCAAAATGCTATTAAAATTTCGATCCTGCCCCCTGATTGGTGCTTGGCCCAATCCTCAACATTAATTTGGCGTAAATATTGGCCATGTCTTAGGTTATGTCGTACTGGGTATATTATTTGAGAATAATGAACCATACTCCCGATCTAATCAGGCCATGTATGTAGATCTTGAGCTCCGTTATCTCGCGGTACGTCAACTCCACAGATCTAGAAAAGTCGGAGTCTGGTCAGTGAACCCTCTCCATAGCGGATACCCAAGGGCTTTACGCACACTTTTTCAGTGCCCAGGCATTGGCATACTCCGTAACTAACTAGATTAGCTTTGTAGTATTGCGGAATTGCCCGGGCTAAACTTATCATCCGCCAGATTATTCTTTTCACAACTTCCCGACTCAGCCCGGCAGCTTCATGGCTCTATCCAACGATCCATGCATGTCTCAACCTCAGCGGGACAAACTTCTTATTAGCTCCGTAAACAGTGAATGGCACAAGAAGACATGCCTCCTTGAGTCGCCACTTGCAACCTTGTGAGTGGTCCCTGTGATTGTTCCGAGCTAATAGGATAACAGCAGGTTGCCAATTAGACCCATGCAGAAGTTCGTGCTAAGATGGAATCGACAGACGATTCGTCATGTTGATGGGAAAATGAGGGTCTTGTGCCAGTAGCAGAGGGCACAAGGCTGTCCCTAGCAGCTTTGGCTGGCTACGGGAAAAGGCCCCTCTGGAGCCAACCGATTTCCGACATTAAAAACCGATTCATCGGTAACTAGTGATTTTCCGATAGGGTCACTGATATAAAAGTTAGGTTGACCTAGAATGGACATCCACAAGGTCCAGAGAGCACCCGATCACAAAGAGAACACTATTTGACCGTCATCTACTCTTTATTTCCGGAGTCTTCCGTAGTAGAATATGACAGTTGTCTTGGGTGATGTTACACCCTGAATCACAGATCCTGATGGGTACCTTGGCCGGATCCCTTGTAATAATGATACTAGAAGGGTTTGAAATAGCGAAATCTTTGTTAAGCCCGTGCCGAGGCAGTTATAGTTTAGCGTTTTTTTCTCCCGCATGTATACACTGCCTTGCAGGCGCTTTTTTGCCTTGTCCTTGTATAATGGCGATGTGGGCAGCCTGAGCAGACAGCGTCCTCTGGCAAAGAATCAATTCCTCACGTACGGAATCCGCTGTAGCCAGTCTATCCCCAGCTTGGCCCCCTCCCCCTCCTTCTCAATGTCAGGCATACTAGCATGTTGTTGTTGAGGAGGAGGAAGAGGAGGTATCTTCCACGCTTTCAGGGGCCAATATAAAACCCATATTTCTCCCCACTTTTAGGCAGAAACATAAGTAGAGATTGAATATGCTTCTAGGAGAGCCCCTTGGCCCCATCGCTTGGCCCCATCGTCTCGTCCCATCGCCTCGTCTCCTAACCAGGTTTTTTTCGCCCTGTGGAAAGTGAAGCCGTGGCGAATATCTTCTGGCCGCCCGTGGTTGGGGTTGTGAGGAATATCAGTCACGATCAGGAGCCGACGCCATGATCTGCTGGCGTAACTTCCCATGGAAATCCAAGCTAGAACTGCGGCCAACGGTTCCGCAAAAAGTGCAAAGCCCTCGAGCTTCCAGGCACACCTCGCCGCAGCGACCAAGAGTCTGGACTTCGTTGACCTGGGCTGGCTTTTGTCGCCAAAGAGAGGAAAAAGAAAGCGTTGGGATCGATGGCGAAGAAAAGAAAGTCACTGATGTCGGTGTAACACAACTGTATTGATACGCCTGCTCCGACTGGTGGCGGCTGTAAGTCCCCGTCACGTCTCGTATGCGGAGAATTATCGGCACTTTGTGGAGAAGAAAAAGGACGATTTCCACAGGATCTTCAAGCTTGCAGGCATATGAACGCAGTCACAGGAGGCCAGACGAAGACGACGGCCGGAAAATAAAAGAAAAAAAAGGAAAAAAGGGAGAGTGTGACTGAGAGAGAGAGTGAGAGAAAGCCACTTGACAAGGGGCCGGTCGTTCTTCAGGCTGGACAGTGAGGAAACAAGCGGCTGTGCGCTAGGAAACCTGCTGCTGCTGCTGCTGCTGCTGCTGCGTTTTGAGCTGCTAGTTACTCCCTTGCCCAGGCATCCTGCGGAGAGGAGGACCATGTAGCTAGATATAAGCCTTGTGTCTTCCTATTCTATCTCTGTGGACTGGCGTGAACGCCGCCCGATGCTCCATGGACATATCCTCAAGCGACGCTGCTCGACCTTGCGACCTCAAGCAGGACGCTGCAACCGCCCGCGGGCAGCCTAGCTGTTTCCCGTCTGCTCAATCGTGCGATCCGCCTGCCCCTAGTAGTCCGGCACAGGACAAACCGAAGCAGTCAAAGAGCCGCAACGGTATGTTCTCCCAGTCCTTCTGCCAAAAGTTGCGAGTTATACTACGTATACCCCTCCAAATAGTACTAGGGGGCTGAGAACAAGCTTGCCTTTTGATAATATTATACATGGCTTGTCGTCGTCCGTGCTGACTGTACCCCCGTATAGGGTGTGTAACTTGCAAGGCAAAGAGACTTAAATGTGACGAGACGAAACCTACGTGCCTTCAATGCCAGAAGAGAAACGTCCCCTGCGGTGGATACAAGAAAAGCTACAAATGGCTCTCCTTCGAGGAGTCTAGCTATACTGGAAAATCAAAACCAAAGACCCAAAAGCCAGACCCGGAAGAACGAGAGTCGCAATGTGTCAGGCAGTACAAATGCCGTTTTATCAATGTCACGGCCGAGGACATGCCGCGTGCACCGCCGGCAGTGGAGGCCCGCCTTCAGTGAGCGGATCTGGTGCAAGTTTTGACAGCCGGGTAACGCCGCTGCTAGAGGGTTTGGATATTCAGGGGACAGCCTCCGGCCCTGAGACCACATCTGGCGTACAGCTGCAGCAGAGCCTAGTGGCCAGGGAAGGCGTGCCTTTTCCTCAATATTCAGGAGCTTTTACGCCAAATTTCACCTCGGAAACACAACATTTTACATCAAGATCCCACTCACCGTTCGCGGACTCTGAGAATAACGATGCCGAAGAGGTTGTTCGACAGGACATTCCCGGCGAGCTCATCCCTTTCAAAAGAAAACGACCGGGATCACTATCCCATATACATAGCATACCAATCCCTTCACCGATAAACTTCGCTGCAGACAGTGCCGAAATGCTCCTCCTTAGATTCGACCGGCGCACCTGTGGTATTCTCTCAGTCAAAGATGGTGTAGCTGAGAATCCATGGCGAACAGCGGTGACTCCTCTAATTCGAGATACACCCGCACTATACCATGCAGTATGTGCGTTGGCTGCATTTCACTCAACCAAGGAAAATGCTACATTCAAGTACCTTGGGATGGACCACATGCGCCAGAGCGTCCGAACGCTGGCTGTCGATATAGAAAGCATGAATATAGATGCGGCCATAGCCACAACGCTCGCTCTTGCATTTGCGGATACATGGGATACGCATGTCTCCACTGGGGTACATCATCTTCGCGGAGCTAAAGTTTTGTTTGACAGAGCCGTCGCCAGGCACACCCATATGCCACTTTCACCTAACGACCAGTCCCGCCTGATGTTCTTATACAACGGTTGGATGTATATTGCAGTCATTGCCCAGCTAACCTCCCGTGAAGACACCGGGTTCGACCAAATTCCGTTTCCCCCCATTTTCACCCCACAAGTACATGAAGTCGACCCTTTATTAGGCTGCGCAGCCAGCTTATTCCCGTTAATCGGCCGTGTTGCTGTCTTGGTCCAAAACGTTCGCAAGGTCCCAGTGAATTCGGTTGCTATTGTCTCCCAGGCGATGGAGCTCAAAACACTCATCGAGCAATGGGCTCCTCCGAGGTATTTCAAACCGCCAGAAGACCCGACGTCCAATATCCAGGACAGCTTCCAGACCGCCCAGGCCTACCGCTGGGCGATTTTGCTCCACCTGCATCTAGCTGTCCCTGAAATACCTTCAGAATCTACAAGTGAACTAGCCAACCGGATTCTTGTCACCCTCGCCACCATCCCTCTGGGGTCCCGGACCCTCGTCGTCCAAATATTCCCACTTCTAGTTGCCAGCTGTGAAGCCGATAGCGAGGAAGATAGAAACTGGGCAAGAATTCGCTGGGCAGAAATGCAACAACGAATGGCGATTGGAAATATTGACCGATGCATAGAGGTTGTCTGCGAAGTTTGGAAGCGTCGAGACGCTCGCAAAGCTGCTATAATGAATCACCAATCTGATATATACTCTCTACCTCTCGACACGCCGGTATCAGCCTGTAGCCGCCATGACAGTGTAATAGAGCCACTTGTCTTTGGTAGGCAAGATTCTCGTGTCTTCACGGCTGATGATGTCAATGCGGCTGCATCAACGACGGTTCCCGAAACATTTAATCAAACACCGTCACCCAGCCCAACAGTATCCTTAGCATCTAGCCGCGGCGATGGATCTTCAGGCCTATGTCGTATTTTCCCCGAGTACGAAAGGACTGTTCGAGGCAATCTACACTGGCTCAGTGTTATGGGGGATTGGGGCTGGGAAGGTTCGTACTTCATTTCTTATAACAGTGGTTACTTGAACATATTTTTTTCTAACTCTCGAATATAGTCCTACTTGGCTGAGGCTTCACTACTCAGCACTTTCCCTCACACCTTTGACTTTCAACCTAAAAATAACGTTACTTTCACACACATGAAAGTACATCACGGCTGCCCCATGTTGGGACAGAAAACACCATCTACCATACGATTGAACGGCTGCCATCCTCATAATGTATTGTATACCCCCACGACTAGGACATAGACTGCCTACCCATACCCTTTCCCTGTTGTCACCTTTAGCGTTTATCTTGGTTCTTCCGCCCGTCCCTCCTTCCTATTTGTTTTCTTTTAATCAGCAGTATTTGTTTTGGAACATGGGTAGTTATCGGGCGTAGATAAACGAGGAGGACTTATAGGGGGGTGTACCTGTTACGAAAGAATAAAGATGTGATTAATATTAATTATTCTGATGCTTCTTAACCTGTGTCCCAGGCTCCATGTAACGGCTAAATACATCGTATCGCCCACCTGGATACACAATAGTCATTATTCTGCATAACTAATAAGCGCTTAGATCGGTTTACTAGTTAAGGTTTGAAGCGCCAGGCGCCAAATTCCCCTCCTTCCAGCATAGCAACATTAAACATCAACCACCTCCCAGGTAAACACTTTCATCACGATCCCAATTACCTACCATCATCCCCACCAGCTCCTTCTTCTTGACGATTTATTTATCTTTCATAAAAGCAATTGTCAAAACCGATGTAACGAAGCAGATACCACCTGAATGTATGTCAGCGTTTGATCGCAGCAATCACCTTCGAATGAAACTTACACAAAGTTGAAGTCATACTATCATATCCCAGATTATCTGCTAAAGATCCAGATAAAAGCGGTCCTATGAACTGGCCCAGATTAAAACTCCCGTTAGAAAGGGAGTGGCCTCGCGAATTCCCACCCTTGGTGCCGAATATCCCCGGAGTCTCCGATTCAAGATGTTCCATCACGGCTAAGAAAGCACCCCACAAAGTTAGCATATAACACGTTTAATGGTTATGATCCCTGGTTGCTTACCGGTTATCTCCGCTGCTCCGACACTTGCTGGGAGATTCTGGATGCATCCTATACAGACAATGACAATGACATATACGAGCTTAACCATATCCTCGGAACCGGACCATGGCATCCATTTTTCATTCACTACTCCGAGAAGCCAGAGCAGTGGACCCAGGAGAGTAAACCCCAAGCCTGTGAGTATCTTTTTTCCGCCCTTTCTTCGGATCCATCCGAACAGAGGGTCAAGGACCATGCCTGGCGCCTGGAGCCCGACGAACAACATGCCGGCGGGGAAGCTACCCCACCCAAAAAGATCTCGTACATGCGTGGGGAGTGTAGTGTTGAAACTAGCCATTAGAGATGAGCGGGTCATATAGGACATGAGTCCAATAAGGATCATAGGCTGGCTGAGGAGTGTCCAATAGAAGGAGAACATGGATGCACAGCCTTTCTTCACATCACTTATTCCCTTCGTGAGACTGTAGGGTTTCTTCGAGACGTTGGAAATAAGGGAGGTATATTCGTTTACGCCCTCCGGTAACGAGCTAGCGTTTCTGCTTTCTTCATCCTTGGCTTTGGCTTGTTTCCGCATATCTTTGATTTTTCGATGTTCAATCAACAACAACCTCAGCACGATATCTAGGGAAAGTATCCCGAATACTATCATCCAGGTTTTCCAATATCCGAAGTATTCGAGCATGAAGCCCGATATCGCCGGACCAGAAAACGCCCCTGCACTGATAAAGGCGTTTACCATACCCAATACCATACCCATATTTTGTGGTTTGACAACATCGTTAAGTGTTGCATGCCCAACTACCTGGGATACCGTACTGCCCACGGCCTGTACCATGCGCCCGAGGAAAACATTTATAACTAATGGGAATGGTCATTCTTGTGCCAATTTAAGTGCCAACTAGGAATATAATCTCATACGATTTGTGGAAGTTGCGAGAACAACCGTCCCTAGAAGTGCGATTCCTAGCCCGACTGCTAGAATTATCTTGGGGTACTTAAATCTGTCTGTCAACTGCCCGATCACAGGTCCAGACACCACTGCCGTGGCGCCATAAGTCGTGAGTATCAAGTACGTAAATTGCTGAGTATCCTTAGGGTCGACATTGTTACGCTTCTCGAGAATGTACGGAAGGATAGGTATCACGAAACCGTGGGTGAACGTTTCTAAAAGTTATAGACTGCGGTCAGAGGAGTTCTCACTGCCGCTCGTGGAAAACATTGCTATCTAACATCGTTTTGAGAAGCAACGGCCATACCTGCAAACAGTGTTACGACGACGCATGCCACCGTGAAAGATGACGAGGACCGCCAACTATAACCCCATGGTTTCTTGGCTCTTTTAAATATCTTGAGTAAGGCCATCTCTTCGTCGAAGCCTTCCTCTGTGAGAAAATAGAAGATATCTCAACAGCGCGATAAAATGGTCTTTTCGCAAGTCGCATGCTACCATGACAGTCCTAATGGATAATAAGGGCGGAGAAAACTTCCTGGGCAACCTACGGGGGAACAGCTCAGCTGCGGGTTGAAGGCTTGCTCTCCTCCATCACTAGAATATGCACATTGTTTTACGGTGGAGCCAGACACGAATGTCTGAAGACTTGATATGCAACGATAGGCTACTAAACTAGGCTAGTACTGGCTTGTATCCCACCAAAGCTAGCTAAATAACCAGCTAGCCAACAGATAATTCTGTGGCTGTCTGACCTGGCGAAGACTTGATTGCTTGAATATTAGCCAGTTATATGATTGGCATTCCCGCAATTAGTGAGAGAATATAAGAAAGGAGCCTGCTAGAACACTTGCGCTGCTGAGAGGTTTAACCACTCAAGACCATATTGTAGCCAGGTTGCGAGGTAACTCAATACAGATATCATCTTAGCTTTGTTGCGAGCGTGATCAACTTTCCCCTTTAGACTCTACGCTAGTGATTCTGGACCCATAATTATGGCCCTGCCAAGCCGGAAGCGGAAAGGTTGAACGCTTATTCTGTCGAAAGGCACAACTAGGTGGTTGAGGTACTCGAGAGGTAGATATTGTTTCTCAACCAGATATAGTGAGAATGATAATAAAAACAGATCATGGAAACGAAGAAATTATTCATATAAAACCTTGAGACCTATTAGTGCGAGTTCGTGACAAGCGATATCAGGATATAATTGTTTTCTCAATTATTGGACATTTCTTGGCGTGACCATGGTGAGCGCTCGAGCTTTTTTAGTCGAAATAATCGTGTCAAGAAAACTTCCATCAAATCAAAGACTAGAACGACGTAGATCTTTTGTATGTGACTTTACCTTGTGCTAGGCGTATATTTGGGCCGAAATGTCGTTATTTATCGGGAATACACTTGGCATGTGCACTAGCTTTGTCAGTTGGCCCTTCACGGTGTATTGTGAGGTTTCATGAGAACAAAATTATGCCAGAATAGAGCGGGATACGGATAATACTACAGGGCGTTCGAGAGGAATAGTCTGCGTCTTGCTGAGAATTGTACTTGAGCCACTGCATCGGTCAGTCGGTCAACGATCTTGTCACCGTTCCTAGAGCAGAGTAGCACGAAGAGGCACTCGGGATGTATGCTGTATTCCATACCGGCGTGTCCTTTAAGAGATTTGCTAAGGCACGGTCGGGCTTGCGGGCATCTAAATGGCCTGTACTCCGTAGCGAAGCTCAAGTACGTTTCCTCGTCGTACGGAAGCCGGAGGAGGGCTAGTGAGTATCTAGCACCTGGTTGCCCATGTTGTAGGTGGACTGACCAGTTAACAGCGGCGATGGACACTGCCCTAGGTATAGAGGCGTCAAGGAAGATATCGAAAAAGAAGTACAGAATCTTTCACAGGAAACGGAGTAACTGTATGGTAGCGTTCGATTCATTTCCAAGAATGGAGCACCACCTGTAACAAAGGTCTTCGATCGTGGATTAAACCCCTGAGAAATTAGCAGGATGATTCTGATCCGGAAAGATTACTTACCTTCATAGGGCAGTGAATAAAGTATGGGTGGAGTTCAAGAATTAATGCGGTCACCTTGTTCTAAGAGAACAGCGTTTAAAGCGCCAAAACGCGTCCTGTTCAGTCCCATCCGTGGTGTCTTTCGAAACGCTGCTTCCGTGTGCTAGAAACCCATCACGTGCTACTGTTAGATCTCCCAACCGCGTTTGTCTTTCGCGCTTATCGGGCGCGTCTAGCGCGTCTAGACTTTATTTTTATTTTGACGCAAACAAGACAACCAAAGACGAACGACATCGAGCGCTTCCTCGGAAGATCAGAACGAAGGGGGCTCTCTGGCAGAGGATACCTGGGGGCGCTTAAAGGGTATATACGACCGGGTCCGCGAAAGCCCTGTGTTGTTTCTCGTCTCCTGATCCCGGATTTATTGGCCTGAAAGTCTGCCTCGGGGGAACGCGCTATCGAGACTGGCCAAGAGAACAAACCGCCAGGGTCTTCTTTTCCTCGCTGACGATAAGCTGGCAAAAGACGGATTATCCTGCACGGAGCGGGCTTATCGGCGCCAACCCAAATACCTCGCTCAACGGCCCGTACTGTCTTGTGTTTTCAGCGTGTTCTATCGCGACACGAGAAAGCAAGGGAGGAACCACGACTATTAGCTAGTGGAGTCTCGCCTTTGACGACGCTTCATATTCTCCTCCTCCCTTTCCCTTCCTCTTCTCCTTTTCCCTCTCCTCTTGCTACGCTTCTCCGTCGACCTAGCCTGCATATCATATCTACGCCATGAATGACTCGCGTCGGACGGACCATGAGGGCGATACAGCTGCTTCCACCGTCGCGATTGAGCCAGAGTCTGCCAACAACTACTCCTTTCTAATACATTCCAACAAGACATTGACGCAGGATCTTCCACCTAAAGTCGATAGTAAGGTGTACATCCGTCAGCGCCGTCGGCGCACCAGGTACGTGTCCTGGCTATACCGACCATGCGAAGGGTATGGAACTAACCACAAGACTGGCAGCCCCGAGGACCATGCTATTTTAGAAGCGGAATACCGATTGAATCCAAAGCCTGACAAGGCTACCAGAGCGAGCATCGTCAGCAGAGTCTCTTTAGGGGATAAGGAAGTTCAGGTACGGTCTCAGTCGGTTGACCTCGTCGTCGCCTGCCAGACATTAACAATCCCCGCATTATAGATATGGTTTCAGAACAGAAGGCAGAACGACAGGCGAAAATCCAAACCGCTACATCCAAATGAACTATCCTCGAATACACGTGAACTCGAAAGCTCTCAGAAAACTGTAGATGCTAGTCCACCAAACACGCAGAATGAAAAGCTGAATTTAAGTGCCGATGATGCCAACGGTAATACACTGGGCACACCTTCCAACTGCCAGTGCGAACACAATATCGCATCGTCACAGCTCGAAAGCTCACAAACTTCTACATCGGCCAAATCTCAAGAAAATCAGTGTAGAGTGTGCTCTGCCGTCAATGAACCAAGATTACGTTCTCAGCTTTCCTCGGGTAAGAGGAAGCGTGCGGATTCAGGCGTCAGTGGACTAGGAGTTGAACTTGAAAACGGGCGAAGATCATTTGGCTCCACGAACTCGCCATCTCTTCGTCTTTCTCTTTCCTTCGATGGCGAGGCAGTGGTACGTGGCGAAGATGAAAAGACTCCGTCTCCTCCCAAAATTCGCGATTCTTTGCGAATTGCTTTCTCTGCAGACGGTGAAGCAGTTGTTCGAACGGCAGGAGAGCCGTCACCGTCCCCTTCACGAAACCGTACTTCGACTCCCCTTTCTCTTCAGTCCCGACTTAGAAGCCTTCGACGAACAAGCAGTGCCGTCTCATTTGGATCTAAATTACCAGATGCTGCTAATATATTTGGCCGGTCTCGAGATTCACGCAGATGGGAGTTGTATTGTGATACAGACGCGCGTAGCGCTCTCTCCTCGCCTAAAATCGGAGCGGGCCCTACGCCTGACGGGAGTGGAAGCGCCAGGTCCTCTCGTAGGAGAGCTTCCAACGCGAATGCGCGTATATTATCGCCATGTGCTAATCTTCCGAACTCACTACTACCCACTAACCCACCCAAGAAGCGAAAGAAACTATCCCGCGCTGTGTCCTCTCTTGGCCGGCTGGAGACCGAGCCATCATTAGAGACTGTTAACACCACCAAACCCAACAGCTCTCAGGGCAACAGAAACCAAAAAACGAAGCCCAAAACAGATTTCCACAACGGTGACTCCGACAAGGAAAACTGGCTCCCAGGCACACAGGATGTAGGCCCTCGTCGCCGCCGACTACATCCCACCGCCCACCCGCAGAATCGTGTTCTTCAAACATCAGGGGATGCTCGGCGCGAGGGAAATCGAATTATTGGGCGAGGAATAACATCTCCTCGAAAGGACCATGACAAAAACAGGGACCACGGACTTAGTGGGAAGCCATCTCTCCCCGGCACAAGTTCGAACCAGGAAGAGGATCTTGACTGCATCCAGGGTTTACTCTCCTTGAGCCAGGGTGCTTGGAAATGAAGCTATATAGAGCGATCTTATGACTTGTGTGTTTGAGTAATAACGGTTTTGCTTTTTCTTTTGTTCTCTTTCTTGTTTCTCTTCTTGGAGGATGTTTGTCTTACATAGGGATACCTTCTTTTGGGCGCATTATCAAATTCATCTTTCGCTCTCTCTCGGATACAATCCCTCAGCCGTCCAGTGTATAAGCCTAATGACCATTTTTGGAGGACTGTAAAGCCATCCTTGCTTTCAGCGCATCATCGCAAGCGATACAGTCCTTTTGGCCCTCGATTCTCGAAACCCGCTTCATCATCTTGGAGGCCCTCAGTAGAATTTGGGAACATCGCATAATATTGAGTGGTCTAGCCATACCATACTGGCCACGTCTCCCTCGCCCGAGAAGCTACCACCGATGATTTGTCCTGCAATAACAGGGGATCAACTTGCACTCCCGAGCTTGAACGGGGATGATCTTGAGCAAGTTAATCTGGGGGTGGGAGGAAACAATGTTGACAGCCATCGGCCAAGTTCTACATCTGTTGGTGGAAATGAAGCCTAACCTTCCGCCTTGTGGAAGCCATCAGAACCACAGCCTATCAGCTGGCTCCGACCCCGAACTTCTTCGCATGAATTCAACACATGGTCATTCTCACCATGCGATAATTAGCATCCGGATGTCAAATTAGTTGCCGCATTAGGACAATAACTTGCGTGAAGTGGAACTCGATCATGAGAATATTACGGGGGGTTTGCATGTCTTTTTTGACGGCCAGAACACTTCATCTTCCCCGTATTCTCTTATGACTATTGCCCCGGGCTTGAATCTGGTAATTGTATACCAAGATACTCAGTACGTTTGAGACAGTTATCAATTATCGGGATACTCAGTTATCCCGGTCTACAAGGTATAAATTACAGCTTCCAAGCCACACACTCCGAGTTTGACATGTGGAAGGATTCTGGTTTCTCGTACATCGCATCATCCAAATTTTACATTCCCCTTGTCTCTACATCGGATCCAGGGACGTTATATGTGATCTCTATATGCCGTGTCCACCACGACAATGTCATCATTAGCAGCTCCTTATCGGATCGGTGTCGATGTCGGCGGCACCAACACGGACAGCGTCATATTGGATGTTCGTGGCATGAATGAAGCAAATCGCGGGGTGATTGCTCAACATAAAACCCCAACTACAAGTCCCAATGTTACCGATGGGATAGAAACAGCCGTTCTCAATGTCCTTGAGCAGTCCAAGGTACCGAGAGATCAAATTGCCTGCCTAACCATCGGGACAACGCATTTTATCAACGCCATAGTAGAACACGATGCTCGACGCCTATCAAAAGTGGCCATCATCCGGCTTTCCAAGAGTTTCACGAGAGAGGTACCCCCCTTCTCAGACTTCCCACCAGTTCTCAAGTCAATTATGAACGGCTATTACACCTACGTTGACGGTGGGCTCACCATTGATGGAGCAGCAGAATCGCCTATAAATGAAGCTCAGGTGGTCAAAGAATGTGCCAAAATTAAAGAGTTAGGGTTAGACGCAGTCGTCATCTCTGGTGTATTCTCTCCAATTGACAAGCACTTTTTCCAAGAAGACAAAGTTCGAAAGATCATTCAAAGGGAGCTACCTGGGGTTGATATTGTTTGTTCTTCAGAAGTCTCCCAAATTGGATTCCTTGAGCGTGAGAATGCATCCATTTTAAATGCCTCCATCCTCAAATTTGCACGGCGTACCATCCGAGGCTTTAAGACAGCAATGAAACGCTTAAGCCTGAACTGTCCTCTATACCTTACTCAGAATGATGGAACTTTGATTGATGCTCCTTCTGCTGCAAGACTCCCTATCCGTACTTTTTCCTCTGGACCAACCAATTCTATGAGAGGAGCTGCATATTTAGGACTTAGCGAGCCAGATGATACCGGAAATGACCGTACGGCAACGATTGTCGTTGATATTGGTGGTACTACTACGGACGTTGGAGTATTGCTCCCGTCTGGATTCCCGCGTCAGGCCTCTGCGTACGTCGAAGTAGCTGGCGTGAAGATCAATTTTGGCATGCCCCATGTCGAATCCATTGGTCTCGGGGGTGGCTCCATAGTCCGTCACAAAGAAGTTAACACTACCATCGGACCTGATTCCGTCGGCCATTATCTCAGCACCAAAGGCACTGTATTCGGAGGAGACACTCTCACAGCAACAGATATTGCTGTGGCTGCTGGAGCCAAGATTGGCAACCCCGACTTGGTCAAGGATTTGGACAAGGAGCTGGTTTCCGCTGCGCAGGCAAGAGTGAAATCTATGCTGGAAACTGTTATTGACCAAATGAAAACTTCACCGGCCCCTTTACCCGTGCTGCTAGTCGGAGGCGGCTCGGTTTTAGCTCCAGCAGAACTTGATGGCGTTTCAAAGGTCATTTTCCCCCCTTTTCATTCCGTTGCAAACGCAGTCGGCGCTGCCATGTCTAAGGTTGGCGGCACAGTTGACTCTATAGAGAGTACAGCTGAAAAGACGGTAGCTGAAGTTGTTGATGAAGCCAAAGCCAGGGCGATTGAAAAAGCGGTTGCCTCTGGTGCTATCAGAGAGACAGTATACCTGGCCGAGGTTGATTCGATGCCTCTTCAATACGTCGCAAACCAAGTGCGCGTTATTGCGCGTGCTGTTGGTGAGCTGTCGCCTGAAGGGACCCCAAGTCTTGACAACATACAAAATGGTGGGGATGATGACGAAGGGGATGACACAATATATAGCGAGGTTCCTAAGCAGAATCTTGATGCCGAAGAGTTCAGTGCCAACACAGTAGATGTTGCAACCTACCGTCCGAAAGTTGTGAAAAACCCTCAAACAGGGATTGACGAATGGATTGTTTCCGAAACAGATGTTGCCTGGCTTGCTGATGGGTGCTACGTCCTGGGATGTGCTGGTGGAGGCTCGCCTTTCAGTGAACACATCCGAATTCGCGATCAGATACGGCAAGGACACACTATACGTATCATCGACCCGTATTCTGTAAAAAAGGACGCTGTGATATATTGTAAGTTGAGTCATTTGCGTTCACGATTTGATTTTGATAGTACTGATGCCACTGAAAGGGGGCGGTCACATGGGTTCTCCAGCTGTCTCTGTAGAACGACAAGCAAACAACGAGACTGAACAATCCATCCATGCCCTTATGGAGTATCTCAAACATGACAGCTTTGATGCTGTAATGGGAGTAGAAATCGGTGGCGGCAATGGCATCCTGCCACTTTCTATCGGCTCGTCAAAACATTATGATCGCCCTGTAGTTGATGCAGATTGGATGGGTATGTATCAATCTTCCTTTCCATTTAATATTCCTGATATTCATTTGTTTTGTGTAGGTCGGGCCTACCCAACATTCTGGCAAACAACTATATGCGTATATCAGCCTGGCGAATTGGTGCCTTGCTGCATCCTTTCCGGAAGTGGGAGCACAATTATTATGAACAAGTGCGCAAGTGATGAACTTGTCGATCGAGCACTACGCGCCTCGTGTGCAGAAATGGGGTCGAGTGTAGGTTTGGCCGCCCGTCCTACTACAGGTGACAAGATGTTAAGGTTCGGTGTACTCAATACCATGTCCCTTGCGTGGCGTATTGGGCGTTGCATCGCGCGTGCAAATGCTTCCAACACCATTAGCACCGTGGCTGAACAGATGATTGACGAGGTTGGCGGTCCTGAATCCGGTAAGATTCTATTCCGAGGAAAAATAGTTGCCGTTGAAAGACGACTATTCAAGGGCCATTCATATGGCGAAATCACAATTCAGCAAGTCCTTAAGAAAGAAGTTGAGTCAAGTGTAGCAGACGAGCTCCCAGGAGAGGCTAGGCGATCATCGATACCAGTGGCCACCGGAGGTGTCCTAAAGATCCCTTTCAAGAACGAAAATATATATGCCAAACACATTTCCAACGAAGGCGTCGAGAAATATGTGGCAACAGTGCCTGATCTGATCTGCGTCCTTGACACGCAGTCTGGAAAGGCACTTGGGGTCCCCGAATTCAGATATGGCGTTATGGTGACTGTGCTGGGAATTGCATGTTCCCCACGATGGTCAGATACCGAAAGAGCACTGGAGATTGGCGGGCCAGGGGCGTTTGGATATAAGGATATCAAATACGTTCCATTGGGTAAATATGTAGAGCCACAAAGTGTTGTGACGGAATACGCTAAGCGATGAGTGGAATCATTACAATTTTTGCCCAATATTCCTATCTAGAACAGTGAATTGAGTTCTTCTTTTCTATGCTGTGCTTCACTGCATTGTACTACCAATGACGTAGCTAGCAGTTATTGGCTTTTTATGACTTCATCAGACCAAAAACAGGAATATGCAGGAAATAAAAACAATAAAAGCGTAGAGATATATATTCAACTGAGAAGAAGGAAAAAGAAGAGGCCAAAATAACACCAAGGATTTATGTTTGTAGGTGAATTGGACGTAATTGGTGGATATATGCTTGCGTTGGTAGTTATAGCTATCGAAGATGTTGCTCTCATCGCATGTAGGTTTTGGTCCATACAAAGCACATGAAACAGATACAATCATAATCCCCCACAACTGATTACGGGACCACTGCTAATTTTGACGATCATACCTATAGGTTGATCCTGATGCTATCATCAAACAATTTCGAGAAGATCTCGACAAAGAACAGGAGCGGGAGGCTTCTAACATCTTTACCTCAAGTGCGGTCTCGTCCGTAACGCCGTATTCAACGAGATATTCCAGCAAAGAGGAGATACCTAAATTCAAGATCCCTAAGCTGGGTGCTCGCGCAGATGCGGTGCACCATATGCTGAGCAATGAACTCGATCTAGATGGTATTCCGAATCTGAACATGGCAAGGTACATGCGACCCGGTGCTACCGTTGATCCCCTCAAGAAAGTAGCTGCTAATGATTGTTTGGCATATAGTTTCGTTGGTACTTACATGGACCGAGAAGCAAATCAGCTTGTTGTTGAGAATATCAGTAAGAACCTAGCGGATGCAGATGAGTATCCTGCGTTAATGGCTATACACGCAAGATGTATATCCATAATATCCAATCTATGGAACCCACAACCAGGAGAAGAAGCCACCGGATCTGCGACAACTGGGTCCTCTGAAGCCATCATGTTGGGTGGGCTGGCCATGAAAAAGAACTGGCAGCGGAAACGTAAGGATGAAGGAAAAGACACCTCTAATCCAAATATTATCATGGGATCGAACGCTCAGGTAGCTCTCCTGAAGTTCGCCAGGTACTTTGACGTTGAAGCTCGAGTTCTGGATGTATCCGAGAAGAGCCAATTTCGTCTCAACCCAGAGTTGATCAAGAAAAATGTGGATGAGAATACCATTGGGATATTTGTAATCCTTGGAAGCACCTATACTGGCCACTACGAACCTGTCGAAGAGATCTCTAATATCCTGGATGGCATACAGTCCGAAACCGGTATAGATATCCCTATTCATGTTGATGCTGCCAGCGGTGGATTTGTTGCACCATTCACTGACGCAGGGGCTGGAGGGCCAAAATGGTATGTGTGACCTATGTCTTTGTCTTGCTGAACAGTGCCGTTTTCCTGGCTGTGCTAATGTGAAGTTTCAAGGAACTTCGAACTTCCTCGAGTGAAGTCAATCAATACATCCGGACATAAGTACGGCCTCGTGTATGCGGGACTGGGTTGGATAATCTGGCGAGACCGCTCCTATCTGCCAAAAGAGCTCATCTTCGAGCTTGATTACCTCGGGAGCAGAGAGGAGACTTATACGTTGAACTTCTCCAGGCCTGGAGCACAGGTAATTGGCCAGTACTATAATCTGATCCGCCTTGGGTTCAATGGGTATCGAGAAATCATGGAAAACTGTTTGGCAAATGCAAGACTGCTGAGCAAAACTTTGGAACGGACTGGATGGTTTGTCTGTTTGAGCGATATCCACCGGAAAAAAGGGGAATTCTACCACCAGCATCTGAACAAAATTACGCCCTATAAGGAGGACGAAACATCTGCTGACTATAACGCTGGTTTGCCAGTGGTAACATTCCGATTCTCAGATGCATTCAAGGAGAATTATCCCCACGTGAAGCAAGAGAGTATAAGCCTCCTGCTGAGGTCGAAGCAGTATATAATTCCCAGTAAGTCATATCACTTCCCCTAAACTAAATCGGCGGTGTATTGTGCATAGCAATGTGTTTACACTGACTCTTGGGGTCTACAGACTACCCCTTACCTCCCAAAGAGCAGAATACGGAGATTCTGCGGGTGGTTGTCCGGGAGAGCATGGCCGCAGACCTTATAGACAAGCTTGTGGCAGATATTGCTGCAGTCACCGAGAGGCTGATGAAATCCGACCCTGTCGACCTGTCTGCACTCCAGACAGGCCCAACCAACCTTGAACGGCGCCGTGTAAGAAACAGAGAGCATCCTCACAAGGTCTCAAAGCGGCCAAGCGGAAAGAAAGAAAAGGCTGCTGGCCATCCGATGAGAAGTGGAATCCACCGCTCTGTTTGTTAGGGCGTAGATAGTGCAGAGGGAAGATAGTTGATGAAGGAATGAACAGATACGATTGAGAATTCTTGTGGAGGAATGAGAGTCTTGTGGCAGAAGTATAGGGAATGCCTTGCTGAATGAAAGGAAGTCGTTCTTGTATGAAAGTTGTTGAGTGCAAATTCAATCAACCACAGTGCCCGTAGCTATAGCTTAATGGGAAAGGCAGTTGGTTATAAAGTTCGATTAATCTAACCATTGGTTGTCTCGAATCTTATGTATCATTTACTCCATACTCCGTACAGTCCCAAGCAGAAGAGATGAGGATGTGACCGTGAGATGGTGGCCTTCTTTTCTATGCACATCCCGGACTATCAAAAGCTTCGATTCTCAGGGGCTGCAGCGCCAGCCACTCATCGTGCGCACCGTCGACAAACATGAAACGACACGAGTCACTCCACACCACCAACAGATTTATTTCCTGGGGTGAAAAAGGGGAATACACGAATAGAATCATGATCCCTCATATTCATTCTTTGCTTCGACAGCATGTGGCCGCTAGGTCCGTTACCCACGTTCCCACTAAAAGCGTGACGGCGCACCATGCCAGGCTTCGACCTACCAGGATACCAAATGAAGAGCGCCACCAGTGAACAGAGATTGGCCACCGATATCCAGGGGCAACTCACTCAATACCCATTACATGTTATAATATCCAGTGTGAAGTGAAGACAAGCATTGCCGGAAGCTTAGCATTGGGCCTCTGCAGCCAACGGGAGGCCTCAAAGGTCACTCTCAGGCCCGGAATAGGCCAGCTATCAAAGACTTAAGATGGAGTCACTGACGCAGGGGACGCACCCTAGCGTGATGATCGAGTTAATGAATGTTCGCAGAGGGAGGGAAGCGCCGTCACAAGCGGCCAGCTGGTGAAAGAACTCGTTGTTGGTGGGTATATATACCGGTCGAGTTATCCTGGATCTGAAAATGTATCTTCCTCCTCTTCTTTCCATCAACAGCTACAAGCATCATCAGCGACGGATTCTGCTGCATACAGACTTGAACAAAGACAAACGACTTATAGAGCACTTTCAACATGCGTTTCATTACCACTACGATATACCTTCTCCTTGTATCTTACACCTCTGCCAACCCAGTTCCCAAGGACGACTGCAATGATGTCCCAGCAGCTCCAAGCACTCTCCCTGCACCACCTCCACCGGCCCCATCTCAGGCTACTTTCCACCCAGTTGGGACACCTGGCCCATCATCAACCATATCCAAAGATAAAATGATCGAAGTTTTGAAGGAGATTGCTCCAGCTTCGGCTAAGGAACCCTGCGTCTCCGCCGCAAAGGCAGAAGGGCAGTGCCGAAGCGCCTCCCAAGCTGCAGAGCCAATCATTCGCTCCTTCGAGAAATACAAGATCACCTCCAAGCCCGAGATGGCTGCCATCTTGAGCCTTATGGCACTGGAGTCAGGAGAGTTTAAATATCAGAAGAACGTATTCCCCGGTAGACCCGGTCAAGGCAGTAAGTTGGATACTCCATGCTCTCTCTACCTATAGACAGGCATAACAAAAAACTAACCTATGAACGTTAGCTCGGAACATGCAAATGCCCAACTTCAACGCCCTTTATGCCAAGTCGATACCTGAGGTAGCCGCCAAGATTGGCCCTAAGACAAACAATGTTGAGGCGGTTTTGGATATGCTGCTCTCCAAGGATGATTATGACTTTGGATCAGCGGCGTGGTTCTTGACTACCCAGTGTACTCCCGCTGTTAGGACTGCGTTGCAGTCTGGTTCTGAGGAGGGATGGTCCAAGTACTTGACTGAGTGCATTGGAACCACTGCCGCCGATGAGCGGAAGAAATACTGGACAAAGGCGATGGAGAGCGTTAAATCTTTGTAGAACCAAAGATTGGTACAGCAAGTTGATCCGACTTGTCCTCCATCCACGATTTACGACTATCATGATTTTCAAAGAATGCGAGAAATGAATTAAATTGAGTAAATCCCATTTTATATCTGTCTCGGCCATGTAAACTCCATGTCATGCCTCTAGCAGACGCTTTTTATCACTTCCAGAAAGGAACGTGAGACGTCGGGGATGGGCGAGAAAGGAAAGACATTAAACAAGAACTAGGCAGTAACAATACCACAGTGTAAAAGAGAAAGGCAAAAATCACCCATAAAAAGCCGAACGCATAGAACTCCAGAACTTCCCACCATGCATCAATCATTGAGCGGCAACAACCAATAGATATCAACTGAAAATCAAGCGAAAAAGAAAAAGCCACACTGCGTCAGGGGAAACAGGGCAATGGATAAAGAAAACAGAAAAGGGACAGATCAAAAGATTCTGTACACGATTAAATCAAACATGAAGCTCAAGATTTGCGTCTTTGAAAGAGGAATACGATGAACTTCGCCAATAGAGCGGCATTGGACGTCATCAAAAGCCGGGCTTAGCCTGGATCCGTTTGTTTGATTTGCAAGGAGCTCAGATGTTCTTCGCCTTGGCGATATTACCAGCACTCCCGATTCTTCCACTTGACTTGCGGACTCCACGAGATTCAGTCCGGCTGTCGGCTGTTCGTCTTGGGTTGGACCGCTGCTTGCTCACTCCTAGAACTCCGCTTCCACTCTTTGTGTTGGATGGAGTCTTGGGTTTTGGTGAACCGGAGTCACCAACCCAGTTCTCCACGTCTTCATGGATGTCTATCTCGGGGGTCAGGGTAGCAGAATGGCTAAGGGATCGCTGAGAGGTGGAAACAGGGGTCCGTGGGGAAGTAACACGGTTGACAAGAGCTTGAATCTCCTCATCGCTGTCGGCCCGGTTATTCGAATGGGTTCTAGACAGGCCTCGTCTCGGGGATGCAGCTACACCCCCTAGACTGGTAGATGGCGTACGGGCATATGGGTGGTGCCTTGAGTCTTTGCGATGTGACTTTCTTGGTTGTCCTGGAGTTGGAGCAGGAAGATTCTCATCTGCGTAGCCGTTGACACTCTCATTGGTATCAATTTCACCAAGAGCAGCTCTCTTGGCTTGGTTTCCATGTGGTGGTGTTGCTGTCTGGCTGCCATTGAGTCTTTGTTTAGAGGATACACGCCCTGGGGTGGTGGGGGTAGGCAGGGAGAGTTTCTCCTTAAGCTGGTCTTCGAACCACCATTCACGGAAACTTCCTTGGTTCAGATGGAGCCAATGCTGTTGCGGCCCAACAACCATACCCGGGCGCATGAAGCGCATAAATGCGATGATTTCATTCGCAGTAAATCCATATCGATAGATGAGATACGCCCCTATTAAGCAGCCAGTTCGTCCAAGACCAGCCTTGCAGTGAATTGCAATTCCCTTCTCTTTGATGGTGATCATCTCGTGTGCCATCTTGATAAACCGCTTTACCAATGGGAGGGGTGGGCAGGTTCCGTCTTCGAATATCATGTCGATGTGGTTGATTCCAAGTGCAGTAAAGTACGATGGACTGTACAGTTCGGAGTTGAGGCGTACAACCAGGCCAACATTTCTGGTTGAGAAATGGGTAAGCACATTCTTAAAGGGAACTGGCAGCTCGCTGTCCTGTATCTGCTCGATAGTGGAAGGCAAAGCAGCGAATTCAGGAGTGTTCTGAGGAACAACTGCGGTGGGAGAATGTTGCGGCGACGCAAATGCAAGGAAGCTTGGAGTGATCCAGTTGAAATCACCCATATCAACTCGCTCGTACTTTTCGTATCTACATTTCTGTTAGTCCTAAACCTGCACCGTTGGCTAGTAAACGTGGAGACCAAAAGATGAACTTACTCTTCTAGACTGAAATCCTTTAGCCCGCAAAGGCCTTCCTCTTTGGCCTTCCAGACGCCGTATACGACGTCCTGGATAGTAAGGACAAAGTCCGCCTGGCTGTACCCGGCATCTCTGAATGGCATGTATGGTGGGTCTGCCTGGGCAATCGGGGCCAGTGCTAGGTGAGGAGGCCAGGATTGAATCAGCACCATATAGCAAGCTACGACACATGCAACATTTGCCCTGCTTCGAGGGTCTGGTTTGGTCCACAGAACCACTGGACGATCGGTATTTTCTGGGTCTCCCAGGATCTCATGAAAGTGTACCGCGAATCTGTACAGGTGACCGATATGGAGGGGGCCAAAGTCTGCATGGAAAGAATTGTACAGGAGCAAACCATCGATATTGAAATAAACGGGGGCCTTGGCCTGGTGCTTTCTGGAGGGAGTACTCGCGCCAGCTCGCTTCTTGCTGGGAGACTTTGGAGGCGCTGCGAGAAACGGAAAGGGAGTATTCTCGGAGGGTGGGCTATGATAAGAAGCCAGGTAAAGGCGATCTAAAAGAGAATGAGCTGAATGGCCGCATCCCAAGGGCAGTATATGAATCGGGACATATATATACCTTGAATATACTCGATCGGAGCACCGTACAGCCCAGAGGTCCCTGATGGCGGCATATTGAGCTAGATCGATCTGTCCTGTACTCAATTGGGATCGAGTCTGTACACAGAGTATGTGGCAGAAGGTATGGCAAGCTCTTCCTCCGGCAGCAGCGACGACAGCAAAGGCTTGGGTCCACGAGATCGTAATATACTGAAGAGAGGCCGTTGCAAGATCAAAGCTGCATTATCGAGGTTACAGATAGACAGTAAGGATGGCGACGGAAGAATAACCTGGTGATAGCGTCGAGAGAAAGGAAAAGGAGAGTAGAGAGTGTGAATAGAGAGGATAATAAATCCGCCACGAGGCAAGGTTGTTGTTTATGTTGTTATGACCTTAATATTATTTATTATGATATTGATGTTATTGATGTTGTTGTTTTTTTTTATTTTTCTTCCTTTTTTCCTTTTTTTCCCAAAAGAGACAGCGAAAGCGCATGGACCACCGCTGCTTGTTATGTTGTCACGTGTCCCATTAAGGTTAGACTCCTCGGTCGACCCGGCAACCGCGTGAGACCGGCGCCGCTGATTGGACATATGGCTCTGAGTGGGCCAAGCTGCTGTTTCAGGCTAGCGCGCAGCGGGCGCTAAGACCAAAACAAACACGGAAGCGCCAGGGCAACAAGCTCTTCCATGGCGACGGCGAGGCGACGGTGAGATAAGCGTACAAGGACGAGAGAGAGGACGAGACGAGCACGAGACGTGGACGAGATGATGCTGTGTGCCTGGTTTGTGCCTCCGGGAATAAAAGGGGACGACCGTTGGGCACGAGGGTACCTACAGACAGGCACCGGCTGCTTGTTTATCCATGCCGTTTCCGTCCAATCCAGTTAGGTTAGGTAGGTGAGATGCCCGAACCATGGACAGCATCCTCGCCCTTCCATGAAAATACCAAGTTGAGCTACAGGCGGACCCCTTCCTCAGTTCGACGGGAATGCAGGGTTACCAGGCAACATAGGAAAACATAGGAAGAATATATCATTGGTGTGATCTGTTTCTGGTGCGGCATCCTTGAAACCGACTCCACAAAGCAAGCCTTAGTGGCGAAAGACACCTCTGGATGCAAGGAACCATAATCAAGAACCTGACGCTTTGAAGTGATACCACCAATCTATCGCTTTTATTACGGTGCGGGAAACAAACAGCAGCAAATGTGCGCTGTTGGGGGCTATCTAGCTATTAATACTGGCATAAGACTCGGCCGTTGCCTTAACGATACCGTGTCCGCCCCGCCGTGTGCGAAAATATCAAGCTGGCCCCAATAATTCCTCTTCCAAACGCATATCAACGTATCCTGGTGTGCCCCTACGGTAGTCATATTAACCATGGCACAAGCTACTGAGCAAGATTTTCCTTACTCTCTGTATGTTGGCCGATGACTGAGACTCAGGTGTTCCTTACTCGCGCTCATATTCTGCTCCGCACATCTTGTTACTCACCTAAGTGCTAACTGTGATGATTATATGCAGCACTATATCCGTACCCCTTCCCACACACCGACTTGCCTCCTCTGCCCTTCGCGCGCTACAGGTAGACCTTGAGCTATCACCGCTGGTCAAGCGCACATTCCGTCTCACAAATCCCGAGTCATCCAGCATCATCACACAACAAACTGAAATACAAGTAAACCGGACAGCAGGAGAGCGTAAAACTGGGCAGACTGCTACTGATGACAATCTAGATGCCAGTGATGAGAGCTTAACGGTTTTGGAGACTGAATACAGAGCAACTACCAACCGAATGCTACGAGTGGCAGTGAACGCCTTTATGGACTCGCTAGGCGTCGTCGTTAGCGTGATGGAAGAGTTGGACGTCGATGTCCTAGGCAATGAATTGGGGAAGCCGTAGAACAAATAGCTATGAGAAGACTGCTCTTTTAATTACCTTGATAGACTCCCACAATTTACCCAAGCACAGTGGCCATTTTGGTGAATTTTCCAATACCACAGCGTAGTCATAAACGTGCATCATAATACCGTAACCTTCAACGAAAATTTCCTGTAGATAGTACAGATAACTTGCTACCTATCCTCTATGCACAGTGCTACCTCTGGCGTCGTCTGTATCTCCGCTGCTCTCCTGCGTCCACCAAATCTGAGGCCCCTTCCCAAAGCGGAACGGAGACAGTGCTATGTATTTCCTGAAGAATATATTACATAATCTGCTGTCATTCGTGGTCAGCCAATGGGAGCCACGTATGGAAACCTCGCTTAGCGCTGGCCCCACCCGCCCAGGTATAAATATCTCCAGCCGCCCGCCTTCTTTTAAAATTTTTTTCTCTTTTCTTCTCCAGCTCTCTTTGCCATTATGGCTTAGATCAAGTGTAGTATCTGTTCTTTTCAGTTTAATCTCTGAAAGTATTCTAAGGAATACGAAAGTGATTATTCTTATTTTTGTACCGCGCGATTAGACCTCTGTGCTTGCGCATGTCTTTTCGCACCGTGTCATCGGTCTTACACTACCACCGATCGACGCGAACCTACCTCTTTTTTCATTGATATCTTCGGCTTGCTGAAGTATTAAAGAAGAGAGATTCGAGCTTTTGTCGGCTTTAGTGGCCATGCTTTGCTTTGACGCCTCAGTGCTGGGCAAAGTTGAGCTCAGGGCTAAACGGTCAAGTAGCAACTGTTTTGAACCAAGCAACCTAACATCTCACAACATAACCATCACTCAACCACCTTCGACATCCAATACAAACTGCCCAACATGATTAACTCGTCTATCTTCGAGAGTTTACAGTCAAAAATCGATGAAGAGTCCAAGATCCGTGATGTATGCTTCTAGAGTATTTCTCTTTCTCAGCCCGAACTAACCAAACGACCAGGAAATTCAAGATATTGTCCAGGAGCTTTCTAAGCGAGGTGACCTCTTCGTTCACTCTGTGTCTACGTTCCCAAGGCTAATGGGGTATCACTGGAACAGGCAGAGCTGTTCAGGCGCTTCTCTCACGAGCTCACTCTACGCCTCCATCTCAGAGTAGGCTCACTTTTCTGTCATGCTAATAGAAGCGTCTGCACATGCTGATACCACCTCGAAGTAAACCCTATCCTTGATAATGCCACAAAAGAAATCTCAGCACAGCGAGAGGACATCGCCAAGCTGGTGACTGTTGCCTCAAAGCACCCCTTCTACAAATATAACCACCTCTGGAGTAAAGAGTTGCAGAACCTGGTATTGACACCTGGCTCCTTTCAAGGTGCATTATACCCCTGCTGACACGCCAGAACAGGTCTTCTCGATTGAGTTCTGCAGCTGGCTCGGTGGTATGAAGGGAGTTGTCAGCGACAACACGACCTTCATGACCATTGAAGACGTGGGGAAGTTCCTTGCCGGTTTGTAGCCGTACTCTCCCATGATCCGAGGCAGTGTCTAACTCTAATAATAGTTCCGGTCAACCTGAAGGACCAGGATGCCTTCCACCTTACGATCGAAGAGTATTTGCATGCTCTTATCTCTCTTGTTGAGGAACTGGTATGCCGTTTTAATCCCTCAAAATTTAATTGTAGTTACTAACTAGAAACGCAGTCTCGACTCGCTGTCAATTCAGTTACCCTTGGCGATTATACTCGGCCTCTACAAATCCATACCTTTATCTCTGACCTTCACGCAGGGTTCCAGCTCCTTAACCTCAAGAATGATTCTCTGAGAAAGAGAAGCGACGGGATCAAATATAACGTGCGCACAACCCAAGCTAAAACATAAGCTTATCAACTACCAATTTACTGATGGATCCATGGATATAGGTCAAAAAGGTTGAGGACGTAGTGTATGATCTGTCTCTCCGAAACTTGATTCCCAAGAAGGGGGCCCACGAGTAACTGTAACAACCGGCGCTATTCCTGTGGTCTCTATTCTCTCATAGTTTTATGTCCATGGCGCTCAGATCTGCAGGAGCAAGCAACGAATTATTCAGACAGCCTAATAACTTTTCCAAGCATCCGGAAGTTCTCATGCTTGCCCATCTCATTCTTACCTCCAAGTAGAAATATACTTTTATATCTACACGTGACTAAACTAGCCCTAACCCTATTTCACCCACGCCAAGAGTTCATCCTCACGTCTTAATTTCGTGAAAAATCGACGAGCGAAAACGAAGTTGAACCACCACGCCGATACAACAACTCCGCAGGATATTTACCTCTTTGCGGTCTATCCCAGTCACACATATCCACCTCCGTCACAATGGCTCCCACAACTGTACGTCTACCTGTTGAGAATTGCTTTGCTGTTCCCCCTTGAAGTCGATTTCGGAATTCGTCCCTCCCCGCAGGGCGAATAAAAAAGATCTTCAAGAAGACGACAATATGCCACTATGGGAGCAGTAGGCTAACTCATCCTCACCCGCCTTGGGTGGTTTATTATAAATTAATAGGCCCGTTCTACCAAAGGCAGGCAGCAGAAGGTCACCAAGAAGGTACATTTTCTGCCCTTTTCTTGAACTTTGCCTTGTTAGGGCAGAATCAAGTCCGTTGAAGATCGCATTCTAATGGTAGTTTATACAGTACATCATCAATGCTTCTCAACCTGCCAATGACAAGATCTTCGATGTCTCTGCCTTCGAGAAGTTCCTGCACGACAGGATCAAGGTTGAGGGCCGTGTAGGCAACCTTGGCGAGTCTGTTCAGATATCCCAGGTTGGCGACGGCAAGATTGAGGTCATCACTCACATTCCTTTCTCCGGCCGATACCTCAAGTACTTGTGCGTTGTTCCCTGAAAAATACCTGTATTATTCCATACATCAATACTGACTGGCGTTCTTCTCAATTTAGGACGAAGAAGTTCCTCAAGAAGCAGCAACTCCGTGACTGGCTTCGCGTTGTCTCCGCTTCCAAGGGTGTTTACGAGCTCCGATTCTACAACATTGTCCAGGACGAGGTTGAGGAGGATGACGAGTAAATAGAATGACGGAATGACCTTTTTTTTTTTCATCAAAAGTTTAGGCCGTTGCGTTCTATAGGTGGATGGGCCATTCGAGCTTTGATGAAGGATTTGAGGAGAGGGAAGATGTTACCTGTGACTGGATGGAGAAATTCGATTCTACCAATCTATGATGACTAGTGCCCTGCTTATGAGCTTTATGATACTGAAGCTTGCGTGCTGCGCATCTCTTCTCTATAATTCAATATAATCGGCTCTTTGGCCTCGACGCTCTCCTTTTTGCTCATTTTCTAAACAACCAACTAATTGTAGCAATAGGACTTGGAGGTATAGATATTATGTTTATGGTTTTCGATTTTAAGACCGGAGAATAATCTAGGATGTGATGTGCAATAGGGGTTGGTGTACAGCCGATAAAGTAAAAAGGTTCATGCACCACTAGGTGCCATCCATAACCTTCCTCTTCACACCGAAGCCAGTATCTGAAACCCAGGATCCTTGGGGGACTCCATTACCTGCCGGACTCACTAACTCCCCATCACGAATAGTCCAACCTGAGCGTTTCAGAGCTTTCCACTTCTCTCCCACTTTGTACCTCACTAGGTCTCCGGTAGCTTTAGTGTCTTCTATGGAATCATGGCCTTTAGTACCTCCACCAGCTTGTATATCTCGCCCAAGGTGCTTCTTTGTGAGAGCTCGAAGACCATTTCGCATTGGCAGACCTGCTGGGTGTGGATATAACAGCACAGTGTCAACGATAGTAGGATGGATAATGCGACAAACATTAAGGTCATTGTCCAACGCATGGCCAATGAGAGGTGTTTCTGGTTGTAGGTGTTGGAAAAGCAGCTCCCTTGCAGTTGCAGGAGAGTCAACAATTTCAAGATTATTAGTTGACTTGGAATCATGCTTTTTCATTGTGGCAGGGAATGCTTGGTCGGTCTTATAAGGTGTAGCTTTAGCAAATTGTTCGGATCGAATGCCGGAATAGCGAGTATTAAGGTCTAATATCTCTCCTATTGGCCTTACCAAAACATCAACCAGCAATTTACCTTCCGGCCAGGTTATCGCAGTTAGGCGAATCATCTCAAGTCCTAACGTGGTATACCCCATTTCACAATCAACGCAGACTGGTGGTAGGATTTTCTTGCCCGGTTGCCGCGGTGTTCGTTCAAACTGCATTGTAGCTGCTAACCGCTTCATATCAGTGACCTTGAACACGTGGGAATCTACTTTTGTGCATCCTGTAGATTTTCCAACAGGTTCTTTACAGCAAGGATAGTAAAACTCTTTCTGTCCCACTATGTGCTCTGTTTTTTGCTTTGGCGGCCGAATAGGCCTTGCATAGTGATAGACACATGGGCCTGATGACGTTAAGGCACCATCAGATCTCCTGCCTGGGAAGACTTGGAACCTCCCATTACATCGGTCACATTTCTCCCACCCCTGTGACGCCTCTATTCCGCGCTTTGCAGCAGAAACTTCATCCATTGATGGAGGAGTCATGACATATTCAAGCTCTTTCAAATCTCCGGTAGAAGCATAGAGCGTTGAGAGGACTAATTTCTCCTCTTCAGCTGTCAATCCAGTTGATACAGGTTTCGGTGGCGAGCCTTCTAGCTTTATCGTTTTTGGTGAGCCTTCTGTTCGAAGGAAAGCTGTCACAGTCTCTTGCCATTCCTGCTGTTTCATCTTCGTCAGTTTCACTATACGTAGCTTAACGACATTCGAATAGACAGCAGGCGACTCTTTCGCAATTTTTTCTTCTTCATCCAAGGCCATCGAAACCAACTCATCAGCGGAGAGAATCATACACTTTTTGGACGGGTCCACGGATTTCTTCAACTCCTCGTTAAGGCGTACCATTGCGCTGTGCAATTTGACTAGGATTGACGTGCGAATTACATGCGTTGCCGGAGGTTTAGACAAGTGTCTTGGATTGAGACTCTCTTTCTTTATTTGCCTCCTTTCCATGACAGATGAGGTATCTGACGTCCTTTTATCATGGTTCTCTGCCAAAGGTTCTGCAACATTTGCACGGGTGGCAGTGCGGTTGACTAGGGGAGGAGACACTCGTCTCCCTAATGAGTTAAGGTTGCCTTTACTCCTAGGGGGAGAGGATTTAGGCCGTTCCGCAACTGTTGTAGTAGTATGTTCAACCACAGCAGCGTCGATTTTCTGGCCGGAAGATTCACCCATGGTCCCTCCATTGTCATATAAACGCTGCCTCTTCCTAATGGGTTCTTCTATATTTTCAGGCCGCGGATTCGCTCTCTCTTTGGAATCAGCGGTTGATGGAAGGGTGGCTGCATTCTTCACCTCTCGATGTGAGAATATGCAATTTATGACGGTGCATTGGTCATTTTGGGGGCAAGGGACTGCGCTGAACAAACCCAGTGAGCTAAACATGGTATCGTCTCCTCACAACTCAAATTAACGGAGGCGTAGCTTTAGACTTAAGTCCCATGGAGGGTCTGATATGCTCAAAGCATAGGAGTACGGCTATCGATGTCTAGTGAGGCTGAAGAAAGCGAGAAGTGCCACTGTTTTGCGGAGCAACTTTACATGGCAAGGGTAGGAAAAGGGTATCAATGACTGGGCCCGTGTCCCATATTCAAGGCTGCGGTGAGAGAACTATATATTAAGCTCGCCCTATGCGGCAAGTTGAGGCATCGGGTAAATACCCGGCACTTTCTTTGCGGTGGAACCGTGTGATCACTTTAGACGCATATACAGCGGCCAACTGAGGATAAATAAGATAGAAGAATACGTGTATGAAAGGTTATCAAATACAGACGATAGTAGAATATGTGTTGGGAGTACGTTGGTGACCGAAGTTGACGTCTTGAAAAGTGGATTGACGTCTTGTCTGAAATGCAAACAATGCAAACAATGCAAACAATACAAACAAACTTACGTTAATTCCTTCCTTATCTCCGTAGGCTCCAGCGATTCCAACAGCACAACAAGATATAAAGGGGACAAAGGGTGGATGTTACAAGCCATCATTCTCCATCCAGTTATACACAAGCAATTCTTGATCTGTTAGCTATGGAAGAAGGCGGTCAGAATTCAAATGATTCGAAGGGGGAACACCTTTGCGTCCTAATTCATGGGTGAGTGATCGTGGGAGCGTGATACAACAATATCAAGGAACGAAGGCTAACTTCAGGCATCAGGCTATGGGGTAATCCATCACACCTTAACTATATCGTATCCTCTTTGCGGGAAAAGTACGGCGAATCATCACTGCAGATACTATGCCCCAAAAGCAATGCGGGAAATCTCACATACGACGGTATCGAGTTAGGTGGAGAGCGGGTAGCCCACGAAGTGGAGGAAGCAATCAAGGGCTCCGCTGAGCAGGGGTGCAAGATTCGCAAATTGAGTGTGGTAGGATATTCATTGGGTGGACTGATAGCTCGATATGCTATCGGTTTACTCTATGCAAAAGGATACTTTGAGGATATTGAACCTATCAACTTTACCACATTTGCCTCACCACACGTCGGTGTGAGAAGCCCTGCAAGGACAAGTCATTTCTGGAATGTGCTGGGTGCTCGCTGTGTATCGACTTCAGGCCGACAGTTATTCATGATCGATTCGTTCCGTGACACTGGAAAACCGCTTCTCAGTATCCTTGCTACCCCGGGAAGCATATTTATGCTTGCGCTTGAGAAATTTAGACACCGAACCCTATATGCAAACGCCATCAATGATTTGAGCGCAGTTTATTACACAACCGCAATATCCAGGATAGATCCCTTTACACAAGTGGATGATCTCTCTATAAGCTATGTTGACGGTTACGCGCCGATAGTCATTGACCCCGATCAATCAATACTCATCAAGCCAAAATCTCAATCATTCCTTGGCCAGTTAACTTACTCTGCCTACTCGATGATATCGGTATTCTCATTTCGACTGGCTGTATTCACCGTCATTGGATTTGTTTCGGTAATATTCCTAATAAATGCAGCCTATCAAACAATTCGGAGCGAGAAACGCATCCGCCTGCATGAACAAGGTAAATCCGGTGTAATTTACAATACTTATAGGGTTCCACTAATCACGAATGGGTTCCGGAATGCCGTTGAGGACATGTACGAAACTGCAAACGCAGCACAGAAGCCAGAGTATATATCAGGGTTGACTACGGCTACCAACGAGAGGCCTCATGATATGAATGGTGAAACCCCAACGCCTGCGCAGCCTCTACCTGCTGTAGCAACAGCATATACTGCAACAAAACCACTTCAAAGCACCGATAACAACACTGTCCACAAGTCTGGAGAAGCTACGTTTCCTACTCTTGCTTTGACTGCTGCTCAATTCCAAATTATCGATAATCTCAATGCTGTTGGGTTCCGCAAATACCCGGTACATATCCATCAGGTTCGGCACAGCCATGCAGCCATCATTGTTAGGTCACCTAGAGAATCATTTAAGGAAGGGAAGATCGTTGTGAGACACTGGTTGGAGAAAGAATTCCGCATCTGATGCCTGTATGCGTATGGCTTCTCTTTTACTCGGTGTCAGTGAGAATCCACGTACAACTGACTCCACTCTGAATGGCAAAGCCACTGCTACTCAAACCTTTACTCTCATTTCTCGATATCCCACCCAGTGCGGTTGTTCCCGTCGAGTACCGTACTGGCCACAAAACGGGAGAAATAATATGGAGACTCAGGTCCTGTACAAGGGTTCTCTGCAACTCCCTGACCACCACCATCACCAGCCACTGCACCCCGGACCTAACACGAAATAATCTGTACACCTTCCCCCATATACCCTTGCAGTTGTGCACGGATTTCCAACACGATTAGGAAAGCGGTCTGATTTATACCCGACACTTGCAGATGGGAGGCTTCTGCGCTGCTTTCCCGTATATGCAACACATAGATCGGTCGGAACATTATAACGATGGCCAACCAACAGTGTCCTAAGCCCACTTCACATTTAACCTCACGACTTACAGTGTTTTGCATTTTGCTGATTTAAAATTTGCCGTTACAGTTGTTACGTTGTTGCGGAGAACCTTGTATGATAATAAACATTAGAGATAGATGTTGTAGATATATGGATAGAGTACAGGCGATCTCAGTGAGCATTTACTCCATGGAACGCAGCTCTTACGCCAGCGCCATCTTACCCAGCGTACTCGCACAGTGGCTGGGCTACCCCTGGCCGAGGAAGCGGCGTCGTGAGAAACTAAGGGGGCCAAGCCCGCATTAGTCAGACACTCCTGGCCCCCCTGGTCCACTTAAGCCTGTGGTCCAACCAATCAGGCCGTGTATTTGCCGTCCTTGGCGGGCTGTAAGTTCATTGACGTCATAGGGGAGCCGCATGGTTCAAAACGCATTCATCCACTGTGTAACATCCGCATCGAATACTTTTTCCGCGCTCGGGTGGTAGCGAAGACAGGTCGGGTATACCTACTCAGCGGAGCGACAAGCGAGGATGGCAAATAATTTAAGAATACGGAGTGCAGGGAAAATCGGCGTTGTTGCAATACAGGGGCGTGTCCAATCAGTCTTCCGTTATTCAAGGGATTTCAAAATGCGAGAATAACTAGTTAGTTAATGCTTGCAGAGCAGCTACTATCAAAAACATCGCTTTCCTCTCCAGGGAAACTTCTAGTTCGTGTCTGATTACTTCATAACCTCTACTCGGTCATAGTTCCTATATACGGAATACATTCCCTAAAATCCCCTTAATAAATCTCAATTGTTCTTGGGTCACTCCCACCATGTTTTCAATATCGGGAATTGCCCTCGTTTTCACTGTTAGGCGATCCTTGTAGGTGCAGCGCCTTCGTGCATACAATGTCCAACTGTATATATCAACATCTCCACCAGTTTGTGGATCAAGGCCCATCGAGATTACTTCTACTCATACGACGATGAGACAATACATTGACAAGTACTACCAGGCGGTGAATATGTACCAGAAGATAAGCGGTAGACCGGAGTGGTTTTACCAGAGTCAAGTTATCCTCGATTGACCTTGGGAATATCAATATAGCAGGAGTACTTTCCTATCCTCTGGTGTGACAACGGTATAGGAAATAATATGCGAGGAGACGTCATTATGACCGCGGTCCACTTGCAAATATATTATCGAAACTCGTGGAGGCAGACCCCAGATATCCTGGGAATTTGGAGAGGACTTCTTATTGTTTACTCTTCTTACACGTATTGATGGACATTCTTCAAGACTTCACGGGTTTTAGAAAGTTGGGCAGATTGCGGCAATATACATGTACAGAGTACGAGCTTTTGATTTTGTGACAGACTACTTGCCTCCCGTGTCTGTACAGTAGCAGCTCATCGTTGCAGATTTGACGGCCAAACAACAATAACAATAAAACCCTGACATCGAAACAGACCTCTCGGTCTACTCCCGTCACTCCCCTTGTCCTCCAAGCCAAAAGGGCCTACCCGGTGGAGATTGCCCCAGGAACGCCCTTACTCATTGGCCAGTCGGCTGGAGGGATGTCTTGCGAAGACGCTGTCACGTCCGACGTGCCCCAACCACCAGCCATGTGGATCCTCATCTTTGCCGTTACTCTGTGTTTCCTGACTCTTCGCTGGAGGATATAAAAAATGAGAGAAAAAGCCTACATTCGATTAAGGTTGCCAGTGTGTCACCCCGGTGTGGGCCGAGAGAAGGATCGGAGAGATCGGAGGCGGGTTTTCCCAATCTCAACACCCGATGCATGATGATATCAATTCCCTGCGGCAACTGGAAAAAAGATGTGGATCGCCAGAGCAATCAGGCTGAAAGGGAAAAATAAGCGGAAAATCTGTTAGTGAGTAAGAGTTCCATGGTTCCTATTTCTGGTGAATTATGGCAAGGGAAAAGATTTGGTAACTTTTCGAACTGCTAGCCCGTCATTTGTTCAGCGTCTGAGCTGGGTGGGCCCATGGCTATCTAGGTTCTTAGTCAAGAGGCCGGGTTGATGGCGTTGCATCATTTCTTTGCCGTTGTGCTGGTAGAACATCCCCTATATTATTTGTTACCCTTAGTATGCCTGGCGTGAAATGAACAGTAATATATAATTAGCTCGCCCGCTCCTTCCAATAAGGCTTTCTTCCCTGCTCACCATCTTTTTTTTCTTTCACGGTAGAGACATTGTTCTTGAGGCGGAAAAGAAACCCGTCGATTTCAAGAAAGAAACAATCCGCTCCCACTATCCTAAAGGGCGTCTCTGCTCTAATTGTCGTTTGCAGGCAAATTCGTTCTTGATATTAGATCCCTGTTACTCTTACCATCGGTATATTTAGCTATATCTCAAGTGAGTGCGCGGAAAGAAAATATACTCTTTCCTCGTCGAGAACTCCCAACAAACCACAACCATGGCAACTACGGAATCATATCACTCTGGGACACCAAGAGTCCGCCGTCTATCTAATGTGTCCTCAACCAGGGAGGATCTGGTCAATGGACCAAACGTGGTTGTGCCACCAAAACACTTGATGGCTAGCACGGCTGCCTATGAAACCGCAAAATCCATCGGCGTCGCCAAATACCATCTAGAAGAGGAGAACTCATCTGCCGAAGTCACACCCAGAGCCGTATCCCCAGTTAGCGGAGTCCCGGTCATAGCAACTGATAGGTATGCCTTCGCCTTCGATATTGATGGCGTCCTTATCCGTGGTGGAAAGGCAATTCCCGCAGCCGTGGAAGCCTTGAAAGTGCTGAACGGAGAAAACAAGTATGGAGTCAAAGTGTATGTATGCTCATTTCCCTGGAATCAGAGTACTCTCCTTTCGCTGACAACTCACCGACATTAGGCCATACATCTTTGTCACAAATGGTGGAGGCAAGACCGAGGAAGAGCGATGCCTTGATCTCAGCAGGCAACTCGAATATGACGTTTCACCTGGCCAGTTCATCTGTGGACACACTCCCATGCGAGAGATGGCAGAGAAGTATAAAACAGTTCTCGTTGTTGGCGGTGAAGGCGAAAAGTGTCGCATTGTAGCAGAGGGTTATGGTTTCCGTGATGTCGTGACGCCTGGGGACATCATCAAGACAAACAAGGATACCACTCCGTTCCGAAAATTGACCGAGGAAGAGTACAAGAACTCCCGTGTTCGCGACTTTGACAATCTGGTCATCGAAGCAATTTTTGTGTTCGCAGACAGCAGGGATTGGGCTGGTGATCAGCAGATCATCCTTGACTTGTGCATGTCCAAGGGTGGCAAGATAGGGACACGCTCGGAGACCTTCGAGGAGGGCCCACCAGTATACTTCTCCCACAATGATATCGTCTGGTCAACATCTCATGAGCATACCCGTATCGGTATGGGAGCTCTCCGAGCGTCTGTCGAAGCTCTATTCAAGGCCGTCACCAGAAAGGAGTTGAAGACCATTGCGTTCGGCAAGCCTCAACTTGGCACATTCCAGTTTGCCACAAGACTTCTGCAGCAATGGCGAAAGGAGACCCATGGCATCAACTCCCCACCACAGACAGTGTATTTCGTTGGGGACACCCCTGAATCGGATATCCGTGGTACAAACGAGTACAACGAGTCCGATGTGAGCGAGACTCTCTGGTACTCGATTCTGGTTGAGACAGGAGTCTTTGAGAAGGGGACAACCCCACGCTATGCACCAAAGAAAATAGTTCCCAACGTGCTCGACGCTGTTAACTTCGGTATGAAGAGGGAGTTCGAAAAAGCTCTTGAGGAGACCGAACCCAAAAGGCCAGAGGCTGAGTAGGAGTGTCATCAAGATACCTAGCTCCCAACAATCAAGGAGGGGCTCGAGGACCTTGAAATAATGGCCTCCTGTGATACTAGCTTCTTTTCATTTGTTCATTGACTTGTTTCTTTTGTTGGAATTTTTATTTCTGAGATGATATTGACGACCCCTTTTCCTTTTCGGCTCACTCCTTTTCTGCTGATTATGCCGAAGGCGTGGGACGCCTTCTCATCTGCATCTTCAGGCATTGCATTATTTCATCCCATGTCATGTTAGGAGTTTGGCTGCCGATATTTTGTTCTAAAGAATCCACTCCCATCGCCCCTGGTTAGGGTCACGAAAACCTGGTTCATATCACTTATCCGCGCGGTATTTATAGAGGTTCTGTGGAGAAAGGAGGGAAATGACAGCTATTTTGAGGACATTTGTACATGATTTGAATGGTTTATTATGTGTGGAATGACGATAAATGATTGTAGATGGCGTTTTTCACTTAGAACTTGGAGGGTGGTTGGAGTTTAGCTGAAATACGAAGAAAAAACGTTGTCACATGACTCGCTCTTTGCTCCTTCTAGCAGAGAAAGCACTTACCGGTTCGTAAGAACTCATCAACATCAGAGATGGTGACTTCCTCACACCCGACCTACAGCTAGGCAGGATCTATACAGCTTGCTCGGCTATTTCGGGTTGTTTCTATGTCTCGTCCCAGCTAGCTAGCGGGGCTTTGCTATTCTACATGGGTTAAACAGCCCTGTGTTGGCAGCTCCTTTGATGTTTCATCTAGCAGGAGGGCTATGTGAATAATACATTTATCAAGTCACAAAAGAGAGCTTCGTATAGAAGCTGTATGTCCTCCTCATTCCATGTGTATTGTGATTCAAATGCACTAACATATTGGTATATTCATAGGGGTGATACTATAACTACCAAATGTTACGGTCCTATCTATTTATCATCTGCCCGCTTATGGGCTGGGGTGTACCTCAACTCGCTGATATATTGAGGAATAGATGCTTTTTACACCACAGCTGCCAGAAAATTCTTAAAAATCCTGGATTAGACGACCGCCGAGCACTATAATGAGAAGGTTGCGGAAACATTAGTATACCCAGCTAATGGATACTATTCCAAGGAAGCAAATAATCTTTTGCAAGTAGTTGCAATTGCATGAGTATCTTCTCTAGAAAAGGGAAAAGCAAGACTACCACCCATTAACAAATGACTTAGTTCTGGCCTTTCACCCGTGTAAAGCTAGGGCTCAATTCAGATGTCGAGATACCATTCGGAGGCGGAGATACCCTCAATTCAAGGAGAATATTTAATCAGATATCCCCTGATTATATATTCTGACCATGATGATTTAATCTATGTTAAACATATCTATGTAATAGGGCCTTTTCCACTATCATAGGACAGCCTGTGATGTCGATCACTTTATCTGTTAAGTTGAATGCTCTGTATCCTTATTGCTATGCTTCTATTTCTTTTATGCTTCAGCGTCTGATATGTCCTTTAGTTATGCGTCGTTGTCTGCGTAACATGATGCGATCATTAAGGGCAAGGCTTTGTTTTGTTTATTTATATTCTGCTTCTCCTTCTCTTTCCCCCCCTTCTTTCTCCCCTTGGCTATCCTTGACTTTTGACTCGATATCCGTTCACACTACCGGTACATCATCTTACCACCTTCTTTCAGCTGCTAGGACGTTAAATCAGACTTTGCAAACATGCCTGCAACGTGGAATGATGCCGCAAGGGCTAAGGTATGACTCTTCAAGGACGAACACAGCGTTATCAACGTGCTTGTTAACGGGGAAGTCGCAGTTATTAATAGCCGTCTTGAAAACAAGCGTTGGAAAGCTCGATTATAAAGCTATCTCCGAGTTCATGGGCCCTGGTAAGTCGCGTCTCGTTCTTACTATTCAATTGAAAGGGTGGCTAAAGCAAAGTGCCAGATTACAATGTCAAGTCCATCCAATACCAGATTTGGGCGATCAAAACCAAGACTCTCGGAGACAAGGCGTCTGTCTCTAACCCATCTACGCCGTCTAAGGGCGGAAAAAAGGATGCCAAAACTCCAACGAAGTCTCCTGCGTCTGCAAAGCGTGAAAGAGCTAAGGTTGATGATGCCGAATCTGACTCTGTCCCTGACTCCGCGACCCCAAAGAAGAATGGCCGCTCCAAGAAAGTGAAAACGGAGATCAAGCAGGAGGTTAAGCAGGAAATTAAGTCTGAGGACGTCTGAATCGTCTCTTGTCTTGTCGTTTAACCAGGCAGCCAGCTAACTATTTGGTCTGGGATGAGTTTTGTCTACGTGAGAAGTGGTAACTCGGGCCTGTATGTACTTTCTCGTACTTTCTTTTGATCAACTTCCGGCCGCCGAGCTCTAGTGAGAATCCAGTACGAGTCTATCTGAAGTATTACTCCTGTCCGCAAGCGTCCTGCTGTTGCTCTCGCTGTCTTCGTAGCTGGCTCACTTTAAGGTCTGGCCATGTGTATTACATAAGCGTCTCTGAAAGCGGCACCAGTGCCATCCGCATCAGGCAATAATACCTCGGCAGTTGCTCGACTTCCCTCAAGCCAAGCAACGAGAGCGCTGGCTGGCCGTGACAGAAAAATGAGTTAGTCGCGATGACGATGACGCTGCGTCGGCCAGCGCAGGTTGCCTTGCACTTCTTCCATTTTCGTCCGTCGAGTACAAAGCTGCCATATAAAGCCGGCGTCTCGTCGCTTCAGCCAGGACCAGTGCCTCATAGCCACCGTTATCACCAGTTCCATCTTCGAAGAGCTACGAGAAGGACGCTGTCATCCTCCCCACCGCATACTCTGGTCTTCTCCGCAAAGATGTCGTCAGCTACGTCCTTTTACAACTTCGAGCCAGTTGATAGTAAGCATTAGCACTACAATACTAACACCAACACCAACACCAGCGCCAAAATGCCCTTTATTCCTCCTTTTGCGTCCTCCCCGCTAGTTATGCGCCATTTAACTTACTAACCATGTAATGACTTGCAGAGAAAGGAGAGCCGTTCCCCCTCGCCTCGCTGAAAGGCAAAGTAGTCCTTGTTGTCAACACCGCGTCAAAATGCGGCTTTACACCACAATTCGCCGGCCTTGAAGAGCTCTACAAGTCAATCACAGCCTCTCACCCAGATAAATTCACCATCCTGGGCTTCCCGTGCAACCAGTTCGGCAGCCAGGACCCCGGGAGCAACGATGAGATCCAGTCCTTCTGCCAGGTCAACTACGGCGTCACTTTCCCTGTTCTGGGCAAGATAGACGTCAACGGCGATAACACTGCGCCGGTGTTCAACTGGCTGAAGAAGGAGATGCCTGGTCTCATGGGCCTGAAGAGGGTCAAGTGGAACTTTGAGAAGTTCCTGGTCGATGCGGAAGGGAAGGTCGTCGGCCGATGGGCGAGTACCACAAAGCCGGAGTCGCTCAAGGCTACCATCCTGGAGGAGATCGAGAAGGCTGGAAAGAAGTCTCAACTGTAGTGTCGTCCCTTTTCACAGCATGTTTAATTAATGACTCCCCTCTCTTATCTCTCTATTATAAATGTCGTCCCGGGGTTGCTGTCTTCATTATACTCAAGACTGTTTCGGTTCAGCTCGTAGCCTTTTTATCTCTTATGTGATACGAATATAAATAATTGCTGTTCTCGTCTTTTTTACCCTCTATCTCAGAAGGCGTGAATTGTTACCAGGAGCTCCGTAGGCCATCAGCAAAAAGACCGCCCCCACCAGGGACAGCAACTAGTTACTTTACTCTGCACAATAATGAAGCTTGTCAGCAAGAGACATCATCCCCGCGCCTTATGCAGTCAGTTTGAGTTCTTTTTTTGCTTTTCTCAGGGTAGTCAGCCCTCAGGCCGCTCGCTACCCGGCTCTAACAAACACACCCAGGGCGGACGGAGAAGTGGCATGAGCAGCAGCGTAACTCGAAGCGCGTCCAAGCAAACGGCGCGATGAAAAATGATAAAATAGCCTTTCCAACAGGCAGGAACATGAGGGACTAAAAATAGTCTCTTCTTGGCAACGGCAAAGGCGGCTGAGTCGATCACAGGCATGACAGCTAAGTTACAGTTAGCTGTCAAAAACAACGCCACCACCACACGGATCCATCATACTCCATGTGATTTGACTATATAGAAAAGAATCTTACGCAACGTGACTTTTAGATTTAGTTATCCTTGTAGCATTCTTTTTCCTTTTAGCTGAATGCTCACTCCTATGTACATGTATGGTTTGTATGTAACATGATTAACCACTTCACAGTAGTAAGTAGTAAAAAGATAGGGGCAAAAAAGAAATGTGCAGATCGCACAAGGCGGAGCGGGAGTAGCCTGATGGCAGGCCCGGCCAGGCAACGGATAAACGAAGCGAAAACAAGGACAAGGGAAACAACCTCTTCATGCCTTAGGTAGCGGGTATGTAGCAAGGCTCTGCCGTCAGTGCCGTGTCATTAGTTAAACATGTAGATTCGAAGCAAGCAAATAAGCAAAAAGAACGTAAAAAAACAGGCAACAACTGGGTTCTAGTGCAGCATAAACTGAAAGGGGTAACCGAATCAGGCTAAGCCAAAAAAGAGAAAAGAAGAGCCGAAAGAAAAAAAAAAAATAAATAAAAAATAAAAAATTAAAAAGGAGCAAAGGAAGAAGGAGAACTGGTATAGTTCTACAAAGAACGAAGAGAAAAAAAGCTGAGAATGAGAAGTGTAGAATCAAAAAAATGAAAAGTCAAAGTGCGCCACCCATGCGTAACTGGTGAGAAAAAGGAGAAGTAGTGGTAGTTAGAAAGAAGAGGTAAAAAAGTCACAAGGGTTAAAAGGAGCTAAACTTGAGTAACAATGTCGGTAGAAAGGGAGGGATATTATTCGATGCTGAGGTACATATCCCCGCCGCGCTTTGATGGTGTCACTTTGTTGTACCCCTTTGAAGAAGACGCGGTGGGTGCAACGGTATTATCGTGCATGCGATGGGGAAGAGTATTCGAACGAGAGAGTACGTTGCTACTCGAGCGAGACAGCGACGAGGACGAGCGGATAGAATTGTTGTCGTCATCTTCATGAATTTGATCATGTTCAATCTCGATTGGCCGTTGTACTTTCGCAGGAAGCGTGATTTCATTACCCATTTTACCCGCTACCTTTTCCCCGCGGCGTTTGACGAGAAGGCTGCTTGGCTTCTTGCTTGATGCCGTTGAGGTTTGATGCCGGAGGTTGTTTGGGTTGTGTTCTATGCTGCTTCGTGGTGTAGAGCAACATG